AAATTTCGTTTTTTCTTAAATATTTATTATATAGCCGGAATATAATAAATTTAATTCCATATTATTTTCTTTATTATCTTATCGGGAAAAATAGTTATTTATTTTTTTATAATATATTTTAATTTTAATATTTTATAAATATATATTTAACTATAAAACAATATTTTAATACGGAATAAAATAAAATTTAATATTATTACAATTAGACTTTTACCACTTTTTTTAATATTAAAGCAAAAAAGCAAAATAAAAAAAAACTAATATAAAAGTACTTTAAATTTTACTTAATAAATTATTATTATGCTAAAAAGCGTTAAGCTTTAATTTTAAAAGAAAATAATAACTTATTATAATTATACATTAAACCTGTTAAATTATGCCCCAATTATAACACGTCCTTTTTAAATTATTAATATATTTTAAAGATTTAATAAATAAACTTTAAATATTTATTAAAATTTATAAAATAATAAAAAGAGTAAAGCAATTTATAATAAACGAAAACAGCAATAATAATAATAATAATTATACTTACTATATTAACCGCAAATATTATTATAATAATAATAAAAATAAATATAATATAAAATAATCTTTTAAAACTTAAAAACAATAATATTAAATATGTAAAAAGGATGGATATTAATTTATTAAATATTTAAAATATAAGTAAAAAAAAGTTAAAAAAGAATAAAAAACTAAACGAGGCCCTTTTAAAAAGAATTATATAACGTTTTTAATAAATTACAAAAGAATTAAGAACTTAAACTTAGAATTTAACCACGAAGAAAATGAAGTAGCTTATTTAATAATAAATCCGGATAAAAATAATAACTTATATATAATAATTGTATATTTATTTAACTAAACGTTCTACTATTATTTTATTATTTACTTCCTTTCGGACAATTTAAAATTTAATATTATTTTTATATTAGATTAATATATAAAGAATATTTTTTAAAAAATTATATTAAATATAAAAGCAGCTTAAATATTTATAATTAAAAAGAAATAATACTTAATTTTTATTAAAAATATTTAAATAAATAATTAAAGATAAACAGCATTTGCACTAAAGAAATTAATATTTTATTTAATAAAATAAACTTTTATATTATAAAATTAAACACTTTATTTTTATTATTATTAAAGGATATAAATTAGCTAAAAATATATTTTAATAATATTACTAATTAACTTATATATAAAAACAATATAATGGTTAATATTAAAAAAAATAAAAATATTTATAATTTTAATTAAAAAATATTATTTATTTTATAAAAACAAAACTTTAACATTTACATACGCGCTTTAATTACTTATTAATTAATAAATTATATAATTTATTAAATAAAATTGGATATAATATTAATATAAATAATTTTAAAAAAATTAATAAATTTTATTATTATTATTAAATTAAAAGAAAAGCCCTTTAATAATTTAAATTTACTTTAAAGGATTTAAATATAGAATTTAATTATAAAATAATTATTAATATAATATATTTAAACGAACGACCGGTTTTATATATTATTAATACGGCCATTAATTTTTAAATAGCGCAATTCTTAAGGAACGTTATTATTAAAAAAACGTGAAAAACGTTAAAAAAGTATTAAATTAACACTTATTTTAAACCACTTAATATTATTTCCTATAATATAAGCATAAACTTCAATAATCCCGAATTTTGTAACGAAGTATAAATAATAAGGATTATTTATTATTAAGTATTAATAAAAGCTTATTAATTTATTAAAAAAGTTAAAAAATATTACAGCTTTATTTGTAAAATATATAAAATTATTACTAATAAACTTAAGGATTTTAACTTAAAAACGTTATACTTTTAAATAGCTGTAAAAGTAATTAATAATATTATTAACTCAAATAATTTTATTTTAATTTTACTTGTTTTCGGCACTTACTTTAAGATTAATATAAACTTGTTATTTATTGTTACATAGATTTAAAAGGTATAAGCAATTCAAAAGGTAATAACAGAAATTAAAAGGATTAAGTTATAATATTTTATATAAAATGCCTTAAATACCCGTAATAGCTTTAACATTAAAGTAACTTTTTTTATATTTTTATTTATTAAAAGTAAGGTATTAGTTTATAAAGAAAAAGGTAATTAAAAAAGACTATATAAAGTTATTGCAATTATTAAAAAAAACGTTATAATTACTTTAAATACGTTAAGTAATATATTTACATTCCGAAATTTACATATTAAATTATATGTTTAACTTAAAGAAAACCTAATTTTATTAAAGGAAATTAAAATTAAGTTATTTAACTTTATATTTAACTTTAATAATTATTAAATTATCTTAAAAAAGGATTTTATATACGTTAATAACTTATTACATATTGTTATTTTATATGTTAATATTAAAAAACGTAATAACTTTACTTTAATATTATAATTTTAAGTAAATAATAAGATAATTATATTAAAGAAATTATATAAAATATTAAATATAAAAGAATTAAATGCTTTATTTAATAAAAGTATATTATAATTCGAAATGTATAATGTAATAATATATTAAAAAATAATAATATTTAAATTATAAATAGTTTATAAAATTAAAAGTAAAAACACTTTTGTACTATACGAAAAATCACGATTAATAGTTTAAAAATACGGTAACCTTAATAAGGAATTTATAATAATATACGCATTTACCATTTAAAAAGCTAATTAATAATTAATATTAACATTAGCTTTTATACTTTATTATTAAAAGATGAAAATTATAATAAAAGATATTATTATAACTTACATTTAATTTAAAACGCTAATACAAAAAACGATTTTTATATGTTTATTAATAGAATTAAAAAATAAGTACTTTAAAAAGACGTTATTACATATTATTAAACCATTATATAGCTTTACAAAATTAAATATTTATTAATTTAAAACTTATTTACATTATTATTAACGAAAATTACATATAAAACCGTTAATATTTAACTTTTATTTATTAGTAATAAATATAAACCCTTTTAAATTTATTAACTTTTAAACAAACGATATTTTAAATATAAGTATAATAAAATTCCTTACCGTTAAAAATAAAATATTTATTAAAGTTAAAATTAAAGTATATTTTTAAAAGATTTTAAATAATAGGATTAAAAACTTTAATAGTTTTTATATAATTGTTTATAATAAAGATTATAAAATTATAACTTTTTAAAAGGAATAAGTTAAAAAACTAGCGTTATTAAATGTTAAATTTCCGAATATAATTAAACAATTTGTGAAACAAAAAGCCCGAAAAGCGTATATTTCCTTTATATATTAACCCGAAATTGCTTTTAATTATTTAATAGTAATTTAATATTTTAAATTTAATTTAAAAGAAGTTAAAGCTTTTAATATTAAAATTAAGTGGTAAATAAATAATTAATTACGGGGATTTAATTATATTAATTTAGATTTTTAAAACTTATAATTATATGTTTTTATTAATAAGTTATTTATAAATAATAAGGATTTTAATTTATAAATTAATTATGTTATTATTTTAAATAATAAAAGACTTATAAATCGAAGTAATAAATTTCAAATTATTAAAAATACCATTTATTAGTTTTTTACCAAATGTAAATATATTATTTATAATATATTTATTAATGAAATTTATAAAATAATATAAAAATTTAATATAAGCTTTATTATTTATTATTTTATTAATATTATTTTAAATTAATTATTAATTTTAAAAGCTTTTTTTATTTTATATATTAATTTTTTTCCTTATATTAATATTTAATACAAATAAAAAGCATTAATAAAAAGAGATTAATAATTAACTTAATAGCCTTATAATAATCTTATAAAAACCGAGAGATAAATAATATTTATTAAATTTATAATATATATAACCCAACTAACATTATAATTAAAATATTATTAAATAAGGTTATAAAATTATTAATGAAAAATAATTAAATTAACTTACGTTTAAAAAGGTAAGTAAAATGCAAAAAGCTTAAAAACGGTTATATATTACTATAATAATAAATTATTATAACTAGGTGCAAATATTAGCTATAATAAAGGATATTATATAAGAACTTATTAATTAGCTTAAATATGGGATATTATAATAATAAATTAACATAAGTTAATATATAAAATAACTTTTAATTTAAATTATTATATTTCTAATTTTAATTTATTATAAAAATATATAATATATTAATATAAATATGTACTATTATAAGTACATATTAGCTTACGTGTAAAATAGTCTATATATATGTTAACACACATTTGGATTAACGTAAGTACATATTATCATAAGGTTTTTTATTTTTATTTTTTTAAGACTTTTTTTTTATTATAAAATTACTTTCGCAATTAATTAATTGCAAAAAGAAAATAAAGTAAGTAATAATTATATAACATTAATATATAAATACTTTATTAAAAATAAAATGCTTTATTGCTAATATTAAAAAAAGGAATAATATATTTATTATTATTATATAAAAAAATATTATACTATTAATTAACCTTAAATAAATTTTTCCTTTTTTAAATATTATTAATATATTAATTTTACCTTTATTATTATTTAATTTACTTATTTATTACTTTATATTATACGTACGTACTTATTAATAATAATAAAAATAAAAATTTTATATTATATATAAATTAATTATAATTATTAAAAAAAAAACAAATAAAATTTAATTAATTATTAAATTAATTATTTAATTTAAATATATTATTATTAAAATATTTAATATTAAAAATATAAAGCTTATTTTTAAAGTTATTCGGAGACTTTTTAAACCCGATTTGTATATAATGTTGTAAACCGTACCTGACTTATGTAATAAGCTTAGCTCCTATGGTGGGGTCAGGGAAGCTCTTCAGCCACATGGCTAACGTCAGACCCCCGACCGTCTCCATTTCAGCTTGGTAGGTACTTGAATACTTAAACCCGTTACCTCTTTAAACAACTAAACTGACGAACGCCTCGCCTCAACCTCCCCAAAACCTAAACCCCGCCATCGAAGCTGTAAGCAGCCTCGCCAAACAGTTGGCGAATACGGTTTAACGTCATTCCAACTCTTTGGTCTTCATTCTTTTTTTAGACGTTGCCGAAAAATATCATCGAAAACATGGCTGCTCCTCCTCCCATCGGTTAGTGTCATACCGTCCAAGTTGGTTCTAGCTTTCTAGCTACCCCTATACCTAACATCTTATACTAGTTCTCGATGGAGGTACCGGTTTCCTCAAGGTCGGATACGCCGCGCAAAACTTCCCCGAATTTCAATATCCTTCTATCATCGGCCGACCCATCTTACGGACGGAGGAGAAAGGCAGTGACAATGACATCGTGCTCAAAGATATTATGTGCGGTGACGAGGCCGCGGCTGCACGGACCATGCTCCAAGTCTCCTATCCTATGGAGAACGGTATCGTGAAGAAATGGGACGACATGCAGCACCTCTGGGATTACACATTCTACGAGAAGATGAAGATCGACCCCCGAGGACGTAAGATCCTGCTCACCGAACCCCCCATGAACCCCCTAAAGAACCGGGAACAGATGTGCGAGGTCATGTTTGAGCGATACGGTTTCGGAGGCGTCTACGTAGCTATTCAAGCTGTGTTGGCCTTGTATGCTCAAGGTAAATAAAATACTCCATCTCCCACGGTCCTACCAATAGTCTAGGTTTAACACAAGCTAGGTCTGAGCTCCGGTGTCGTCGTCGATTCCGGTGACGGAGTTACGCATATTGTTCCCGTTTACGAGTCGGTCGTTCTAAACCACCTGACTCGGAGGCTTGACGTAGCCGGGCGAGACGTGACGCGTAACCTCATCGCCCTACTTCTACGGCGAGGATATGCACTCAACCGAACAGCCGATTTCGAGACCGTGCGTCAGATTAAAGAGAAGCTGTGTTATGTTTCGTACGATCTAGAATTGGACAAGCGTCTCAGCGAGGATACGACGGTATTGGTGGAGAGCTACACACTACCCGACGGACGAGTAATCCGAGTGGGTAGTGAGCGGTTTGAGGCTCCCGAGTGTCTCTTCCAGCCTCACTTGGTAGATTGCGAACAGCCGGGCATCGCCGAGTTCCTTTTCAACACCATCCAGGCCGCCGATGTTGACGTGCGCGCGTCGCTCTTCAAAGCAATCGTCTTGTCCGGTGGCAGCAGCATGTATCCTGGCCTCCCCTCGCGACTGGAGAAGGAGCTGAAACAATTATGGCTTACTCGTGTACTTGGAGGTAACCCTGAAAGGCTAAACAAGTTCAAGGTGAGGATAGAGGACCCTCCTCGCCGCCGTCATATGGTTTTCTTGGGCGGAGCAGTGCTGGCGAACATCATGGCCGACAAAGAGAGTATGTGGATCACGCAACAGGAATGGGCTGAGCAAGGGCCGAGGATTCTAGAGAAGCTAGGGCCGCGATAAAAGCCTAGCAAGCCCATTTTAACGAACAGCTAAGGGGGAGTTCAGAGGGCAACGCCAGTGGAGTTTATAAAGTTGTAGCAAAATGACTTAAAGATGGCTTTTAAGTGAACCTTATCAGCGTAAAGCGACATTGATTTTAGTTACCTATTTCATGCAATGCGATTCAAATTACACGTAACTGCGTGGTTTATTAGTGGGCGTAGTAATCTACTAGATACTATCGTCTGTTAAGCTCGTGGGTACACATGATAATACATCCCATGTGCTTTAAACATACCAGGGGTGACTACGCCACATAATCACTAGCCACATTTATCCGAGTCGGGCCTCGCCTCCGGTTCTTCAATTACCTTAGGTACCTTAGAAGGTACGTACATAGTATGTAGGTTCAACTTTAAAGCCTTCTGTGGAAGTTTACCTAAGGTAAAGCAAAGCGTACCTGAAAGGTTCTTTTAGCATCTTCAATAGTAAGGACTTACATCCGAAATATCGTAGTATGAAACATCACTTTCCCAACTATTTCAAAGTTTAACTCCAATCTGTAATCTATTTTGACTACCTTGCCATTTTATTCCTTTATTCACTTCTTATTTCTCATTTCTTTTAATCCTTCTTAACCGCTCGACTCTTGTTCGCCCGCTGCCAGCACCTTAATAATATAGGTGTCGGTAGTTTTTGGCCATGTGGATGATTGATAAGTTATAGTACGACTACTAATAAGATATCTAAAATTACTACAACGAACGGCAACAACAGCAACACTGACGGGAACATACGCGACGCCTCGCTAGGGTATATCCAGTCGGAATCCTATCGGCATCCGAGGCGGTCGCCTTCTTTGGAGCTTTCAAGTCCCAGCCAATACGGGGAATATATCGTGGCCGATCAAAACACGCGCAGGGGAGCAGAGACGCAAAGGCGCAAATGCGTATAGAAGACCAATATACGGCTGAGTGAGTGAATACCGTAGTGGATGAGCAAAAGAAACCACCTGTCTCGTCTCACCCAACGCTACCGGAAAACCCGCTGGGTGCGCACCTGACCTTTTATTTATTTATATTTATATTTATTTATTTTTTATTCTCATTCTTTTTTGGGTCTGAATCTGTATCTGATTCCAAATCTGGATCTGGTCAGATCGGGATCCGATCCATCCAACACACGAACACAAGCACCACAGCTACAAAGCTACACGATTACACGATTACACGATTACACAGCTACACGGCAACACTGTAACGCGGAAACACAGAAGTGCAGCACGCAGATAAATCATGAGTCTCACTAATCCCTCTTCGGGTGCGGCGTCAGGCCCAGCGTCAGCTTCCGCAAGAAACCAGACAAATAAGAGAAGCGTACAAGCCGCTTTTGATGGTATGCAACCCAACAAATCTCTCTTCTTTTTTCTAGGACCTGTCTCCTTTTTTTTCTGTTTGGCTATCTCTCATCTGTGGGCTGCTTGCTCGCATTCGCCCAACATTTTTATACTTGCTCCTTTCGGTTATAAAATCTCACAGTTCTCCAGGCCACCCCTTGATTGGTGGCCTTCGGACTTTATTTGACCTTGGCAAAATGTTGCGCCGCTGACAATTTCCCCCTATCAAAAGGCTGCCTGAGCAGCTCTAACTCTGGCCTTGATTCTCTTTCGTTTTCCTCTTTCATCTGCCTTCCGTGTTAGAGAAGCGCCGTGCATCATGGTGTTTGGGGAACATCCTAACAATCCTCTGTTGTACCATCCAACACAATCACAAAAGGACGACAGAGCGTTCCACGGCCCTCCAAACGTGGGCTTTCCCATTGTCAAATCTATAGGGCCCAGACCGATGCATCCTCTAATGAGCACCTTTCAGCCACGTGTTTTCCCGTTTCGTAGTCAATGTATTGCAACTACTTCATTCCTTTTCCTTCATTGTGATAAACCCCGATAAATTTGATAAGTAACTGATTTTGTATATAGACAGCGTCGACAGAGGCGGTAATGTGGGCTATCAGTCGAAAGTGAGAGTCGTCGACAAGTACAAAGTCATCGGCTTCATCAGTAGTGGAACCTATGGCCGGGTGTATAAGGCCATTAGCCGGCAAGGTCAGCCGGGCGAGTTTGCTATCAAGAAGTTCAAACCAGACAAGGAAGGGGAGCAGGTCCAATATACGGGAATATCGCAGTCAGCTGTCCGCGAGATGGCACTTTGCTCAGAACTTAGCCACGAGAATGTCATTCGTCTGATCGAAATTATATTAGAGGACAAGTGCATCTTCATGGTGTTCGAATACGCCGAGCACGACCTCCTACAAATCATTCACCACCATACTCAACAACCACGCCATAGTATCCCTCCCTCGACGGTCAAAAGCATCATGTTCCAGCTGCTAAATGGGTGTCAGTACCTACACAGCAACTGGGTTCTACATCGAGATCTTAAGCCCGCCAACATCATGGTAACTTCAAGCGGGCAGGTAAAAATTGGTGATTTGGGGCTAGCCCGGCTTTTTTACAAACCGTTGCATTCTCTATGGAGCGGCGATAAGGTCGTGGTGACAATATGGTATCGCGCTCCGGAACTGTTATTGGGTAGCCGGCACTACACGCCGGCGATAGACATGTGGGCGGTCGGCTGCATTTTCGCAGAGCTTCTATCATTGAGGCCTATTTTCAAAGGAGAAGAGGCCAAGATGGACAAGAAGACTGTGCCATTCCAACGTAATCAGATGCAGAAAATAGTTGACATCATGGGCATGCCTACTAAGGAGCGCTGGCCATATCTACCAAGTATGCCCGAGTTTAATAATCTAAGCATGCTGCAGCCGCCCATGCAACATCCGGGCCACCATCACCATCACCATCACCACGGCAAATCAACAGGGTCGATTAGCCACCTTGAAAAGTGGTACTACAGTACCATCGGTGCACACTCGTCAACCTCGTCCCCTAGCTCCAACAGTAGCCTCGCGGTCCTCGGTGCAGAGGGCTACAAACTCCTCTCTGGTCTGCTAGAGTATGACCCGGAACGACGGCTGACAGCAGCGCAGGCGCTGCAGCACCCGTTCTTCCAAGCGACACCGTCAGGTGGAGGCATCGGCGTGACGGCAAGCTGCTTCGAGGGTCTCAAAGTAGCGTACCCGCAACGTCGCGTCAGTCAGGACGACAACGATATCCGCACCGCTAGCCTACCTGGTACCAAGCGTTCCGGTTTACCGGATGATAGCGTCGTCAGGCCGGTGAAGAGAATAAAAGAAGCTTAGTACGCTTACGGCGCTGGGTAGAAGATTAAGGGTCATCGGGAGGGCTAACCAGACTTGGATTGCTAATACGGTTGGGAAGATCCAGGCCATATGTTGCCTCGAAAAGATACCGGTTTTGATATGATGTTTGGTTCGGGAATAAAAGCACCATAAGCGAGCTTGGCCGACGAAGACTTACATCGGATAAGATGGCATATATCATAGGCTACTTGTATTAATTCGTTATCGTTATTAGCGGAAGAGCGACTTGAGGGTTTGGCTTCACGCATGACGAGGTAATGGTAATACCAGTTAAGCCTAGGCATTGAATAAGAAGTATGCTATGAGTTAAGCGCTGCATTCACATTGGCGCACATATATCATAGTTGGGTTATTTAGGTATAGGTACTTTATAAACATTCTAAAGATCGATCCTAAAAGCAGTCGGAAGCCTGCTATTCGGTATGCCGTAACTATGATTTGTTTGATGATTCCTCGCTCCTCTCCTGTCCTTGATATATGGGAATATCTGTAGATTAATATCTCACTCAGGTATATTATGTTATGGCAAAACACCAGGTACTGTGCCTACAAGCTATTCGAGTCGGTCACAATTCACTTGCTGTTTGCGGAATGAACAAACATGAGATTTCAACCTAATTGATGTTTTTCATTACTCGACTCCGAAGCAAAAGTAATAGGTAACCTCGCCCGCCCCTTTAATTAACCAGGAATCGAGGCTTCCAGTATTACAAGATTACTACTATACGACAAGGCACAAGTAACACCTATCCCCCCCCGTTTCCTCTCTCCCTTACCGCCCCTTTACAAATTAACGCGGGATGACGCGGATATCCCCTATTCTATCCTATCCTTTCCTTTACTCTGAACCTCGCCCCCTTCCTGTAGACCGTTCGCCTGGTATGCTAGCTTAGGTAGGTACTCTTGCTCGTACCGTGGAAAAGACAAAAAGGAAGTTTTGCTGTGTGATGGATTCGTGACGCGATCAATAGAAGTTTAAAAAAAAACAAAAGTTTCGGAGACAGAGAAAAGGGGGTGATTCTAGAGCTTCCAACGCCGAGGGATTAAGGGGTATATATAATATCCACTTCGCTTGCACTCCGGCATATTTGTATTTTACCACTGCATATTCGACCCTCGTACAAGGTACGGATCATGGAGCCTTAGTTGCAATATGGACTTGGTTTGTCCCATTTCATTCCTTCCAGCACTCGCAACTGATGGAACTACAGGCAGAGAGCTCTGTATATATACGGTATGGTAAGGAAATGCTTCTCTCTCTCTTCCTCTCTCTCTCTCTCTCTACTGCACTCTGGCTAGGATCGCCTTTCAAGGCCCAAAAACCGAATTCGCATACTGGACCCTGAACCTTACGAGGCACCTTTATCGTGCCGCGCCAAACAAAATCAAAAACAAACCCTTCCCGAACCAATCTCACCGAGTTATTAGAGGCGTATTATACCACGTGAGCCCGAGGACCACGCAGCCCACTCGACATGCTCATATGTAGTCAAGTTGTAAAGGATGCCGTCGTTCTAAATCAAAAGAAAAATCAAGGGTATCAAGGGAACAGAGAACTAGAACTAGAAGCCCTACTTCTTGGCCGGCGCAGGGGGTGCCTTGACGTTGTTCGACAGCCATGCCAGCCCCTCGAGCAGACCCTCACCCGTCGTGGCACAACTAGGCACTACATACCAGATCTTATCCTTCAGGTTGGACAGCTGAAGTGCCTCAGTTACTTCTTGTGGTTTCATGGCTACAGGGAATAGTTAGCGATTTGCTCTCTACCGTTGAATTGAGAAAGGGATAATAGTTGGTCGCTTACCGTCTTTGATATCTTGCTTGTTGGCAAATACCAGTAGCAAACTATCCTTCATCTCCCTATCGTTGATGATACGATGTAATTCCTGTCTTGCTTCCTCCATTCGTGTTCGGTCGGCAGAGTCAATAACAAAGATCAGACCTTGGGTTCCTATTCATGTATTGCAACGTTAGCATGTGCTCAGTTTATACACTCCACATCGAGGACCTTGTCAATGCGCATATGCCCATAGTTGTAAAATGCAACTATCCACAAGAAGGATACATGGCGACTCTCGTATACGCGGGCAATATCCATCACATAATAAATCCCCCCACTAGAAAAAAAGATTCCGTATCTAAAAGGCACGACGCCGGTTTGTAATTAACGTATGACTTACCGCTAAAGTAATGCCTCCATAAGGGGCGGATCTTGTCCTGACCACCAACATCCCAGACGTTGAACTTGACGTTCTTGTATGTGACGGTCTCGACGTTGAAGCCGACAGTAGGAATAGTAGTAACGTCCTGTCCCAGCTTGAGCTTGTACAGTATTGTGGTCTTTCCGGCGGCGTCGAGTCCCAACATCAGCAATCTCATCTCCTTAGATCCGAAGATCTTGCCCATCATCTTAGAAAGTTGGCCCCCCATTTTTTTTCTTGTCTCGGAGTGATATCGATCGATGTTTAAAAAAAAATTAAAAATTAATTCGGTAGATTGCTAGGAGTGAGGACAACACCCCGGCGATTGTGTGCGTCGCCTTGTTTGCGCGTGCGTATGAAGCAGTACGGAGGAATTGATTCGCGTTTGTCGCTGAACTAGGATTGAAACGGGGAATTTACGTCGTCGGGTTTATGAGCATGTGAGTCGAGAGGAAATAAGGAGAATGGTAGGTAGTAGTAGTGGTAGTTAGAAAAAAAGGGGGGGTATATGATTGACGGCGCGACGCGTCTCTATTGGTAGAATATCTAAACCCTCTTTAAGATCCAATTGGTCGAAATCAACGGAGCCTTTGGTAAGAGTTCGATCGTCTGAAGGGGACTAAGAAGGGACTAGGAAGGAGGTCCGTGAGGCAAGAGATGCCGATGTAAAGGGAGAGAGAGTTAAGATGAGAAATAATTAAAAATAGGTAAAATTACATAGTACACCCGAGATTGGAGAGATTAACACATGCACACAACGAGAGAATTTAGTGGAGGATGGGAAAGAAAAAAAAATAAAGAGAGACTGAGAGGGACTGAGTACTGAGTTAAGGTATTGGGCAAAAGAGAGAGAAAAAAAAGGAAGGGGGGTGAGAAGAAAAAAAAATTAATTATTTCATGTCGATTTCTAAATTGGAAGAGTAATGAAACATTAAAATATGCCAGGGTCCCCTTAGGTTATCATCAAAATGGTTCAATTTCCGCTACTTTTAGGGGGGGGAAACTTACACCTATTGTCAGCTATTAGCTACTCCATAAAAGCTAGCGCATTACGCTAAAGGTGTGGTAGCTACTCAATTAGGTTAAACACAGCCTTGAAATACGGATTACAGGATGCGCATAGATTAGGTACCTTGGATGATTCTCCCCTGCAGGGAGCTAATCGTGCCTACATAGAGGTACCTTAGGTAGGTAGGTACCTAACCTAGTATTGTACCTAAGTGATGGCAAAGAAGGCTCGGAAATTTAAAAGGGGTACAATTGCCCAGTATCAAAAATGACCTCGGGGGTTAAAAAAAAAAATAGCAACTGGGAGAACAATGACTTGTCTTCCTTCTTCTTTTACATTCACTTTCACACTCGCTATAGCTGTGCCCCATTGCTATGGTCATCAACTTCGCAGAAGGCCTTGAACGTCGTGAACGAGTCGTCTTGGCCTCCTTGAGATTCTAAAGTTAACTCCGCTGTGGCGCCAACAAAAAAGACGTAACCTTCCTTAATCTCTTCCGTCTTTGGCCCAACCGTTATCTTCCCGTTGCCTCCCGTGCAGATAACAATGCTTGGTCCATCGATAGGGTCGAAGGTGGCCTTTGATCCCTCACCATTGAGCACCGTCCTGATGACGCTAAATTCATCGATCGGTGGATCGTACAGAGTTACCTCTGAACCCGAGCTATACGCGGTGCGGTTAAGTACAACGTACGGGTACTCCTTCGGCGACATCTTCTGCTCTTCGATAGGTGCGTAATTGTACGTCAGTAGATCAACCAAAGTTTGAACATCCTTGAACTTGGGCGTAAACCCGGCTCGCACGACGTTGTCGCTTGCTGCCATACACTCGATAATATCCCCCGACAAATACGCATGAATATCGTCTGCTTTCAGAAATAGGGCCTCGCCTGGGGAAAGCTTGACATAGTTGAGGAAAAATAAAACGAAGAGTCCAATATCATCGGGGAACTGCTTATTCAGTCGAACTACCAGCTCAGCCATGACTTCTCCGCTTGTGGACTCGACTCCGCCATCCGCAAACTCGCTTCCTCTGCTCTCGGCGTCTGAGACCAGTAACTTTGCAGCCGACGCCACATCTTCCTGTGAGGATTTCATAAGAGCGGCGAAGGTGGACTGAAGAGCTCTCTTATTCTGCGCAGTAGACTCCGAGGAAGCATCGCTCTCCTGTCCTCGAACAGTAGCGATGAATGCTTTTGCGGCATCTTCTCCGACTAACTGTCGGAGAGCTGGCACGGAGGATAAGAAGTGAGCAATCTCTCCAAGCGGGCGAAATCCACACAAGCCCTCGAAATCGGTTATGGCAATGGCCATCTCAGGCTTGTGGTTGTCGTCCGGATAGTTCTTGGGGTCTTTCGCATGCAATTGCTCAGCAAGTTTCTTGTCGGGATGGGCCTGGATGGAGAGGGCCTTGTTTATAGAGAGCACCTTGAATAGGAAAGGTAACTTGGGGCCATATTTAGCCTTGACGGACGGGGAAAGGAGCATCTGGTTCTCTTCGACGAGCTCGAGCAAGGTACGGCCGGATTCAAGATCCTTGGAAGGGTTCGAAGGATGAGTACCCATCCATAGCTACAAGCGCAAAGTTGGTCATGTCAGCTGTTAAGTGAGGTGGGTATTATGGTAAAACATCAAATAGAAGACACATACCTCAGCGTATGGCTTATCTGGCTCAATACTCAAGTTATCAGAGGCCGTAGCGGCAGCGAATTTAGCTGCAGCGGATTCAGAGCCAATCTTGCCCCAATCGTAGGAATTCACTCCGCATTGGAGCCGTATTAGGGGAACGGGTAACACCATTGTTGTTGGTATGTTGGGGGTGTTCGTAGCTGTAGTGGATTAACCCAAGTTGCGGTAGGTTACCTAAGGTAGGAGTAATAATTATTTTATAAAGTCAGATAGCTCCTTTACCTTAGGTAAGGCTAAGGTAATAACACTTCAATGGCAGTTGACAATTCCAGAGGGGTTAAAAGCTCAAGGTGCGGGGCGAGTTTACCCCGCGAAGTTTTGTACAGGTAGGTACCTCCTAAGGACCTGAAGCTCCAGCTAAAAAAAGGAACACTGCTCCCGTACCGTACCTTCGGCACGTGGGGCAGTCCACCATGAAAGCGCATGATTACCTAACCTAGCAATGTAATTAATTGCATTATGTAGGGTGCTGCGCTTTAATTAGGAAATCGGGCAGTAACTAGGCTAGCGTACCAGACTTCAAGCACCAGTAGGAGGTTATTCCGATCCCTGTTACCTGCTAAAAGCGGAAGAGGAATAATGACATTTTATGAAATTTTATGAATGTTGGAAAATACTTTAAAACGCGTAGGAATTATACCCGTTCGGAAGTACTTCGGATCGAATCCCTAATCTTGCCCGTTTCCTTAATTAAAGCGCAGCACTAGTACCAGGCTGCCGCCAGGTTAGCATGTGTTGAATTGGGGGTCCTTCCATTGAAAACGTTCGCTCCGTTCTACCAATTTAACCTCAAATAGATGTCCGAAGTCTACTTAATAATTATATCCAAATGCATCTTTTCTGTTAACCTATTTTTTTCTTTTTTGTTTTCGTGACATAACAGGTACATAGTACACCAACAAATATGTCTTCGCGGGGAAATCAGCGAAGAGGTCCAAATCGCAACAGCGAGATCGGCGAGCATGGCGAAGAATTACCCATGTGGAAGGATATTAAAGATAAAGGCACTGCTATCACAAATTCCTTCAATGACAGCAGTTTCAATGTCAACAAGATTCGTGACCAGGAAAAGCTCATGGCCGACAAGAGGGCTAAGGGCGGTGAGTTTTCATTTTCGCCCCGTCGCCCTTCTAATATATTGTTAAAAAAATAAAACCAAAAATAAAACCAAAAAAGTAAGACGATCTAATACTTCTCATTAGTCCTCACAATAGAAGACTACAATACACTTGATGACTTATACCGTAAGGGCGTAAAAGCAAATGAAATTGCTGGTCAAACTATCACGGAGACGATCGAGAAGCTCAAAGTACTCCGTGCCGTGCAGAAGGCCAAGGAAGAACAGCAAGAGGTAAACACCTCGAGAGTCCAGCGAGCTAAGGACTCGGCCGCTGCATCTTCCCTATACGACTTTGACGGATCCGGAGAGTCGTCCGTCCCGTCTCCAAACCCTACCATACGCCGTATCAATAACAGTAAGGGCGAGCGTGACTCGGTCCCGCCTAGGGACCGATCTACCCCCGCGGCTAAGGCGGGGAGTGCTGAACCGCAAGCTGGCCCCTCCTCTAACTCTCTCCGTACTAAGCAGACTTTCGCCAAAGACGACGAGGTCGCGTTCAAGCCGAAGCCCGTAAGCAACGAGCAGACGGACTGGATCTTGGGCATAGTCCAAGACGTGCGTGGAGAAGGAAAAACAAGGCGGTACAAGGTCCTGGACGCCGACGTGGACGAGAATGGTCACCAAAAGGACTTCCGAACTTACGCTAGCAGCATGATACTTATCCCCAAGGAAGGGACCGTACTGCCCCCGTTGGAGACGGGCAAGACGGTGCTGGCGCTGTATCCTAATACTACCACTTTTTATAAAGCTGAAGTTATGGGCATGGACGGCGATGGGAAGGTTAACTTGAAATTTGAGGGCGAAGAGAGCAGCAATACAATGCAAGCGGTAATCCGTCGGCACGTTGTAGAGTATCGAGGTTGAGGAGAGAGGGGTTTTTCTAGGTTGGTTAAAGATTAGGAGTTCAAGGCTGATCGGATGGGACCCGGTCTGGAGTTACTAGGTTCATCGGTTCTTTGGGACATCATTCCTGTATGCAATAGCATCAGCTTGTTACCTACTTGCAAAGTGATCTGCTGGGTATCTGAGCCAATTATGGCTGTCTATTTTGACAGGATACTCAAACTCATGATGAAATTGAATTGAACAAGTTGGATCTTACTTGGCTATGATAACATCTGAACAATCAAATAGCTAGGTGAAGGATGAATCTTGTTGATTCAGGTCGGAATAAACCCCTTGATCCTGGGTATTTCTTAACGGTTCAAATGATTTGCCAAGCAACAGCTAACGTTGAGCTGAAAAGGGGCAGATCCAATTAGTTGGACTGTGAGAGGAGGATATGATCCCAAATCATTTGAGTAAAGGGTAAAGGGTAAAAGGTATTGTTTAACCCTGCATATACAAAGAACCAATCATAACTCTCCATTGTAGCGAATGCACCTCACATTCGCGACGCAACCTCCGCTTTGTCAGGGGTCTCTTTCGTCACGGCCGAATAGCCAGACGTTTGTAGGGTTTTCCATCAGCCTCTTACCTACGAGGATGCGTTGTTTGCCATCTAGAAGCTTTTGTCTACTCTGCCAAGGAGGATCCAGCTTGTTTCTTACAGGTGATAGATATGAGTTGCCAGCATATACAGATTTAATGTGATACATTATCATCCAATAGTTAGTAGACTCAGCTCCATTGTCCCTTTGTTTCTGGTAATGTTCATTGCGTGCCTCTGAGTATTGAACATGGTCTTTTACATCATGGAGGCGGATATGACAAGTAAAGGACCAGACCAAAGTGCATCAAAGATTTAAAGATCAGGAAGGTAATCGTAGAAACTCGAGGTAGTATTCTTCCTAATTATCTACCTCTTCTTCAACTTGCAACCACCTACCTAAGGTAATTAGGTACTTTTCATTCTTGCATTGAGCTGGTCTCACGCCTTACACTTTACGCTCCTTTGACGCAAGTAATCTACCTCACCTATACTGTCTCCTGGATCAAGCCTTGCTGTTGTATTATTGGTAGACGCGAGAATCTACCTAACGAGCGAGATAATAGACAACCTTGTATTAGGTAGCTGTCATATTAATCCGCGATGCTGGCGATCGTTACTCTTATAGCCCTGCTAAGTTTCGCAGAGGCCAGCCAAAAGACACCGCGGACCGCTATACCTTCAAGTCTAAGCTCGTCTTCAACTGCGACTGCGACAACTTTGGCGACGATACCGTCAGTTGCGACAACGGTATCGAATTGCGTAGCGTCGGCGCAGCTTAATATGTCAAGCCCTACTCGGCGCCTAACAGGCGCTTCTGTTGCTTTGGGGACCCGATGTACTTCTTTGCCACTCGATATTCCTACATCTACGACATCCACATTCGTACCAACGGGGACCGCAAGCGATCCCGAGATCACGCCCTCACCCGAGTTACCTCTAGAAGGAGTTAATTTCCACACGATAGATATCAAATACGTGCAGACTACGTACTGGAGCTGTGTAACATTTCCTCTGGAAACGCACTGCGGCTGGCATGAACCTATACTGGACGCTGGTGCGGCGGGGATGCGATACGAAGACAGCGGAAAGGTAGCCCTAAGGGCCGGTGTCGTGGCCGGCATTGTTGCTGGCGGATTGGCGCTCGGGATTTGAAACAGCGTCTTGTTCATTCGGTGTTCTTTTCTTGGGGATGGGTAGAAAGTTACCTATCTTGAACGACCTAGGAGATATCATCATGATAAATCCGGGCACTGCTGCGATTGTTAGATACCACGTAACCTAGGAAAACAAAGGCGTTCAAGGCGTTCAAGGCGTTAGTGTAGGTACCTGAGTTAGTAGTTACTTGGGTAATGAATAAATAAATATGATTAGCAGATTAGGGTGCGATCCGGTGTGATGATGCTACGCGATCCCGTGGGAATACGTCACGTACGAAGGCAAGGGAAAAAACGAGCCGGAAAATGGGTGTTGCCATGAAAACTCTTTGATTTATGCTATCGTGTTGGAAATCATCAAATTCATTCCGCCACGCCTCGAGGAAATTTCACTAGTACCGCGTCGAGAACTAGTACGTAGGATGCAGATATGCATTTTCGCGTATGATGCACAGAGCCAGTGCCGAAGCTGAGCCAAATCCCACTCCACAAAGACCAGACCAGAACACCTAGAAGCCCATCGTCTATTTCTCCTTCTTCGCCTTGGCGCCCTTGACCTTGGCGGTACCCCGTAGGGTCTTCTGTCGGTTCTTGCGTTGCTTGCCTGTATGTATGTAAAACTTGTTGTTAGATATTTTCCGTCTAATTGCGACCGAGTATAGACACGATGTATCTGTGGGAAATCTGTGGAAAAAGAGAGGATAATAGATGATGGGATTTATAAACGTACGTTGCTGTCTTGACGCTCTCTCGACCTTAGTAGCAAGGCCGACACGGATGAGTCGGTACTGGGGCTCGAATTTCTTCATGGCCTCGGGTGAGTCGTAGACTAGGGCGAAACCGGTAGTCTTGCCGCCACCGTATTGCGTTCGTAGACCGAAGACGGAGATCTGATCCTTCTGTGCCTTGTACATGGCGGACAGCTTTTCGCGGAGCTCGTCCTTGGAGATGTTGGGTCGGTTAGGGTGTAGGATGTCACTGTAGAGAAGAAGAAAAAGAAGATATTATGTTAGTTTTTGTTACTTCTCCATCATATAATTTATACCATTCCAACTTGAACCGTACTCTCGCATTCGGAATACGATATCTCGTTATCCAGGTGGGCTTATAACATACACGACCATCTGCTTGCGACCGAGGAGAGGGTTTCGGATGAACTTGCGAGTTCGCAAGGTGACCGAAGTCTCGGAGTCAGCCATCTTCGCGATTTATTGACGGATCGAAATGGATTCGAAGGATGCGATCTGTCAAGAGGAAGATTGGGCGTTGAGGGGACTTGATGTTGCTGCTTGGATTAGTATTCGAATGGTGGGAAAGGCGTTCACGAAAATTCGTAGCCGAAAGTGGGTGGATTTAGTTAGTGGTGCTGTGATTGGGGCTAACAAACCCGGACTAAGCAAATTTCCGGCCCGCTCCTTTTCTCGTTTTCTTTTCACTTTTTTGAGGTGTGCATAGGTTTAGTTACCCGTAGGCGAGGTTAAAGCCCTAAGAAACTTTTGATACTTGGGTACACCGTAGGACATGCGCATGGTCCCACTAGGTTATATGTACCTAACCCAAATTATGTCAGCCACACTGGACGGGCTGACGGGCATCTCCCCCCGGTTTCTCAAGAATGATTAATTGAGGTACCCAAGTATCCTTTAAACTTTCGTGTGAGTTTACATCCCCCCCCCTTTTTTTTTTCTCCATCGCCAACCTTAACTGCGATCACATTGTGGAGATTAACCATATATATATCTACCTGGGTATATAAACAACACTTGAGATGATAGAACTAAACCCAACAGGCTCTAATACTAAATGTTTATTATATTGAATTTATACGGAAATACGTAGAAACACACTCGTTGAACATGCCCCCAGAAGAACATAAACTTAAAGCTGATGATGCTATCGATCGCTTCTGCCGCCAATACCTTCAACTGGAACGAGATCTTGAATATCCCCCAACTGAAACTCTGCGGGAATTAGACGTTCAAGACAATATATACCGGCGCATATTCGCCGATAACGCTCTTGCTTATACGCCTCCTCCGAGATATCAGCTACGAGTCCTCAAAGAGCTCACGTCGAGAATTGAGGCCAGTATCGAGGACTGGGATCTTCATGTAAGGAAAATCCATTAGTCTCATATAGGCCCATGTTTTATAATTTATATTCACTGTAGTTCTTATTCGAGTTCTACACAATCTACTTCTTATATATGATTTGAGTGATTTCCTCTTGCCATGTATCCATGGCTGATTCACCAATTTCCTCAGGGGGTTTCGGACGACTTGATGAACGCACTCTCAAGTCTTCTAGCACGCCAATTACCCTCAGAGACGACTGCTGCTCAACAAAAATCATATGTGACGTACACTTTGTCACTGCTTGATCATCATGGCAATGCCGCCCAGACTCCGGCTCAGATTACGCTGCTCGAATCCCGCAACCTAATTTCTGCCTCGGGGACTACCGGCTTGCGTACTTGGGAGGCTGCCCTTCACTTGGGACAGTTTCTATGTACAAATCCGATGCTTGTTCGAGGAAAGCGAGTTTTAGAATTGGGATCAGGAACCGGATATCTATCCATCTTGTGTGCCAGGTTTCTTTCGTCCACATCAACTATTGCATCTGACGGTTCCGATGAGGTCGTGGCGAACCTTCCTGAAAACTTCTTTTTAAACGGTCTCCAAGACTCGAAGAAGGTCAGAGCGATGGATGTCAAATGGGGACATGCTCTTGTGGGAACAGAAGACAAACACTGGAACGGCGGCATGCCGATCGATGTGGTCCTTGGCGCGGATATTACCTATGACAAGAGCATCATCCCGGCTCTCGTGGCGACCCTAGAAGAGCTAACAGGAATGTTCCCGCATGTTACAATTTTCATCGCCGCTACCGAAAGAAATCAGGAAACGTTCAAGGCGTTTCTTGATGTCTGCGAAAAGAGACGGTTCAAGGTCGAGGAAGTTGATTTTGAGCTTTTGCCCAGGCAAAGCCAACGAGGACCATTCTACAGCGATCAAGTACCCATTAAGATATGCAAAATACAAAAAGCATCGGGTATCTGAGGCTTGATGCTATTTCTCGAATTATTATAACACCTCGTATAATATCTTGACACACGCTTGGAGATTCTGGCCATTTTTAACTATAAAGCCTTCACCTATCTACCTTAGGTATGATTTCCACCAAGAATTGAAATCACTTTGTGATCACTCGTTGAGTAACACCGGGTCTTCTGGACAAGGCTGCCCGCTTCCCGTCCGTAGCACGTGTGCAACATAAACGCCATACAAACACCATGACACGGGATGAAGCACTGCCGTATGGTGGCAAGTTTCTTAGGACATCTCACACTCAGTAGACCGCTTGGAGGCTTGGAGAATGGGGAATCTGATGAAATCTTTCAGCTTTAATCAATTTTCCCCAATGTCTGATATATTAGAGAAAATACCCCGTCTGGCATAAGCCAATAGCGATACAGTTGGCATCAGAGGATCGTCCGTCCTAGAAATGTTTGGAGTACCGATGAATCACCAAAGCTATCGAGATCTCCAGCGGTTTTACACAGGTACTATCAAGTTTCTTTTCTTTCTATTTATACGAAATTTATTTCCATTGCTTTTACCTACCTAATAATATGCTCTGCAGAACAACGTGCCTAGAAATACCAATAGCGAAGTCATGCCGGACGACCAGGGCGATGATGGACTGGCGCCCAGTGCCGCAGCAGGGATCGGAGTGGGCTCTACTCTTGGGGGAGTAATTCTGCTAGCTCTAGTTGCCTTCCTGATTCACCATGGACGACGTAATAGAACTAAGATGGGAGACGCAGAAGCCGATGCACAGAACATGAAGGATTTGAAGCAGAAGGCAACCCAACTCGGCACTCGAGGAATACTACAGGAGACCAGCTGAGCGCAGTTTCTACGATTCGATGATGGTGGTTACCGGCATATGTGTGTTTTTTTAAAGCAGAATTGTATGACGAGGATATCAGCACTGCGTATAAGCATGGCCTATGCCTAAGAAGCTTATCTATACAAGCTCCTTGCGCAAGGGATGTTTAGTCAATCCAGTAAAGGGATATCTCGAGCTCCCCTTCTTCGACTAGGTGCGAGAGGAATATAATGAAGTCTTCTAGCCCCGTCTTTTCTTACCTCATACTGTCTCTGTTCTCTGTTATGGCAACGGCTTTTTCTTGTAGGTGCTGTACGAAGTAGGATTTGGCTATAAACGTGACTGGGGCAAGAAGACAAAGGATTGGCTTTTACTTTACCTTAGGTATCTACCTAGGTAGGTGCCCGACACATAATTCACAAATGCCCTCGGCAACTCCGAAATATACATCTAGTTCTTAGGTACGCGATGATAGTTAGGAGTAGTAATAGTAGATCTTATCCGAATTCCCTACGCTAGACGCGTTGAATATAATCTGTAACTACCTACAGGTAAGCATTATATTCAAGAGATATCTGCAAGACATTATAGCGTATTCATAGGCAAGTAGTTCACTTAATAATGACGGAAAGAGTTTTGGCATGATTATAATTGAGCCACTGATCACTATCTAGAGTCAAGTACGAGTCTATCAATCGACAAGCGACCCGACCACAAAGCTAAGCCCCAGCCTACACAGTTCTTTAGGGAATAAGCATCCACAAGAATCGTAAGTGAGATGTTCCCCCCGTGAGGACCCCCTTCCAAAACTCAAAGTATTTAGAAGCGAATAAACGTGTGGTTTGTGCGAGAGAATGACATGAAGTATAAACAGCAAAGGAATCCCACCAAGAGGGTTTTTCTCTCCAAGCCGCTCGGTCTCATCGAAGAAGTGTACTGTAATGCTGGACGCCAGCCAAGGGACCATCAATACTGCAAAAAAAGGAATCAACAGCTCAAAATACTGTCATCCCTTAACACGGTTATCAGTGCCCTCCAAAATCAAATCGCGAAAGGAAATGGCCATTCTGTTCTCCAATCTAGTCCCGTCCATTCGTGCGTAATCTCTGCTCGGAGGGTTCTACCACTCCGTCGCGACGTTCATGAAAAGACAAAGACGTTGGGAGCATACGATCATTATTGCGTGAAAATATTAAGGCAGCCGGGCGTGCCCTAAGCCGCGACACTACCCTTGCGCTTCTCGGCGCTGGTGAGCACGAGCATAGGCGCTTTCCGCTGACCGTCGATTGACTCAGTCTTACCAGAGCGCTGGGAACCGTTCTTGAATACACTCGCAAAGCTACCCTCACTATCGCCCCCACTGGACAAGCTATCGACACTCTTTCGTGACTTCTGGCGCGAACTGGGACGATCGGAGCCAATAGCTCCCCAGCTACCACTCGTGGAAGTCCTGGAACTAGCGAGACTCGGCTCTGCATCGCCCGAAAGGCTACCTGAGCCACTACGCCCAGAATCAGATTCGTTGTCAGTCAATGGTGTGCAAACCTCCTCCGCGCTCTCAGATACGGGGCTCATGCTTCCGCAGCTACTACCCGTACCCTTGCGCCTAACCATCCCGGCCTTGACAAGATTGTGGACAGCGGAGCGGCGAGTCCGTTGCGCAAAGTTCTTGCTACCCTCGTGCTTGGCGGTAGGCTTTGCCCTAAGCTCGTCCAGAGCGGGCGGACCACGAGGCTGACGAATAGGGTGCTCACCAGCACGAGCCTGGCCTGGGCCATAGCCACCATTAGTCATGGGCGTGAGTGGGAATGAGGCCGTCTTGGGACCAGCAGACTTGGGGCCATCATCCATCGATAGCGACATGCCCTTATTTCCATTCGCGAGAGAAGACGACTTCTTATGACCTCGACGAAAAGCATTGGCGGATGGAGGTGGCAGTGGTGTTGGTTCCGCAGTCATTTCTACCTTCTTGGGAGGCGAGGCAGTTCGGAACGCAGGCGGTGTGCTCTCCGTGGGAGGCGGCGAAACTTGAACGCGGGGTGTGCCGTTATTTGCCTGGGGATGGCTATAAGCCTGAGGAGTAGCGGGGGTGCGATCCGAATAAGTGTTGACGTTCCTCATCTGGGCCGAATTCTGGTTAACGTAGTAAACTTGTTGGCTAGCGGCTTCGTAATAAGGGTTAATGCCCTGCTGAACCTGCATAGGGCTAGCCATCGACTGTTGCAAGTTTCTGAGCTGCTGTTGCTGCTGATACAGATTCTGCAGGGCCATCTGCTGCTGCAATACGGACTGTCCGCTGAGAGTCATAGCCTGGAACTGCTGAGCTGCCGCCTGGACACTGAGCAGCTGTTGCTGCAGTCGCTGCTGCTGCTGGGCTAGGTACATGTTGGTAGCTACCAGCTGAGCATAGAGCGAAGGATCCATCTGGTCTTGAACTTGCTCATCAAGATAAAGCTCAGGGGGTGCCAGGATCTGTTCGGCCGTATATTGCTGCTGACTGGAGCCCATCATTGGGTTGTAGCTCTGCTGCTGAGTTGCAAGACGGGGATGCGACGTCTTGGGTCCTCCATACATGGCGTCTTGGCTACCATACATGTTTCCAACACTGTCCCTCCCGTGAACGCGAGTGGGCGGAACAGCGGAGGTTGGCGAGGAGGCAAACGAAGTTGCGGTAGCCGACTTTGGCGCCGTCCTCAGACATGCAAGGAGGTGAGAACGGCTAGTTCGCGGGGTGGGAACTCCGTTATCCTTGGATTCGGTAGACGTTTTGATAGACTCGAAGGATAGGGGTTTGATGTTCTGGCCGCCACCGCGGCGCGAAGCAAGCCCTCCGGTGGGCATGCCCAAACCGGTCGGCGAAGTGAAACCGTTGTGAGACATTTGAGCGAGACCACCGGTGTCCATACTCAAATTATAAGAAACACTGCTTTCTATAACAACGGGACAATTGCTTTAGGGAATCGTGACGCAAGATACGAATCCAAGCGACTGTGTGAGCGATTAGAAGTGAAATCTAATAAAGAATGGATGATCGCCTCCGAAACAGTAGGGCGGCCAAAATGATATTACAACAAAAGTAGATTGACGAGAATAAATGCGATCCAGGTTTAATTAATGAGATGGAATTGTCGGGCCTGTCGGTAATCTCAATTGCGTGGTGTGTGGCCAGACAATCGGCGCAATAGCTAATGATGTAGCAATTGGGAAGAATGTAGTATCAAACGTGGCTCGCCGGCAGGATCCAACAAAACCAAAGCAGTTGTGCTGAAGCTGGTAATGGAAAACTGTGGACAAGAAACAGAAGATGGATGCAAATAGATGCGGCTATCGTGGGTGTTGTGTTTTGTCTCTTTGGAGGGGGGGTATTATTAAACTAATCCGTAGTCGTGTCCGAATGAGCGACAGACGATGCCAATGACAGGAAACTGCGTAGTCAAGAAGGAGAAAGGTTGAAGGTAGTCCGAATGAGGTTTCCCAATTGATCCGGGTGAGACAAGGCAATGAACGAGAATCGGTGCAAAAGACGGAACAGAAGGGATCGCAGCCTCGAAATCGCACAGGGGCAAGGTAGAGGCGACTACCTAAGGCTCCAACTTCTTTGTCGGCTTTTAACCCGTCCGAGAGCGGTGTTATGGCTGGACGGAATGAATCCTGATCCCGAAAGTTGACGGTGTCGATTCCTAGCACTTCGGCTTTGTTCTTTGAGGAAATACCTTGGGACGAGAAAGAGTTCCTTGTTTCTAGGGACTCTGACGAAGAAATGGAGAGAATGTCTAATGCAACCGCTCTAAACAATTCTAAAAACCTTGCAGGTGACTTTTTACTTCTCCTAAACGGGTGCCGTTCAGTTTCTTGTTATTGGGTTGACGTAGTTGGGAAGGACGATATTATGGTCAGTCAAGTATAAGGTATACGATAAAGGCGATGCGAATCGAAAACGGCGAAAGAAACGTCGGTAATTTGTACAATGATTAGGGTGTCGAATAAATCGATCGGGTCTTCCAGCTCTTCTATCTCTCTTTTTTTTTTTTATCTTTTTTTTTTTCTTTTCCCTTAATCCTGTGTTTAAAAAAATGCTGACTGGTGATGGTGGCGAAATTGTCGTCTTCTCGAGAGAACGCGATGCAGCAACTGCCTCTCCACTTGACGCAACGACGAAGGACAAGCCTACGACGGGTAGTAATTGATTGCGCGCGAACACAAAAAAGGGGAAACCTCGAGTAGGATTAGGAACCAACAGGATAGAGAGAGAGAATAAAGGAAGGGCGAGATGCAATAGGGGGGGGGGGATAAGGAGGGGAGAAAGAAAGAGAAGATGGACAAAAAAGTTAAGAGTGTTGTGGATGAAAGGGAAAAGATACTTGTGTCCGTCTGCAGGAGTGGGAAAAGTGAAAATTGCTGCAGTGGGTTTTTTTTTTCTTGGGCGGGTGGGCAGGTCAGGCCAACGAATGCGAGCACGCTACAACTCGCTGTCTGGAACTGTGGACCGTGGGTTCTCACTGAGCACATCCTATTGCACGTCTACGCATAGTAATAATTGGTACATCACACTGTCTACCTACCTAAATTGGTCAACGAGTTGGAAGCAGCTTCGATGATTGGACGCAGGGGCTCGATTTTGCCGCGGTAGTGGATGCTAGCCAGTTGAAGTAGTGGATCCGAAGCACCAAATTGACCACTAATTCGGAGCCCGACTTAGGATAGTAGGCACTCACTCTGCCTGGCACTGCTGCATCTGATGTACATACGTTATTTATGCCGGGGAAACTGCCCCTTCTACATACTTAATGCTACCTACTATCTGAGGTGCATACTGTATAGCGCAGGACAGTGTTATTCGTACAGGTATTGTTAGGTACTACATAATAAATCTAAAAGAGAGTTAGATGGTGTGACAAACTAACACAGTTAAAGAGTGGTACCGCCCTGCTTACCTAGAGGTATACACGACATAGGTACCCGTGATTTAGTCTTTTATCGCGGGGATAGAAAGCAGCCCAATCATATCAGAGGATTCCGTCTTTAAAAAGGGGGCAACAGTTTTTTTTTTAAAAAAAAAACTTAGCTCAGGCTTTATATTACATAATCCACATAATCCAGAATTGTACACATATACCACTTATACCAATAATGAAATACCGGCGTAACCGGAGACGCGACTCGACTTGTTTTGTACCTAACACTAGTTATTTTCAACTTCGTATTTTAATTGTTTCTATTTTGCTAATGTATCACTTTTCTAAGCCTGGCTTGTAAGTACTAAGTACAGGTAGCTAATGTGCCTTATTCAAATAACACACACAACACATATCTTGGACTGGACTTCGAGATGCATGCACACTTTGTCTTATAAAACACCAAAATATTTGTCGGGTCATTTTCCGAAGCTGATCTCGCCGAACCTTTGAATCTGATACTTCGATTCGACCCATCTAGTCCGTTCAAGTCCTATATACAATGAAGAAGCACGCAGATGGACATTACGCAGGTGCGAGAAAGAGAAGAAAGACAAGACAAGAGAAGGCCGGAAGGATCTTATGAGCATGCAAAACCGGTCTTAACTTGGACCCTGTCATCGTCCGGATTGGGACTTAAAAGGATCTTTACCCTGTAGGAACCCTGTAAGAGTCCTGTATGGGGAGATTAAACCCTTGTGATCGACCACCGCCCATGCTTGCAGGCTTGTTTCATGTGCCTGAAACCCAGCCCACCATCATGGAGGTATGGAGATATGGAGATATGGAGGCGTGCGTAGCGTGGCAGCGTGGCAGCTTGTATCATCCGAACAGTAGGAGGTATGCAACCTCACGCGGTACCTTGCCGGATTACGCTACTTTGATGGCTTGGTTAAGGTACCTACCTAACCTAAGGTATGTATTGTATCTCTACTGGGTACGAACTCATTCGCTACACTACCTATGTATGTATTCACCTAATGTTGCCAAAGGCGTTCGCGCGGTTGATATAGGTATTCACTGCTCTGCTTTGTATAAGGTATGTAAACTAAAATACGATTGCTCAGATGACATGGATGAGGAATACACTGAAGATTAATGCGAGGCAACCTGTTTTTAAGCCACAGCGCCGGGAGCCCTTGGTCAATTGTTACATACCCCAAGTGTCCGGTTGCTAAAACAATCCGAGACGTTCAACTCATAATAATCCCACTAAGTCGTTGAGTGGGGAGAGACGGCAGACTTCTAACAATACTCGATACATACCTCGGAACCAAGGCCCACGGATATTGACTCAAGGATGTTAACTCAAGGATGCTGACACATATACGTTTGAGAAAGTCACGGTTGATTCCTAGAACGAATTGCCAAATGTCTGCGAGTCAAGCTTCTCCGACGGCTAGATTGTCGTCTATTTGACGCCAAGTATAAAACGCACACATGTAGCCGCGGCTAATGAGCCAGTCGGTTCAAGATCCTTCGACTTTGGGAAAACCAGGCTTGTAAAGGAGGAGGAACCTGTATGGTATAATACCCATATGGTTAAGTATTAGGGGCTACCTTAGGTATGTATTCGCATCCACGTGCGTACGTATGTACGGGACGCGCGTTAAAATCGATATAGCGAATGCCGTAATACAAGCGAGTAATTCTCCCTTGCTTCATTTAGAAATTAAATGGGACATGCAAGCTAGGCACTGGGTGAATATTTCCCAAGCTTCTCCGAGCGGCCAGCGTCTGTCACTATACAATACACTACCAATATATACTAGAAGATTACAAGCGTTCCATCTTATGTGTGTAAGGCTGTATTCCGTTCCGCATGCAACCTGCAGTCTGTAATCCGCGATCAGCGATCCTCTCCCCCTGCGCACAAGCGGCGCTTAAAAAGTGACGAACCGTACAACCTTTAGGTACCTCACATGCTGAGCTCAAGGATTCAATGCCCCGCCGGATCTGCTCTTGCACGGCATTGGCAGACTAGCTCTTGGCCATAAGTCGTTTGGACCCCAACCAGTATATTTATATAGATGATTTTACGTGGCTTCATTAGCCGTGGCAAATTCGCCTTCACATCCCCTACTTGTCCGCCTATGCAGTGTGCCAGTGGATGATGCGCTTAATTTTCTTTTCTTCTTTTAAGTTACTCAGCGCCATTGCGAGTCAATAAAGCTTAGCTACCGAGGTAGATACAACATGTAGAATACTACCTAGTCGAGTGGCTACCTCAATAAACAAGAGCCTAGGCCTTGAGGGTGGCCTTCGAGCATGGCCCTAAGGTTGGATTAAGGGGGCTTCTGCAAGTGATCATATTCAGTCCTACGCTTATAAGCCGCCAATTTCCACGTGCTAAGTGCCCTTCCCCCCTCCCCCCGTACATTCAAGACATCCAATAACACTCCATTCCCTTTGGCTGACGAGTTTGATGACCGCCGAGGCTGTGTGTTACCCGACCATGTAGTGACAATATTTCTACCATTTCTGTCGTCACACACAGCTTACTGGGAGCGGCTCGGAGCACTTGATACCCAAAATATTCTCGCATTAACCGGCCAACACGTGATATCTAAATGGCAACGACAGGTGAGCACGTCTAGGGCCTACGATAGCTTCTAAGTCGAATAATACGCAGAGGGAAGACTTTTACATTCATGGGAAGAACTTAAGGTACAGGACCATCGAGAGCATAATAAAAGTGAATTTGCAAGCTTTGTAACTCGGTAAAAATATAAAGATATGTGGAATATGAACGGGAATATCCCAATTGCCCCCTATATACCCCATACATTAGTCTAACACCCGCATCTCGCCAATTCTTATTAGACTTGATGAGTATAAATTACGCCCGCCAACGCCGAGCATATTGCCGAGTTATTCCTGAGAGATAACTTGAAGATAGTAATGAGTGAAGCATCTATCTGACGGCTTGTAATATCGATTCAACCAACTTCGATGCCCCCTTTTTAGTAGAACCAAATAGAGTCAGATGAATTATAGTGAAATAGTCCCGGCTAATTATATTCTTCCTTGACGAGTAAAGGCAACGTCTAGTTTTATGCCATCAACCTTGCAAGGAACTGACAACTTCTTAGACAATCCCAGTATCCTCAGCCCTTCCGTAAACCCCATACTAAGTTGCCTACCCCTTATACATGTTGTCAGCCTCAAATCAGTATCAGTCGACATTTTATGTTTTGTGTTACACATTGGATGCATTGTCAATGTATGTAAAGTAGATACCTTAGGTACCTATATATGATGGCTGCGAAATAGCTAAATATTTTGACTTAAATCATAAGAGAACCGGCGGATCAGTTCCTCTGAAGAATGCTCAAATGGAAGCTTATTTGGAGCTTGCTTGTTAAGATTCTGCTACCCAGACTTACGAAGCGGTACCTACGTCAATATGTAAACGTTGCCTCCTCGTAGTGTCACCTGAATTCTGGTCGTCGGTTTAAAGCTTGTGGCATTTATCCTGAAAGACGATCCCAAGGCTTTTGGAATTGTGAAACCCTATCTGTGGGTGCTGTGGTTTTGTTATGGTGAAAACGGGAGGTAAAATATGGTTCAGCAACATCTAATATATAGCCTTTGCGGGTTCTTTCTAGACGACAAGCACACAAACAGGCACTTCACTATTGTTCGTAAGTCCACGTATCGCTTTTCCAAGCGTCAGGTACCTGGGCACAAAGATGGGAGATGGCATGTCAACTATTATCATAGAACACGACTCCTGACTCGATCTCTTGAAGCTTTGACACACAATTTGCTCCTTTCTTGAATAAATACTGATCAGGACCCAGCCAACTGTCCTGTTAATGATCAAATATAGGTACCTTAGGTACTTATCCTGGAGTTGTCCATGCCAAAACTCGTTAGCCTTCCCGTGAAAACATGAGTGCGACTATACGATTAAGTATGTTTTAAGAGACTACGATCTTGGCTTTCTTTTCTTAGGTGAGAAACTCTAAGGAGTGAGTCAATATTATCCCTATTATGTTCTTGACTGTAGTAGGACCGCTCCATATGAGGTAACATCACGCTCTACCTATTATCAACCATGGATACATGGAACCAGAAGCTATGGTGTCAATTTCATTTCGTCTGTTGGTTTAGATTGGGCATAAGGCTATGTACATCCAACGCATCTATGGATGTCTCTGTACTAGAATATTTGTGAACGGAAGTTGTGCGAATATACTCTGCAGTTAGTACACCTCGTAAGGCCTAATACGCCATAAAGTCACGATACTGACTTACCCAGGTCCATGTCGCTTGGTTTAAGGCCTTCGCCATAATTACTGCCCGTTTAATAGGGGGGCGCCTATATCCCTCTCATTGTGACTCATTTCCCTGGACGCATGATCTAGCACTCTGGTGGTTTTCATCTAAATTGCCTGTTTGTGGCGACATGTAGCATTATATTCTATGGTGAGACTAATATCTCTAGCAGTTCTAAGAGTCATAGAGCCTACAAGGCGGGGGATGAATCACGATTCACACAATACGCATTCGAGGTATTGCTAGGCCGATGGAATCATCTGGCTTACCTTGGAATAAATTTTACTGTTCTATGGAAAAACCTCTTGGGCATATCTCTTTTGATATGTTAAATAGGTCACTATGAATGCATGTGATACTTGGTTATAAATTACGTTAAATAGCGGGATACTCGGTCTTAATTCCCAACTTAGATTCACTTGCCACTAACATATACCTGTTCACTTTTCTTCATGTCAATATCCGGCATCCCAACCAAAGGCACAGAAGTGATTTAGATACGTACTATCAGAACTTTACATGGAAGTAGCCTACTGGCTCGATACGTATTGCTGCCGACATCCCGGCTCCGGCCTTAAAATGGAGCTTTCACTTGACAAGCCAGGTACCTACCTACCTACCTACCTATCTAGGTAGCTACCTCTCAAGACTCTTGGTAGACCGAAGAAGGAATGAGTTGGTAAATTCCCATCAATTGATTGAGTTATGATGTAATTATCTTATATCTATATGTCCATCTCCTGTATCTTATACATACCTATGGCTTGAAGTACCCCTCCAGGGCATTATAAGCGAAGTGGTATGCCATCAATTTAGCAATTTGAGATCACCGCGCCTCAATTTCCATCTCAGAGGGTTATCTGGTACTAGGCCTCCATTTACATCGACTTGCGGGCAATGATATGGGCGTATGATCTGCGGAATCCTTCCTAAGGATGATTCTCGGCAGGTATCTGTCGATGTGGAAGAACTACCTCATATGATGGAATTAAGATGCCATATCTAAGATCTATCGGATAGGAGGCCGACTTTATACTGAACCGGTGAGCGACATACTTAAAAAAGGGCCCGAATAGGTAATGTCGGCTTTAGTATATCTAGGAGAAACTCTAGTTCATCTAGGGTTGAGTGGTGGTATAATTGATAGAACCTGCGTCTACATTTCCCTCTTGTAGAGGCATCGAGCCAAGGAGGTTACTTCGTCGTGTATTCATGTTCCTTCATGGCACGGCAACGCGTATCCTTTATTGCAAGAGGATCGAGGTAAATGAATTTGCTTTCTTGAGCCGCCATGCCGAGCTGCGGCGCACTGCATGAACATTGCTTATTACTTTCGGGGGGAATCGTAACGGCGTCGAATCTCCCTCCAGTACATCTAACCGAACACCTAGGTACCTTTTAGCTTTATATGTACCACGGTTACTTGAATAACCCAACACCAAGGTTGCGGCCGAACTAATATCTGGCCATACCTATTATGCGCTTGCCTTGTCTGGACCAAGCTCCTATGTAAGGGCTGAAGTAGGTAATAACATATGGTAAATCTTCCTCCTAGGATCGGAGCCATCCCATGCGGAAGGTGCGCGGATACCGCGATATGTGAACCCTTGCCTGGGTCCTGGAGAGGCCTATGTAATATGACGTGAGATCCCTCGGTCAACCAGGCCAAATCCTCCTCGGTCGTGACAGGGCAATGGCCCGCAGCCAAGGCTAGGTCGCGAAGTTTGACATTGTAGCAGCCAGATAGGTAAGCATACCTAGTTCCTTATTCGAATAGCAGGAGACCGGCATGATCAACGCAGGGGTTGTGTGCTTGTGAGACTTCCAAGCAGAGAAATGCAAGGGAAGTTCGGGTCCTGTGCGGATGTTGCATGCTTTACGACTCTTGTACCTTAGATTCAGCCCTAGGCACGACGCGGGGATTTGGGGCTGGCCTGTGCCCTTGTTTCCCTATTCCTTATTGGGGTGATGGGTGAGCGGTCGCATTTTCGTCAAAAAGCTTAGGCCTGTTTGCCCATTGCGTATTTCGGTCGGATGGGATCGCTTCGCAGCGTATTTCACAGCAAGTCGGCTTTTCGTATCAACAGGTTTGCGGACCGATCTTCTCACATCGAAGAATCGGTGTACGCAATATTATCCGGATAATACTACTGCTTTCTGAACTGGGGACCCATGAATGTATCTGCCTAGAGTAAGCGTCTATTAGTAGGACGGCCTACTTCCCCTGAGTACTGTATCCAGAGATTTGGGGGGGTCCGCAGAAAGTATCCATATCAGAACAACCACACGAGGAGGGGGAAAAAAGAAGGAAAAGAACAAGAAAACCCATCGCGTTTCACAGAGCTGATACGAGCTATGTCGACATCGTCAACATCATTAACACCGGTGCTAGTGGCACAGAAGAGTTCGCATAAATAAAATTAATTCGATGTTGATGCAAAGGTGGCTGAGCCCTATTCCGAAAACCAGCACAGCCGTTTTATTCTCTTCGCGAACAAATAACGCGCCGCGGCACTAAGCTCAGAGCACCCGGCATGACCGAAGCCACTCCACGCAGTAAGCGAGGGATGAAAATAATAAAAATAATTTTCTTGACACTCCAAGTAACAGGTGGAGGAGGCGGTAGTAAAACTTAGGTAGGCGAATAAAAAGAACAAATGGGACTCTTATCGACGTCGGAGTTCTTGCAAGATGATGATGACTCTAAACAACGCGGAGTTGCGGAATTAATCTGTCGAGAGACATGGAGGTATATACACAGATAGAAAGGAACAAAGAAATGGTCGTAACAGACATGAGCGAAATAACACCGTTCTCCCTGATTCTGATAAACAGTGTCGTAAAACAGGTACATCCTTTTCTCCCCTGATATTTAGCCACCCCGTGTAGAGAGAAAATGATAGGTCAAAATCACTTCGAAATTGTATAGAAGTGTTGCCCGTACAGCTTTAGAGAACGGATGTCTGCATCCCAGCTCGGGATAGACGCGTTGCAATTCCTAGCGTAGATACCGACCATAAGAAAAAAAAAAGTAAAACTCATCGGAACTCCTCCGGCTCCTTCGGGACGCCGCTCGTGCCTCAATATGCTGAGATGAGCTGAGTCGTTTGATGCTCCTCCTTTGTTGGGATCTCAAAACCCAGCCCACTGTTCTCTCGTTGGATACCTCCCGATGGTTAACGGCGATGTTCAAGGGGGACATTATCACCGTAGAATCCTCCCTGGCTACCAGACGCTAGGCAAGCCAAGCAAACACCTCCGCCGTACACTCGTGTATGCCGCTTCCAACCAGCACCTGAATCGTCCGTTACCGATATAATCTCGCCCTTAACGTCGATCTCCCTGGAATCGAGCGATTCGTGCGGCGCAAGGGGCAAGATTGGACTTGAAGACGGGAATGAGCTGGGGGCAAAAGATGCCCCATCGTGTTCCGAGTCCGTATGCGCTGGTCCGAGGGGTAGCATCTTTGCGTACGACCGTCTCCTCGGAATGGAGGGAGAATCTTGATCGTGGGCCAATGCAGTCGTGTTCGACTCGGGTGAATCTGACAGTGTATAATCTGGATTCGGCTGGTGGAAGAAGCTCGTATCCAGAGCACCCATGGTAGAAGCCGCAGCGCTTAGCCGGCGATCTTGAAAAGTAAAAACCCCTATTAAGAGAGTAGGTGGTGTTAGCGGCGGCGGCGGCGGCGGGCCAGATTTAAAGATCAGTGGCATGCCTGCTTCTATGTTCACGGGAGCTGCCATATCCCCCTGATGCCCTTCGCTGCTATCTCGGTCTCTAGGCATATCCATAGTGTGTTTCTTTTGCCCTTCGCCCAAGTTCCTATCAGCCCCCAGCTGTGAAGCTCCTGATGGCTGTTTCAGTGACATGACCTCGTTCTGAAAGATAACCCCACGAGACTTTTCTGAAATCCAAGGTCTGTTCGCGGTAGTAGGGCTGGCGTCTAGCTGACTAGTGTAAGTTGGGGTTTGTGACTTATATCTTCTCTTAAACACCAGTAGCAGCACACCGAGGGAAGTGAATCCTAAGCAGGTGAACAAGAGCCGCAGAGGGGTCCCCGGTATCGTATATAAGATACCGGGGGTCTGCTGCAGAGACAGGTTCACAGCGGGCATGTTTTCTTATTGGGGAAACTAATAATCATATGAGTTTCTGCGCCGTCTGGGGTCGGGCCTTCACCGATGTATGTATCTTGTACCAAGATGTGAAAGCTCGAGGGTGTACCGGGATGTCGATCGGGACAAATCAAGGACTGAGCAAGGGTTCTTGCTCTACTCAGCGTGTTTGGCCTCGATATCAAGCACACCGTGAAATATGCGCGTGTGGCATGAAGCGGCCCGGCTCGTAGACCAGGGAGGAGGGAGTGTGCAGATGTGGGAACTTGATGACTTTGGTAAGTAGATGATGGATAAATCGCGGTCGCTCGATAGGTCAAGATGCTCAACAAACAAGGGCTAGACCGGCAGCTTACAAGTTGGGGTCCTAAAAGGAGGGCCGCGGGGGATAAGATCACTCGCGGCTGCATAGAGCAGAGAGAAAGCACTCGGGTAGACGTCTTTATAGTCAATCTCGAGCTTATAAGCACGGCTTAACCCAACTATTGCGGAGCTACGTAGTTGACAGCCCAGACATGGAAGAAAACAGGATATAAGCGCCCTCGATGCTGTTAAAGGTTTCCTACCAAGCCAAAGGCGGGAGAAGGGGAGAAATTTATACGGGCGTTACCTAGAGCTAGTACTACTACATCAAGTCAAAGTCCCGTTACCAAGACATAACTTGACGAGACTAAGTGACAAGGGCCATTTACAAAGGAGGTACCTACCTACAATCATGAAAATAAACAGCCCGAGCGTCTGGGGAGGGTGTGAGTGTGAGTGGGGAGGGCGTGGGTTTGTGAATGTAGCTACTTTCCTCTTCAAGGCCCCGCCATCTTGGTCAGTCAGCCTCAATTGAGGAAACACGGATGACTTGGCGGCTTGCCTCTTCGGGCCCGTATATGAGAAGTCGGATATGTCATTGGGTAAGTACCTCTTAACTCAGGTATATAATTCACGCGAAAACGGCGGGCCGGGTCTAGGTAGGACAGCCGGTCAGATGCTTAAGTGTATTAGACTGCATGTACTCGAAGTGATCGATGCAAGCGGGATGGATTATACAGTCGAGCAGTCCTACGGATTAAGGTTGAATGACGCCCCAAGTTATTGGAGTCAACGCCTTTTATGCCGGCATGTTGCACGATACCTAGTAGAAAAATGATTCATATGTGTATTTGAAATTGCGGCAAAAAAAAAACCTGGCCGAATTGCGTGGTCGACGAAATTATCTGAGGCACAAAACTACGCCGTAAGCTTAGCCGTCAGTCGGGATCTGTCCGGCCACTTCGGTTGACAAGGGAGCACGAGACGAGGTGAGAGAGATATTAGTGTAGGTAATCTAGGATGAGGTGAAGAACGAGACGGGACGCAACCTTGAAAGAAATTTGCGTGTTAGCTGGAATCAAACAAATTAAGACGGTGATCCCTGCTATTCTTCAGCGAGCTCAAATGAGACTCTCGAGAGTACGGACTTTTGTATTTTTCTATGTGGAGTGCTGTGGAGCTGTTGAGTGCTTTGAAGCTAGGTAACTATGTCCTGTTTATTTGGAGTTATCCTCTTGCGCATACTCTGGAGAAGAAGTGATGATATGAAAGGCAAGAAGAGGTTATTGGTAGAACTTAGATCGCCTTCGGCCTAGATTCTTGTTACATAGGTGCGATACCTAGGTAGGTAGGTACCTGCTTATAAGGTGGTCGTGGCTCTTTCGTGACGGATGATGCATCGTGACGCTCGGGCTTAAGCATTGGTTTTCCGTGGGCGCTAGAACTCTCCAGCTCTTCGGACAGTCATGATGTTACTATGCTTAGCTGGTCCGTGACATACCAGGTAAGCTATGCCTGGATAGCTACTATGTAGATGTTTAAGGGAAGGCAATAATTATAGGTACGTGTATCATTTTCAGCCGACGCAGCTGAATCGGGGCCCAATAGGACGGCCGGGGAGTATGAATTCAGGGTCTGTGTCGTAAATATGCACGGCATGTGAGCACATTAGCCTCCTATATCCCATGGTTGATGTCTAGACGCGCACTTGATCCTAGAGGTACAAGGCTGTGGATGGCTGACATGTACTACATAGATATTAAAAGCATAGGTAGATATTAAAAGTATGCGCGGTAGCGTGGCCAAGACTACTTGTCATGCTTGTAAGAGAACCGTATCTGTAAAAGAATTGATACGGCATTAGTCGAATCCCCGAAGCATTGAGGGACATAGGGACATCTGGACATCTTTTCAAGTATCGTACTAAATGGAAGGCGGTTAGCATACCTCCTATTGATGATTAATTTAGGAAGATACCTATATGTGAGTTTGCTAAGTTAATAGTTATAATAAATGGGACTGACGGATCCTTTTTTTTTTTTTTTTTTTTTTTTTTTCTCTTGCCTTCCCTCTCTAGGTTCATCCGCTTAATTAATGATTGAGAACAATCAAGGATATTTTGCAAGACTACTTCTGGAACGAGTTTAGCCTCGTACCACTAGCCCTATCTTGTACGAAGGTGGTCTGGGTAGTGAACGGGGTTCAGCTGAGGTGAGCCCTATGCCGCGTTAGCAAACCTGGTTCGAGAGTCGATCCCCGGCGGAGCGATGGACCCGGGGCAGCAAGATGGAAGTCGCCGGTGTCTAAAAAACGGCAAAAGAAAATTACTTGACGAGAGAGCTAGATGAGAAGAAGATGGCCCACGAACCACTTGAAGCACAGCCCCTTATTCGCCCCTTATTTCTCGGTTATTAGGCGATAGTGAAGTAGAACACGAGACTCGTAGAGCGGCAATATACACAAGGGGATCGAGGAATTCCTCGCTCCTACAAGCTCTCGCGGGGTTTTTGGAGTTGCCTTTTTTTTTTTTTTTTTTTTTTTTTTTTTTAAATAAAGGAAATGCCGGGGGAAAACAAGGTAAACGTCGACTGTTGTTTCTCTTTGAGACGCCGGCATACCTTGCACACCTAGGTAACCTTGCATATATACCTTGAGTACCTTGCGTACTTTGCATACCTTACCTCCTTACCTAAGGTAGCTTGTGAGTGGACATCTACGTAGGGCATGCAACGAGGTACTACTCTTCTACTTCTCTACTCCTTGGCTATTCCTTGACGAGTAGACGAGCAGACGAATAGTAAGCGAGATAGTATCATGTAATAGAGCGGCGCAGTGATGCTTGTGGGTAAACAAACAAAGGTGAACGGCATACGTCAGGTATGGGCCGATGCATGATACAACTGCCGCTGGTATCGATGCTGAATCTTGGTTACATCCGTAGGTGGTTGAACGATGGGTAGTGGTGAACATGAACCAATCTTGAAAAATTGAGAGTTACGAATAGAGAGGAAGAGAAAGGCCGTCGAATAAGCGGCCATTCGGATTTTGGGGGCGAAAGATTGTAGTTAGAAACAGGTATCGGATAGGCTGGTGGGATGGTGGGATAGGGCCTGGGCTGTCCAACAGTGTGGGCGTAGTGGATGTGCAGTGGATGCAGTTGGATGATTTTCAGCTGAGTTCACGTTGGCGAGTGGATCTTTATTTTGAATCAATTATGTCAGTACTGAGGTACATACGATACCCTGGGTAACGGGTTAGGCTGGTTAGGGCGGATTAAGGTAGGTACCTGGTAGCAGGTACGGTTTACAACACGATGTAACTTGGTCCTTTAGGTACTAGGTTAGGTACCGCCTACCTACATAGTATGTGTTACCATCGGCATCCATCACTTACCAGGCCCCAACCCCACAACTCTATTCATCCATCTTACTTTTTCTTTTTATTTTATTTTTTATTTTTTTTATGTGTGTCCCTCCCATCCTCCTCCTCATTAGTTATCCTAAAATTTGTCCCACCGGTTTACCTACACGTTCTTGTTCCCTTTTCTCTCTCTCTTTTTTTTTTTCTTTTTCTCTTTCGTACGACCGTATGACGGACAGAATTAACCAGGTCCAATACAATTAACTAAAACGTGGCCTTATGGTCATTATTCTTGGCCGTCTCCATCCCTCGGCGCCATCTTAGATGATAGTTGGCCGAATTATCGCTCTCGATTTGCGACTCTTGTCTGACCGATTAGTAACGGTTTCATATCAGTCAGCCTTGCCACCAACTTCATAGCTTCAGCAAGGCTTGCTTCATCGTTCAAATCCTTGTCTCGTTTTTTTTATTTCTTTTTTATTTCTCCTTCTCTCTGCTCTTCGTACTTTGAATACCGACTTAGACTTGAACCTAATAGTTAGGTAGACTACCTACTACACCGCCTCCCTGCTACGGCGGCTGATCCTAGGCCCATGATCCATCATCTTTCTTATCCTTGACCTTTCTTATATTTTGCCCTTCCTGTTTCTGGCAAGGTCGCAGTCTACTATGTCGTAAGGACGCGCAAGCCTAGGCGACGGACCAGGGGGTTAATGTTGATCGTTAGTACGAGGCTCTTGGAGGCGAAAGGCGAATTAAAACAAGACCGACTTGTCCTATCCAGTGGATGGCTTTTTAGGAGAGTAGAAAAAAAAAAACACTGCCACCGTAGCCACGTTACAGTGTACTACTACGCTCTCGGTCCTCTGACCTTTTTATTCTTGACCGCTTAATTCCTATCTTAGGAGTAATACCTCTCTTCCGCCACGGTATATGATCCATCAAGTTATTTTATGTATTTAATGTGTATCCATCTAAGGTTGAGACGTTGCACGAAGAACATCGACGTGTGTGGTTAGCTGATATAAGACAAAAATAGGTAACTAAGCTCTCAGATATGACGGTATACGATAGTATACGATATATACACCTAAGTGGTAATACCCAAGGTATTTGATAATATATGGTATGTTACCTTACGTACTAGTTCAACTCACCCTGACCATACCTTCATCAGAAACTTTTCGTCCGGGGTCCTTGTACCTACTGCTTACTACGTAAATCGTAGTAGGCAGTTCCACGGTTATGTGATATTTCTGGGTATATCTTAGGTTAGGTGGTACTTATACCTTACCTAGTACCTATCTACGAGAAACGAGAAACGAGAAATAAGAAATAGCCGCGGCGAATAAGGAGCAAGCCGGCGCTTAAGCCCATCCTTCTCCCCTTTTTACTTTTCTTCACAGTTAATGTGCAGTTAGGTACCTAACTTCAACTGTCACATCGGCGGCTGAAAGATCTAACTATTGTCAAATTATTGATAGCACATGGTTCAATGTTGCTTATTAAGAGGTATTTTATATATTTTGGTACGGGTATAGCTCGGTAACCCGTCTATTTATTTTCCTTAATCTTCTCCACTGAACAATCCTCCCCTCCCCCCTCGTCACCCGCCCCCCCCTTGTCTCCGATAATCACTCGGCGTCTTTCTTGCGTATTGCAGCAAGCGTCTCTCAGCCCTACGAGATTTAGGCCCGGAGATCCTGTGGTCGATCCACCACACTGCATTTTCGATCCACGCGTACCATTGGATGCCCAACAGTCCCAAATTCCGACTAGTCTCGAGGTACTAACATAGTATGGTAAATTCTGCTACCCCATGCTGCTCGTGGCTGCAGTGTCAGTCTGTTGGTCACAAGTGACGCCTGCGTTGCAACCCGAACCCGAATTTGAATTACTACCTTGAAAAAATGTACCATGTTCTGGCGTTGCAACTGACTAACAACACCCTTCACCAACATAGCCCAAATCTCTCTACCAATCCCAACCAACGACATGGAAAATTATCCTCAGCGCACGTTAGCACATCTCCGAGCCACCAGATCTAATGGCTATAATTTATAATTCAGTGGCTACTAGGAAATCCACTGTCTGCGTCATCTAGCCAAGGATAGATTCAATATTCGGCTTGAATAACAGACACGTGATCACCAGCTTGCCTTACCATAGCATGTCTACGTTTACGCTGACGCTATGCCTTTAGGACCTAGTCCTTGGCTCTTCTGGCTCTCCGCTTTCCACATGGCAGATGCAATGCGCGACTTTAAGCTATACGACCCAAATGACGACCTTCTTTTGGCCCGCTCTACCCGAGTCGGGCGAATTTGTTTTGGTCGTCCTACTGGCTCGTTTACGGTTGGGTTGCAAACAAAACCTACGACCCAGTTGAGTTGTCCGATCGGTTGTTTAGTACACAACGTTGATGTTGATGTTTTGACACGCTTTCTCGCCTGTCAAAAAAAAAGTCTAATCATGGTTCAGTCCAAGTTCGTCTGAGCCTCACGGCTACATTACGGCTACAGCATTTCTGCCTGCTCAGTTTCGTCAGCTTATTTGCCTTAAGAGACCATGCCAGGTTCTAAACATTAGGTGCTGGTCATAATTCGTGGTTTTGAATTCTGATATCTCTAGGTATGGGAGTGATGATTGAATTGGGTAGTCGATAGGACCCTACGTCAAAAATCCCTCCCCATCTCATTCCTAGGGTATAGAACTAATCCGACGACTCTTTAGCTCAACCAAATCCACTTCTCTCTACTCTACTTGTCTGACCCGTTCTCACATAAATACCTAGACTTATTTGGTATAGGAATGATAAATGATACACGATCCACGCATTACGAGCTTCCGGTTTTTCTCTTTTGGTTGGAGCACCAAGGGCATCGTTCCTATCTGACTCATGCTCTTGTGATATTACAAAGGTGAATGACCTATCCATCACTGGGGCGAGTTCAAAACTTGTCCTCGCAATCTATCAAAGGAGAACCTTAAAGCCGACGATCCCGAATAAGCGATACACATTTTTACTGCGATAGGGCAAATGCTAGATTTTACAACTAAACATCGAGCTCCTTAGTCGTAGTGGTCATCAATAGAAGCTCAACATGAGCTTAATCAGCTTTCAGAGACACCAACTATAACATCGTGAAATATTGAAATATTCTCTCAGATCAGTATAACAGCTGACAAATCCAGATATGGTCCTTCGCCTACCCACTGAACGGCTTACACGCAAGTCATACAGAGATATTAGTATGAACCCGCAATGCAGTTGATTGTAATATCCACTTGTATACCTGGTGCAACACCAATGCACATGGGTTGCCACAGTGACCTCTCGTTTCACCGGACATATCAAAGCGTCGTATCAGCTACATCTAACTTTCGTAAAGTGACGGTCTAAGTGAGGTTAGGTACTCTATTTATGGTCTTGGATTTGGGGGCTAGATGACGTGGACCAGTTGCGGCGCATTTGAAAAGGGACTTGACAGCTCGCATATCTTGGGCACCACGAATAACTCCAAGGACTTAGTGTTAGCTCAGCATCTGGAGATGGCCTGAGTTTGGGACGCGATCTTTTCCGAGCTTGTTGGCCGATAATTCGGTATCTAGGCGACCCGTACTTGCACGGCGTGAGTCCAACACCCGGGAAATCTGTTTATTCCCCCTATACCGGTATCTGAATTCAAACACCGTCTGACATAGCGGGATTATCGCGCTCTAGAGTCAGATGGGTATTCTACTGGAGAAATAATCTGAGGCAGACCACGTATGTGCTGACGGCTGCCATGCATCCTAACGGTCATACTCATACCCACCACCGCGGAGAGATTTTGGCGCCCCGTGCAGTTCGACTGCGGGATTAAGGTTTCTACTTCCTGGGCAACTCAGACGGTGCCCGGAAGACATATCCCGGAGTGGTCTCTTGCAGTCCTAGGACCGTAACGCCGTCGTTGTTTCTCCGGGGTTGACCTAGCAAAAGGGTAAGTAGAGGTACCTGTTACTAAAATTGGATTTCCATACCTACATGTATGTACGAAATAAATTTTACTTTACAACTTACTTTACAACTTACTTTACAACTATGACCACGTCGCTACCAGCTTAATGTGTTTCAAGAGGCGTGCGAGTTATCAACTTCGGAAACCAAAGGTAGAGTGTTGGCTTGCCTCGGTAGCACCACGTAGCCTTTATGGATCGCAAAATTATTGTGATGCTATTCTGAATACCGGAAGATACAGTAAATATACTTGATGTGAGTCTTAGGTACATGTAGTAACATCCTTAAACTATGAACTATTATTTATTCCGAATAACTTGACACCCGAACGATCCACCTAATTCGCACGGGACAAGTCTTTGCTATATGGATAAGCATGATACGAGGGGAAAGGCCACGCTCATAACGTAAACTTAAATCTATAAGTTTGAGGATGGTATCTATATACATAAATCTACCCCTAGGTGCTTATAGGTGTATGTTAATATTAAAATCCTTAACCGTAGAGGGGGGAAAATACTAAAATTATTCTTACCTCATCGAATACTGACCCTTCGATTCAGATAAATGCTTCGCATATGAATGTCACGTACCAATATGACCTTGTGATCTTCTAACTTGGTTCCACTGAGAATACAATATTAAATCATAGACTCCTAACCTAAAGGGGGAGAATACCCAGCGATCGGAAGCCAACTACCTTGAGAACCTAACTAAGGCTATAGGTAAACCGCTCCATTCGTTAGTCGTAGAGATAGCTTCATCAGCGGTGCAAACCGAAGTCAGAGTTTATGATCGGGATTTAATCGACTGAACGAACAAAGACGTGGGTGGTAGCGTTTCATTATGGTACATGTCATTCTCTCGTCTAATATTTCCCCTTCAGCTACTCCCCTTGCGTCTACGACTTCTTATAAGGCGAGGATTAACCGTAGTACTATGCTGGAGTAAAAGGCTGGCTAACTTGATGCTAATAGAGATGGGCCGTGCGAACTTTCAGCTTATGGAGTTTCGCCAGATCTTCGGCTGGGTAAACGTATGCGTACCTACCTTCTCTTCTCTTCTCTTGTCTTTTCTCGTACGGCTTGGCTTGGGTTTAGCACGAACTCCTAACTCTTGTTTCATGCATGAAGTTACCTATCTAACCCCCTTTTAGGATGTTTATTACGTATATCATCGTGCCATTCGTGGCGAGTACGTGGTGACAGTAGGATCCCGTACTGATGAGGTGAGTCTGTGTAAACGCTCGCGAGCTGGTCAGGGTACATCATATCAGTTACTAATAGGATGGAAATATGTCTGTGCCTCGTGGACAGGCTGAAAAGGTTGTGTAACAGGCAAGGTTATTTCTCGAGGCTGGCTAGCTGGCCAGCTGGCTTCTCTAGGTGTTCTGGACGGCGAAGTAGGTTACACGGCGCCGGGAAACACGTTGCCAATGTTATACAGAGTTGCATCATGTCAGTGATGTAGCGGCGGGATGACATGCATAACAAGAAACTAGGGAGACGCGATGCGGGTGTGTTACAATATGTAGTAACGTGAAGGCTTAGTGAGCGACAATACCCAGTGACGTAGAATCTAGATCATCGAATTGAAATGGGTTCTAACGAAGTTCAGTATTTTACTACCCTGCAATGCTATCAACTTGGAATGGCAACTTCAGCTTGGTCTGTTGCACATAGGTTGGATTGGTAGCTATACGACACTTCTGTGTGTTCGGAAGCACTATTTGATATTCGACAGCTAAGTATCAGGAGGTGGAAGATTAATGATCTCCCTTGTTCGTTTTAGTTTGTTGAGGGTATAGCAATCGATGGGACGGTCAAGAATAACCAGCTGAATAACACATAAGATCATTTTTCTTTTGCAGACCATAATCCACCGCCGGCTTACCCATTCTGGCCATTTCAGCTCCAGACAAACATCAACGTGTAAGGTGGCGCGGCCGTAAGAGGATGACACAGGCCATGTGAATAGTCGAAACGTAGATTCGGGTACAACAGTGAACTTCAATTAGTGGAATTCCCAAAAATAAAACCACGTTCGCAAAACCGGGTGAAACGTGTGGAATATTGTATCTTTCCTACCTATCCACCAGTAAACGCCACCAATTTAACCGCGAGCCGAGTCAGGTCATGAACTCGGGCTTGGTATCAACTATGACATGAGATAACGCGGGAATGAATGCAACCGTCACATCATACAGCAAGACTAACAGATCATCATAGGCTCTCCTTGCCCGGGTATAGCCGGAGCCCCCTCACTTCGCTCCTCCTCCATCATGTCGATGAGGTCGTCCAAGTTGGAATCCAAATTCTCTGCAGCCTCCTGATCTAGGCATTCCTTGAGTAGCCGTCGATACTTGTCAATTTTGTCGCCGGTTCCGGACACACCTAACGCATCAACGTACTCTTTCTCCGCGCGACGCTGCTCCGCGGCGAGCTCCTTCAACTCTTGCGCAAGCTTTATTCGCTCTTCGTACGAATTGTCACCAGTGTCACCATTCATCATCGACACGGCTTGCTCGACAGAAGCGTGCACATAGTATTGGCTCTGGCTTGCTAGTAATGATACAACTTGCTGCTGTAAGATAGTAGCGTCACCAACAACCTTTGATGCTGCCTCGGGAGATTCCAACTGGCAGTCTAGTTCGGCAATTTGCGCTCTTACGACGGCAAGCTCATTTTGGGTGTTGGCAAGAATACGGCGAGCCTCCACCTCGGCCTCATTCTTTTCTTTCCATTCCTCATCATAGCTATGTGCGAGATCCTGGAACTTCTGCAAGACGAGTGGTGTTATCTTATTCTGGACTGTATTTGCCGCTTCCGAATTATACGTGACAGCTAGTTTAGAAACGGATTCCGTGAGAGCATCACGGAAGGATACGTGTCGCTGAGACTCAGGGGCAAACGGAGAGGAGGACCGTTGAGGTACTCGCTCCTTTGGATTCTTCGCAGCATTTAATTCCTTGATCAAATCTTCCGCGCGTACTCCCTCTGCGTTGGGAATGTCCGTGGAGGCGCCTCGGCCAAGAAGGGCTCGTATGCACTTACGAGCGTTGGTCTTTGCCGCCAAGTGAAGAGCGGTATTACCGCCATTGTCTTGGGCGTCGATGAGGTGCTGGACGAAGTTGGGGTCATGCGTTTCTTGGAGCTTGTTTAGAATATTATCGAGATAGTAACGGCAACAAGAAGTGCTCGTTATCCGGCCACTCTTCATAATAGCTGCGTGATGAATTACTGTACAACCCGAATCGTCGCGTGCGTCGATGGTATCCCATAGTTCCTTCATAACCTGAGGAAAGGTTTGCTTCTCGTAGCAATTGGTGAAATTGACGGATCGCATGAATGGGGTCTCTCCCTTACAGTTTTGAACTCCTAAGGTAGCTCCAAATCTCTTTAGTTGCTTGATGACGTCTACGTCGCCCATGGCGCTGGCCCAGTGAAGGGCAGTATGCTTCTCCGTGTCGATCGGCCAGTCAGGCTGGAAATTGGGAGGGGGCTCGGGACGAAAGTTGGGGGCCTCGTTGCGAGATAGGAGGAAGTAGTCTAATAGCTCATCGCCATAGACCGAATGTTGCTGTTCTGTAAGATCTTGTATATTCTCCTCCCGTTTTCTCTTGCGGTGCCCGGTCGAATAATGTGACAGGTCGTGGCGATCATCCTCTGCCATATACGAAACGGAAGCGACAGTAACGTTATCTGGTGTATCATCTTCATTTAACTGCTGGCTTGCGGTCTCAAGTTCTTGGGGCGGCGGAGCACCTATAACAGATTAGTAGTTGTCCGATGATAAAGCAGTTGAAGTACCATACCCCATTTCGGTACTGCCGGCTTTCTAGGAGCCTTGGGCTTGCTCGCATGTCGAGGTGCCGGGGGTGGGCTCTGGTTTCCGGGGACGAACTCGAAGATAGGTCGAAGACGCTCGAAGATGTTGTTTCGGTGCGCAAGTTGTTCTCCTGCTTCTAAAGGAATCCACGTGCCCTGGTATTTCCCATATCCACCCTGGATCTTCTCATGGACGTCTTTCTGCACCTCGCGCTCGAGGATTCTCGTACGGGCGGGCTTGTCAAACCCTGCAGCTTTGAGAATATGCGTTGCATTAACCCAGTCATCTTGTCGCCGGCGCATTACATGCTCCTTATTATCACCACCGAACTGAAATTCGTATACAGGAACCTGTCGCCATAATTTGTCAGTATCAGTAGGATGCTTCATCGCCAAAAGCCGAGAGCCGGATCTCCTTATGGAAGGGGGCTTCTTATAGAGTTGGTTAGTGATGGGATCCAAGAAAAAGTTACTTACACCACTATATGTAGCACTGTAAATGCCAGCAGTAACGCTTACGCCAGCGCTCGCGCCAGCGCTAGCAGCGTCTTTCACCATATCTGTTACTTGAACCCAATTGGGCCCGAAGGTAGGATATGAGCAAAGTTATATGTAGCGACAGAGATAGAAGAGGCTGCGTGATGCGATGACGATACGGGGACGAGGATAAGATATAAAATCAATATAAAATCACCGGTGCACAAACGAATTAAGAAGACGACAACACAAATCACACTATGTTAACACTATGTTAACTATGTTAATGAGGAAAATTTGAGGGGAACGAGGCTGCACAATCATGAGGTCGTTGAATAGTTGGATCTTCGAAGGTGATTGGCGGCCGGGGTAGGTTGACGGTGGGTGATGATTTTGTGAAAGTTGCTGCGACTTTGAACGCGGAGACGCGAAATTCAGGAAAAGAGCATGGGGGGGAAACGACGCGGTACGGATGTACACTACTCTTACACGCGTAAATTGAGTGGAAGATCACCTGATATGTTTATATAAGAATGTACCTAAGATACCTAGGTACCTACCCCCCTCTTCCATCAGAACCTTACCGGTATCCACATAAAGAGATAGGTACCTGGTACCTAACCCGACTTGAGCGTCGAAAAAGAAAAAGAAAAAGAAAACAAAACATCTTCACAAACTAACAACATTTTCCTTTATCAGACGGTGCTGACGCTCTTGATTGGCTTGGTCAAATAGCTTACATACCTCGCCCTCTCTACCAATTCTATTCCTTCAAGCAAATATTTTGCTTTGCTTTTTTCAGTCTTCAACATGTCAAATTTCATTCGCCAGTTATTACCGGTATATTGGTATCGAATGTCAATCATTCTCCCTTCAGTTGACAATCACTGGTCATTGTTTCGTATAAAGCACATTGTTAGAGATTTGAATAGTGCCCATCACTTCAATTTTGAAATGTACCATCCTCCAGTCCTCTATTCTAGGTCGGCCACTGGCTTACTTAGATACCTAACCTGTCGTTTCTATTGATTGTTATGACATATTTTGGAATTCCGATATGATATTGGACGTATTATCGAAACTGGATAACTACCTACCTACCTACCTACCTAACCTACCTAGATACCTTACCTATTAACTACGGCGTATCGTCTATCCCGTTCCCCTAGTCCTCACCCTTCCATGTTGACCCTCTAGACTCAGAAGCAAAGACATTACCTACCTAAGGTAGCTTTACCAACCGAGAACGACGATGTCTGTTTCGGTTCAGGCCCTTGCTGAAAGCGTTGAACATGCTTGTGGGACTATTGCAGACCTCCTTGTCAGCCTGAGTAAGCTGGTCCCATTGGCCAAGGCTAGCTTGCTACCCGTGGCTGCAGAATGTTTAACTATGAAGACTGTGATGGGAAATCTGGGAGGTCTCCTGACCCCCGGAGGGCCTACGGACCCATACGTGGTATATGAGGATCATAATAGACAAGTTGAGAGTCTCGGACCCTGTTTCGAGGTTATCCTTCATGCCATATCAGAAATACTCGTCGACGTTGATCACGAGACTACACGTTTACGTCGCTATCACAGCTGGGGAGATCCTCTTGCATCTTCAAAAGCAGTTCCAGCCACACAGGACTTCTTCATAGATGCTGGATTCTGTCTGCGGAGAAGCCGATCCTCCCTGTATCTTATAATCGATTGTCTCCAGAGGTAATATAGCTAGTGTTTTAGTTAAGCTGTCGCAGAATACTTTACTAATGCATAATTTAGAGGAATTTTGTCAGGGGCAACTATTCAACTGATAGACCAAACTTTTCTAACCCATCCCTCGTTTACGAAAATAGTCGAGTCTTCGAGGCTCCAACCTTTGGTAGCTATCGAATTGCGTGAGACCTCAAAACAACCAGATGTACGGTCCCTCTTAAGCAAATATCGGTCCAAAAGTCTACGTCCCCGCGAAAATGACCATAGCCTCACCCGCATGCTCCACCACGCAATCACTGGGTGGGATTATAATGCCGTACATAGATGCCTCTTAGCGAAAACCAACCCAGACACCCCTCTTGAAGAATCAGGAATTGCACCAATTCACCGAGCTCTAGGTCGAATCGAAGTGGCGCTCGCTTCGGAAAATAAGACGGCCGTAAGAACTTCCACTTCGATTGTGATGGCCTTACTTATTGCAGGTGCGAGTCTCAAAGTGCGGGACGAAAACGGTCGAACTCCCCTCATACGGGCCACTATGAACGAAATGCCCGACACTTTAATATCCTTGATGTTAGAATTCGGAGCTTGCCCAGACGCCAAAGACGGGCACAAGAACACGGCTCTTCATTACGCGGCGATGAAGGTCGCTTCGGATGAAATGGGAAACGTTGATACCGTTCGGATTTTGCTGGCCCACGGCGCAGATCAAAGCCTTAGGAGTAAGAGGGGACGTACTCCTTTACACGAAGCGGTGTCATTTGAATGTTTCGACCGCGGTCGGGAGCTCTTGGACTACGGAGCCGACTCCGAAATAGCGGATAATAATGGGTGGACACCCTTACTTTGTGCAGTCACGCAAGGGAATTTGGCGTTTACGGAGTTTCTATGTGATCGCGGTGCTATTGTTGACAAGAAAGATAAAAACGGGTACACGGCCCTACACTACGCTATCTCGCAAGGATCTGAGGAAATATCCAAGGCTTTGCTAGACGCCGGCGCAGATGTGAACCTCATCTCCAAAGGTGAAACTCCCCTCTGTCGAGCAACATCCAAGTCAAACCTGCGGCTTGTTAAACTTCTTTTATCGTATGATGCCGACGTTGATTTGCCGTCTCCGGGCTACTACGGTGCCCTATCGATTCACGTTGCCGCTATGGGGAGAGATGTGGCTATTTCCGAAGCTCTTCTAGGGGCGGGATCTCCCATCAACGCATTAGACGATGAAGGCCGCACGCCGCTGAGGTGGGCGATGGATGGAGGGAAGAATGAGTTGGTACATTTTCTAATGAGTAAAGGAGCTGCTAAGTAGCCTTAATTTGCCCGAACTTGTTCGTTTTCATCGGGATATTGTATCGACCTAATTCGATTGGATTAGGAAATTCGGTTATGCGTAATACTTTAAGGGTTTTTATTGGATGCATTGTTGAAGAAGAAATGTTTCATTGGATGTATCTTTAGGGGGAGGTTATTTTCCCCACTTCGAGAGCTTTTCTGAAAATACGTACTATTTCCACTGGTGCCGTCGCCGGGGAGGTGGGGGGGGGGGTTGCTCACGCCAGATAGGTACCGTCCCGAATAAGTTCGGGCAAAGTGGGGCGTAACAAAAGTAATACCTCTTAAGTGCTCCCATAAATTAAACATACCTATCTACCCCGCTCGAGAGCACGTCAACATGCTACTAGAGGGTCCAAGCGCTTTGACGGACCCTCTAGTAGGTAAGGTAGTAAATAAATCAAGCTATCCTTTCTACCTAGGTAGCTTTAGGTAGGTAGGTGCCTTTTATCCATTTCATCATGGTTTTCCCCGCTCTTTATCTCCTTACTCCGAATCGATAACTCCTACGTCTAGAACTACCTACCTAGGTATACAAGACCCTTAGGGACCTTACAAGAACACTATAAAAGCACTCATTGAACGAGATATTTTCTTCCCGTGGTCTGTTATAGTTAAAGTTTGATATACCCTACGATCGATCTGAACTGTTTACCTAAAGCAACAACAGAACAATACTTTCACTATGCCTCTGATCGCCTCCGCGCCGCGGGACCGCATTATCCTGGGTTTAATGACCTTTGGACCCGACGAGAAAGCTGGCGCTCGTATTACCGACATTAACGAGTTCAACAGAGTGCTTGATACATTCCAATCGCGTGGCTACAATGAAGTTGATACCGCCCGAGTCTACATTGATGGCGAGCAGGAAGCCTTTACCCGCCAAACTAGGTGGAAGGAGCGCGGACTAACGTTGGCCACCAAGTTCAAGTATCCTGCTGAAGCCGGTGCCAATCAGGCTGCTAAGGTAGTCGAGAGCTTGGAGACGAGTCTCAAGGAGCTGGGGACTGATAGTGTAGATGTAAGTGTATATTCACTAATTGTACTCTCTCTATTCTAATCTCCTTACCTTCTCGCACGTCTACTTCCTTGAGCTAACACGAATTTTCCGCGGTGACTTATAGATCATCTACCTCCACGCCGCCGACCGCACGACGCCCTTTGCTGAGACACTCGAAGCGGTCGATAAGCTACACAAGGCGGGGAAGTTCGTACGATTCGGTGTTTCTAACTTTACGGCTGCCGAGGTGGCCGAAGTGGTTCTGACTTGCAAGTACAACAACTGGGTGCGACCGACTATTTATCAGGGCATGTATAACGCTATCACGCGGGGCATTGAGCCGGAGCTGATCCCAACTTGTCGGCGGTACGGGTTGGATATCGTGGTATACAACCCGATTGCTGGCGGCCTCTTCAGCGGTAAAATCAAGAGTGCGGATATCGACCCGGCCGATTTCAGCCGGTTCAGCACAAAGAGTAGCACGGGCGCCAACTATCGCAACAGATACTTCAAGGAGAGTACATTTAAAGCCCTGCAGACGGTAGAGAAGGCTGTTGAGAAACACCCCGGATTAACCATGATAGAGGTGGCGCTGCGTTGGGTAGTACACCACAGCCAGCTTAAGATCAAGGGGGGCAACGATGGTATATTGATTGGGATCAGTTCTCACGACCAGCTCGTTAGCAACTTGGATAACTTGGAGAAGGGCCCGCTTCCAGAGGACGTCGTGTCGGCGTTAGATGAAGCATGGAAGATTGCAAAGGCGGATGCACCAAATTATTGGCATAAGGATCTCGTGTACACGTACGATACGCGGGAAGCGCTATTCGGAGCCAATTCGAAATAAGCGCATAAAATATAAAACGGGAGCATGTCAAATTGATTCTTACCAGATATATAACTAGATACCTTATAATTCTAATAGACGTAACGTTGAAGAAGCACCTGGGCACGCGTAGCTTAGAACGGCATTCCGAAATTTGATAAGGCAGCGTTACCGCACAGGTTAGGTAGGAGGTAGGGGGTACCTAACCTGGGTACGACTCGATGACCCGATGACCCGGATGACGGCACCTAAAGTACCTCCAGCACCCGCGCCAATGCCAATAAAAGCCAAGAGTACCTAGGTATACCTACCTGGTACCGCAACGGAGAATTGCAACAGGGGATGGACATGTGCTAATGTGTTAGCGCATTGTACCACCCCCTAGCCCCCTAGCCCCCCAACTGCCCTGCCGCCCAACTCTGACCCCCCTGCCGGGCCTGCCCCCCTTACTGTTCCTCGGCGTGCCAAATTACAGGTATGTTACAACGAAATCCCGCTCGTTTGGGTGTCACTTGATGGTTTTCTGGTTGTACCAACAGCAACTAACATTTGTTTATGCATACAACTGAACGGGATATTTTTGATTTCGACGAATTGGAATCTTGACATAACTTTATTGCATTTCTTTCTTTTCTGTTCATTGGGTAAAACTTCCTGGTACCGTACCGCAAGAGGTAAACCTTTAATTCTCACCTAATCATCCTTCCGTTCCTTTTTTTCCCTTATTTTACTATTATTCCTTTTCTTTTTTTTCTTTTATTAATGTCTTCGAAACCGAACAACATTCGTTTGTCAAGCATTCCAGCTCGCTTGAAACCGACTTCCCAATACTCAAAAGCTGAACCGTCCCCGTTACTGTCTGCTAGTTCCGTCGGATCCAGCATCGAAGATTACATCGGAAGCGGCACCGACACCGTGGGAGGTAGAACTCCGGTCTTCGGCAAGCGGTTATCCTTTGTCCAGGAAGACGACGAAGCCTCGGATATCACATATCTTCGTAGCCCTCATAGGTTCGACATAGATTACTCGGAGTACTCTGAAGACGACGACGACGACGGTACCATGCACGACAGCGCTAAACGACCAGGATTTCTTCGTCCGTCTGACGGTCGGTCCGTCACACCGCTCCTCAAGAAATCAGATGACGATGACCGCGGGAGGACACGGTATAATAGCTCGCGACCGACGTCCCCTCTTCCGATACCTGCCGTTACGACACCAGCCTCTGACCGACCGACGTTCAGTCGCCGCTCGACGATGAGATCTCGGTCTCCGGATACCCAGGCGCGGATGGCCGCGCGCAAGAAGTACACATATGCGGCCATCTTCCTGGTCGTATCGCTGATATCCTTTTGTGTGCAGACGGAGCTGGGACGGTACGTGCAGCACGGACTTGGTTGGAACAAGGCTTACTGCATGTTATATCTTACGCACGGGTCGTGGACGTTGTTGTGGCCAGCGCAGCTACTCATATTGCGGCTTCAGAAGTGGAACATGCCCTGGCCGACTTTCTGGCGGCGCCATGTGTACTTGTTGCGCTCGACGGCGCATATGGTCGCCCATCAAGAGCTTGATATCCCGCGGCATGTCGTTCAGCGCAGTCCCATTCCTTACATCCTCCGCACCACCGCCTTCGTCACCACTTCCTTGACAGTCGCTGGCCTGAGTTGGTACGTCGCTGTCAGCATGACCAGCCCCAGCGACCTAACTGCTATCTATAACTGCTCGGCCTTTTTCGCCTATGCTTTCAGCGTGCCCTTGCTTAAGGAGAAGTTGCGCCTCGACAAGTCTATTGCGGTGCTGATCGCAATTTTTGGTGTCTTGGTTGTCGCGTATGGCGATTCTAAAGATTCCGGTGCGGGAGCTGATGAGGAGGTGGAAACTGCGGCTAGCACGCGGTTTCTCGGTAATATGATCATCGGTGTGGGAAGCGTGTTGTACGGGCTTTACGAGGTGTTATATAAGCGTTACGCATGTCCGCCCGAGGGTACGTCGGCATCGCGCGGCATGATCTTCGCCAACGCGTTCGGAAGCTGTATTGGGGCCTTCACCCTCTTCGTACTATGGATTCCTTTGCCGATTTTGCACATCCTCGGTTGGGAAACCTTCGAGTTGCCTACTGGCGCAGCGGCTTTCTATCTCTTCATATCCGTGATCATGAATGCGACGTTTGCGGGCAGTTTCCTAGTGTTGATCTCTCTGACGAGCCCCGTTCTGAGCAGCGTGGCAGCGCTACTGACCATTTTCATCGTGGCTCTGGCTGATTGGGTCATCACTGGAGAAGGCATGAGCCCCTCAGCCATAAGCGGCGGATGTATGATTGTGGCGGCGTTTCTGATGCTGAGCTGGAGTACCTGGCGCGAGATGACCGAAGATGCGGAGCGCAAAGCTGCCGTGGATGTTGCCGGGCCGGTCGACTGGAGCAGCGAGGACAGCGATAAAGACGCTGGTCGGCTGGACTAGGGTAAGAATTTCCAGTTTACATATACGACCATGATTTACCTTTATGCCCAGGCTCATTTTTATTCTGATTGATTATTTCGCTTCGCGTTTTTATACTTCTCTTCTTCTGGCGCAGGTTCCTCTTTCTCGGTTTTGTCATACTGTATTATGGTTATATCTATCGAACGATAGGGGTCGATATGTCCCTTTGCGGATGGACTTCGTCGGTTTCATCTCGGAGGAGGGGAGTACTAGAGTAGGGCGACGTCAAACGCTAGGGGTTTCCATCTTTTCCATTCGATCTATGGGGATCTGGAGGTCACTTAGAGCATCTTGGCCATTCTAGAAGACGGAAAATGTATATTATATGTGCCCTTTACGCGCTACATAGGTGTGTATGCTGTTTCGGCGTTCCGGGGCTAATCAGGTTCGGTTCGTGTTTTAGGCTAGGTAAGGAATCAGGATGAATTGTCATGACCGCTTACAGAGGTCGTAGAATGTCGCCTACTTACCTTGCCTAGATACTTTTTGTACGAGCCCTGTGCGCACGGTTAATGTACATATTTCACACTTTGCATCGGAGCCGGTACACTGGTCCGGTAACGTGAATACTGTATAGGATACATAGAAAATGGGCTTATAAAGACCACGATACTTGTTGGCTTAATTGTTATGATAAATACTCTATTTGAAATACGACAACAGTCATCCTATATGGCCTTTTAACCCGGGACTTTTAACAAAATCCGTCTTCGGATTTATACAAGTATAATAATAATTCCCATCACCTCATATCTCCTCATGATCCTGTATCGTTCTAGCCCGTATCCGTGTTGTAAGAGGAAGGGACCATGCTCAAATACTCAAAAACCAAAAAAAAAAAAAAAAAAAAAAAAAAAAAGTAGCCATGAAATATTTCTATGCGTGAAGTGAGGTATTTGCTATTTGTTATCCGATTTCGAGCCCCGGGGAAAAGACGATCATTGATCTCCTCCGTAGATGGATGGCGGCTGATCGTCGTGCGTATACAACCGTAAGCTTGAGAACGGCACACAAGCGACACCATTAAAGGCAAATCGCCTTAGCGATCCCTGACTTGTGTTTTATCAGCAGACTATACGCATACCTATCGGTGTTTAAAAGTTTAACCGCTCTGGTTTCGTTGAACATCGTCTTGCTATCGGAGCGCATATAGGGAGATTTACACCAAAGTTGTCCGAAACAACCGCGCTCTACACATTGGCAATCTTGCCATCTCTGAGTGGTTCATGGCGAGTAATGATGAATGTGCTTGTGGGTGAAGTCTTGAGAAATGAAAAAAAAAAAAAAAATACACTGACAAAGTTGGCTTCGCAGAGGAGGTTGGTAGTCCAATATGGCCGTCAATCTCCCGGTCTAAGTCAGGATTGTTCCCCTGTTCGTCCTCTTTGACAAGAACCACAGGGCGTTCTACCTTCCACCCTCGAGCCCCGCTGCGCTCGATAGATTCCACAGCCATATCCCAAACTTCATGATCTGCCGAGTCGCCGCTCTCAAAAACCCGTAGCAACGCCCAATTTCGTGGACACACCGCGGGGTCGGCTGGGTCGATATGTTTCATCCCATCTTCCTCCTCTAAGATCCGGTTTTCAGGCCTGGGGGTCAACTGCACAAAGAGACGGTCAAGTCTGGGTAGGTTCTGGAGCAGAATTTCAAAGTGAGAAGATAGGGGGAAAATTGCTATATAATTAAAGTCAAAAATAGTAGGTGGTATAAGTGGACTGTCGTTAGGGTATTCTTCGCATCCGAGGAGGGCGCCAAGCATGGATGGTGGCCGTCGCAGAAAGAACTCATACGTTCTGTAAACTTTAGTAGACGAACCTTCGTTCAGGAGCAGCGAGGTCCAGGGACGAACGGTGAAAAGAGGGCACGGCGGTGGCCTTCTATAGCGTGCCGAGCAGGAGGTAGCCGAGGGACGTGCCGAAGCCCCCGGGGTTGCTGTCGCAGAAGAATGATGTCGCAGGGGCGAGTCTGGAATATGTGATTCCGTATGCGTACTTGATTTTCCGCGGGAGTCTCTAGTGGCTCGGGCGAGCGAGAGGATGTGATATGGGATGCTAAACGACCAGGCGTCATCTAAGAAGAGCATCCGAGATAAGAACGAAGCTAGAGTAGTGGGAGGAGCAATCATGGTGAACCTCAGAGGATCGATGACGGAAAACAGCTGGTCCCATAACCATTCTAGATCGACGGAGCGTATCTCAGGAGTAATTTGCTTGGCACCGGCATCCTTGTCTACGAAGTCGACGATCATAGTGAAAGTGGTGACACTGTGGTCAAGCTGATTGTCTTCCAGGAAGCGCAGAAGTGGTATCGGATTTAATGTGAAAGCGCTGAGCGAGGATATCTTAGGCCTCCATAAGATATGACGAAATAGGCTAGGGAGTACAAGAGACCGCCAAGCTTTACAAACGAAGGATGAAGTCTTGAGGGGTTGTGAATATAACGACTCAGCATCCAGCATATCGTCGCTCGGCTGGTCGCGAAGTCGTACTTGAGACGGAGCCGGATTATCGAGGAACTCGAAAACATGTAGGAGTATCTCGGGTGGTATCCGATCCATCTTGAATAAGAGAAAATTAAAATTCCAAGCTGCGAATTCAAACGCGATAATAATTCTCGCCTTTCTTCCTTTCTTTATTATTAATTTTTTTTCTTTTCTTTTAGGTTGATATTCACAGCTGGTTTGTCTCTATGGGAAAACACTTCATGTAAACAGCCAAACATGTAAACTAAACAAGACGTAGATGATAAAGCTCAAGTTGCTACTAGGCTGAATAATTCATTTGACGATGTCTAAGGTAACTTAGGTACCGATAGAATCGCTGTTAGCGGAGGTTCGGTCCAAGTCGAGTTGGTAGGGGGAAAGTAATTATTACGTATAATTGCAAAATTCCTCATACAATCTTTACCCATTCCGTATAGTATTTTTGCTTACTGGAATTATTCGCTATACCCGTATGAGCAAAGCAGTAACTACCTAAAATAATTACATGTAGGTAAGAGGTATCCATACGTTAAGATAACATTAGATCTGCCACAGGTTTTCTCTTTGTTATTCCGCCCACTATGGCGCAAAATATTAGAGGTATATATCTGCAAATACCTATTGCTATAAAAAAAAAAAACGTTGGTAACAATCCTTGAAAACGTCCGAGTGCTCGCATACAAGGTAAACCAACTGCATCCCAGAGCACGTAGTTTTCGAGGAAGGTCATAACAGAGACTACACAACTACTAACTGCATATTCCTGACTATTTTGTCTCGGTTGATTTGGTATCGTCGGGGCCGAAATAGATACCTATATCTCGCTTTTTAACCCCAATACCTACCTGTAAATGAGATCAGTAGAGTACTTAAGTGTCTACCTGGTATGTATAATAGATATCATATGGCCGGCCGGCCCATGATCACACGGTCTATTCACGTTGTATCATTTATCTAAAACATGCTGTGTGTTATAGCTGAGAAGCCTCGATATTCACCCACCGGCGTAGCATACTATGCGCACGTACGGCAAAGTCAGCATTGACAAAGGTGGGGGAGTGCAGGGTTTATACGACTGTTAAATAGTAAATCGTGGGGAAATCGGCGAAATTATGGGTTTTCAAGGACGGCAATACAAAAATCGAATCAGAAAATGCTGATGGACTAACTAGTAGCACTTTGAACTTGCCGTGGTTCTTCTTTGGGAGCCGAACCTCATCACTCCCACTAACCCGGATATAGTAAATCAAACCGTAATGTCTGTCGTGAAGACGTACATTTGCCATGATTGAACTCTTGGCTTGGTCCCTCGGTATTTTACCCCCTCAGATACCTGTTACCGCCCCCCTTCCGTGGACGAGATATTCCTAGGAGACCAAGATGTGATATCCCCCTCCCCCTTTCCCCCTATTCACTCCGCAATCACACTAATTACCAACCTACCTAGGCATGTACCTAGGTACGTAGTACCCTAGGCGTAGTGCCTACTTATATAGGTAGGGTTTGAGTATCCCCGCTTGAAATTGGCGATGGGGAAGGCAGAATAGATAAATAGGATGACGTCTAGGTTATTTCCTAGGCTATTTCCTAGCTTTCTCCTCGACCCTTGTTGTTCCTGGTGTCTTCGTAGCTCCTTCGACGTGGCTAGCAGGTAGAAAAGGAGGTCAATCTCGCTTCCCACCCGCCGTTAAACCACCACATTGAACCCATTCGACTTTAATTCTTGACCGATATGCCGGCCAATAAACAACGACCGCCGTTCCGCGCAGAGCACTTGGGCTCACTTCTCCGCCCGCAAGAGCTGACCGAGAAACGACTGAAGCTTGCCGATGTGAAGGCTATAGATGTTGCTAGGGACGAGGAGTTGCACGCCATCGAGGACAAAGCTATCAACGAGATTGTCAAGCTGCAGCTAGACCTCGGGTTTCATGCTATCAATGATGGCGAATATCGGCGCCATCAATTCTGGGGGACATTCTTCCCTAACCTTGAGGGATTCGAGGAGGTCATGAACCCCGAGTGGGATATATTCCGCCTATACGTTCCTGACACCGCCGCATTTAGTAAGTCATTTTTCCTGTGGTTCGGAGACGGTGCTCGCTTTTACCATTTGATAAACGGGCTGACATCTTTCGTCGCTTAGCCGAGAAGGGCCACAAACCCGGCGAAACGATCGTTTGCGTTGGCAAGATCAAACACGTTGGTAGCGCATATCTCTCTGACTGGAACTATCTCAAGAAATTAGTTCCTCCAGAAAAAGTGAAGGACTTGAAGATAACTCTCGCCGCCCCCGAATGGTAAGCTTCACCTGTCTAACAGTCCCTAGCGCCATCTCCTTGTTTTACTCAACTCGATACAAGTATACATTTAGGACTAATTCTTGAAATATTGCAGGTATCATCTGAGATATAAAAAGGGCAAAGCGTATCCGAAGGAAGTGTACGCAAATGACGAAGAGTACTTTGCTGACATCGCCAAAGCCTATCAAACTGTAAGCTAACTCCGTAAATTATCAGGCGCGATATGTTCTTATCGGACAATATTGGCCTTGGTACCCCATTCAATGCGTATGAACAACTTCGTTGCGTGTTTTGAGTTGATACTGACGTTGAACACACGTTGAACACCCCTAGGAGTTGCAACTTTTATATGACAATGGCTGCCGAAATGTGACTATTGACGACCCGAATTTGGCTTGTAAGTGAGAGATTCACCATGTTTATGACACAAGTGCGCAAATGTTGATGGAAGCAGACTTCTGCGACGATAAAATGCTGGCTGGATTCAAGGCAGATGGCGAGGATTCTGACGCTCTTCTTGATTCGTATATCAAGCTATACAATGACTGCGTCTCGTCGCGTCCGGCGGATATGCATTTGGGCATCCACCTCTGTAGAGGCAACTTTGCCTACAGTAAACACTTCTCGGAGGGAGGGTATGACCGAATTGCCACGAAGCTCTTCAACAACATAGATGCCGATACCTATTTCTTAGAATACGATACTGAACGAGCAGGCAATTTCGAGCCTTTGAAAGAATTGCCACCGCATAAAAATGTCATTCTAGGAGTCATTACTAGCAAGTTTCCGGAACTCGAAGACATTGAGGATATGCGTAATAGGGTATTCCAGGCTGCTGATATCATCGCGAGCGGCGCCGGGCAAACGCGTGAGGAAGCACTCAGGAGAATTGGTGTTAGTCCCCAGTGCGGGTTTGCTAGTCACCATCTTGGCAACGCCGTGACGCGAGACGACATGATTGCCAAATTGAAGTTAGTCAGAAAGCTTGCCGACACCATATGGCCGGGAGAGCCATAGATATAAATTGTACGAATACCTTAGGTACCTACCTACCTAGGCAGGTAATGCAGAAGGTTCGACGTTATGGAGGGGGAAACGCTGCTCTATTATACGTGTATATGATGCTTAAACAGAGTCGAAATTATGTATTCAACATGCAGATTTGAAGCGAAAAAAGAACCTTGATAGCGAGCAGGCGAAAGGTAGAATAAATGTTACCAAAGTACGGCAAAAAGCTTCTCATGATCGAGTTAGCACACATGCATACCGCCCAAATTTAACTTGATTCCTGATAGGCGCGATTATGTGCATATATGAAACGTATCACAAAGGATGGTCGCTGCACTGGAATATGATGATCTGGCAGTTTTGTATTTCGAAGGGGGCCCACGTGTGACATTTTATGCTTGCCATATAGTTCTCGCGAACTCGGGAGTTTGCGTATAAGAAAGAGGGAAAGAAAGAGATACTTCACAGCGTGCTGATGTAAATCTGGTGAGTCTAGTGGTAGGTAGAAAACGCGTGGGACTAGAAGTTGTGGGCTGGTGGCATTCATTATCAACACGGAAACCTCACATTCGTCAGACGTGATGTTAGTCCCCGTTCTTGGCAAACGGGGCTGAGCCGGTGACTTTAAGGGCAACAGGGGTTTACCTTGCCGAAGTTGAAGGGCCAACGAATCGTGCATCGAATGCGCTTTAATGCCCACTAAACATCATCGAATGGAATTATCAGCTTACCGCCTCCTTATTCGATATTACTTACTGTCTATCACCAATTCTTTTCGTCTTCGCTCCTACTGAAACATCATCAAATCCTTTCCCCACGCCATTCGTCGCCATGCCAGACAAGAAGACAGAAGTGCCTCCCAATGAATCCATTACTTTCAGCTCCGGAGATCACGATGGACCTCCGGATCTGCGAATTCTCCATTATAACGACGTCTATCATGTCGACCAATCCAGTAGCGAGCCGGTAGGAGGCGCTGCCCGATTCATGTCACTCATAAAACATTATGAAGAGGACGAAAAGTACAAAGGACAGCCAGAGTTGGTAACGCTGTTCTCGGGCGATGCCTTCAATCCGAGTTTAGAGAGTTCCGTTACGAAAGGTAGGTACCTATGCTTTAGAACCTACATTTCATCATGTTCTCTGCTCCATAAAAACTACCTAAACTAATGCATATGTTTCCAATGGATCGAAATGACCTTCACCTATTAGCTCCGACCACCAGGCACTTTGAAGATCATATGCTGACGTATCAAATTCGGCAGGTGATCACATGGTACCTTTATTGAACAACATAGGGACAAATGCTGCAGCATTAGGGGTATGTAAAAGGTCAATATTTTTCCTCTCATAGCATCAGCTGCTTACGTGACAAGTAGAATCACGATCTCGACTTTGGAGTCTCTCAATTTAAGCACCTTTCCTCCAAGTGCAGATTCCCATGGCTGATCGCAAACGTATTGGACCCCGCGCTAGGGGATTCGGTTCCTATTGGCAACTGCAAGAAGACTCATATGATCACCTCGTCTAATGGTATCAAGATTGGGTTGATTGGGTTAGGTGAACGCGAATGGCTAGCTACAATTAACAGTCTACCTCCCAACCTCATCTACAAGTCCGCCACCGAAACGGCGAAGGAGCTCGTTCCGCAACTACGAGCTGAAGGGGCTGATATTGTCATCGCGGTAACGCACATGCGAGAGCCGAATGATAACAAGCTCGCCGAGCAGACTGATGGATTCATTGACATTATTCTTGGAGGTCACGATCACTATTATAACCATAGTTTTATAAAAGGAACGCACGTTTTACGTTCAGGAACCGATTTTAAGCAAATGAGCTATATTGAGGCTAGACGGCGCGCCGATAACTCAGGTAGATGGGATTTCGATATCGTACGGCGAGATGTCACGTCTGCCATCCCGGAGCATCAGCCGACCGTCGCGTTGGTTGAGAAGCTAACTGCAAGTCTCAAGGCGACACTTCAGAAGCCCGTTGGTTACACTGCTGCACCTCTCGATGCTAGGTTCCGGACTGTTAGACTGAAGGAGAGCAACATCGCCAATTGGGTATGCGATATAATGCGCCATTATTACTCTGGTGATTGTACCATAATGGCGTCAGGGACTGTCCGTGGCGATCAAGTCTATCCACCAGGGCCGATACTGCTGAAAGATATCGTAAGAAACTCCCACGCCCATCAATTGAGCACTTGGCTTCATTTCGACCGTATATCCGGTCATCCGCTAACACGTACTGTAATAGATGAACTGTTTCCCGTTCGAGGATCCCGTGGTGGTGATCAACGTCACAGGAAAAGCTATCTGGGACGCTCTGGAGAACGGGTTATCCCAATACCCAGCTCTCGAGGGCCGCTTCCCGCAGGTATCTAATATCACTTTTAAATTTGACGGCCGGAAACCCGCCGGGTCACGCATAGTATCGGCGACCATCGGCGGCGAGCCAATTGACATGGCTAGGAAATACGTAAGTTTTTTTTTTTCTTTTTCCTTTTTTATGCCATATTTACATTATGATATTAAATTTTTACTAGCGACTAGTAACGAGAGGTTACATGGCTCGTGGGAAGGATGGCTATGATAGCCTCCTGATAGAGGAAGAAGGAGGTGAAGCGGAGGAGATTGTTTCCGAAGAGAACGGGATATTGATCTCGATGATGCTCCGTCAATATTTTATGTCACTCCGTGTGATGGGACAGTGGAAGTATTGGGGAAAGAACAGTAAGATATCCCTACCAACTTCGAGCTTTGTTATCTCTGCTCCTCTGAACATAGAAATCTCAAAGACTGTATGAGCTAACACATGCTATAGTCGGTCGGTATTGGGATCGCGTCACCAGGAAGGTCAGCATAAGCCACACCCATCACACTCCAGCAGCAACCGCGACTCCAGTCAGTCCAACATTGAAGAAAAGCGCCTCAGGTTGGGACAATTGGACACCAGAGAAGATTCGAGAGCGTAAGACGTGTCAACTTCCGGTGGACACTGAATCCGACTCGGAAGGCGATAGCGCTGATAGACAATACGTCGGGGAAATCGAAACAATCGACAAGGAGATGCAAATAATGCGCCGGGTATTCGCCAAGTGGGCGCGGATCGCCAAGGTCGAAAGTCGCGTCGGCGAGGAGCTTAGAGAAGGCGAGTTCGAAGTCGATTGGACTAGAGCGATTGCGCCGCGTCTTGAGGGACGTATAACTTGCGTCGGGGGCCAGGAGGAATAGCGGGAGTTAAACGTTGGCAGGCCTCTCGATTTTAAGTAGTAGGACGGGTACTGCGATGGCTGGGTGACTACGACCGTAATGACGTTACGATATTCGAACGAAAAAAAAGGGGGTAAAATACGGATTTATAGAAAGTGATGGTCTGAGTATTAAACCAAAAATTTAAGACCCTGGATCATCATTGAATATGAGATGACGACTTGATTCTGGATACTTCTGATTCCAACTAACCTACAGTGTAGTCCGTAATTTTGATTTTGATGAATTAAGGGTGATCTTGGATTAACATGTGTGAGTATGATGAAGTCGGTTATAAAATGGCCATCTTTCACTACTCGTAGAGTGATACAAGTGCGACAGCGGCTGCCAGTATCGCATTAGTTACCCATGGTGCTTCCAGAAGCATTCTATTTACAATGTGCTTCGGTCTAAGTATCGTAGTGTAATCTCACATATTCATCTTTAATATATTCGCAGCAAGCCCCCTGCTAGCCCCCCAACTCGGAGTTATTGCTATCTCATACTGGGAAGTAGGAAAGATGTCCCATTCTTGATATCATCAAATGCTCCGGTTAAATTCATTATATGGAAATGATATACAGAGCGTCGCATCTCAACAAGAATGTCCACGCACTCAAGTTGCGCCAATCATATACAAGTAGAAGAATCATTTCAAATCCAACCTCATCGTCAAACCATCAATCCCAAAACGTGTGCTACGCTCGAGTGCGCTTTTAGACGAATATATACTATGCAACCAGTCGACTGGGGCGGAAACTGTCGTGATTTACAAGTTCTTCTTGGCGAAACCCAGTCTCGGGCTGCCCTCGGAGCTGTCGAAGACGACGAAGGCCGCCTTCAAAGCAACATCACCGAGGATAGAAAAGCCAATACCCTCGTCGGACTGGATACCACCGAAGCAGGTGGAATCATCGACAGGGGCGTAGTTGATGTACTGGCCGGGAATGTTGAATTTAGCATCCTCGACACCGAAGACGAAGTCGGGTAGGCTAGCAGAGCAGGGGAATGTGTAGCCACCCTGCTGCTGGTCCAGCTTGGCACCCGACACCTGGCGGTAGTACGCCTTCACAATAGAATCGGGGAGCAGCGCAAGGGTAGTGCCGGTGTCAGCGATACCCTGGAACGGGCTCTGCTTGAAGCTGGTGTTACCGACACCGTATCCGGAGCTGGTGAAAGCCCAAAATCCTTGGCTGTTGTCGACGTTTGTGTAGGTGATCTCACCAGTGTACTTGGACTTGTCGATAACACCGAAGTCGTAGGTACCGGCTAGTTACGTACCTAATGTTAGCACTTTGCTCTGGAATAAGAGTTTATAGTCGAGGTCCTTTTAAATTGTAGGGGTTAACTTACCCTCGTGGTATTTGAGATCAGCAGTCCAGGCAGCGACGTCGAGGCTGGGTGCGACATTGTCGAAAAACGTCTTCTGCTGCTTGGGAGTTACTGTGTTAATGCTGCTGAAGGCGAGACCTAAAAGGCCATCGTTGTTGCTGTCGCTCGTAAATTGGTCGGAGACCTTCTTAGCTGCCTCCACAGCCTGGTTCTTGAATGTCACGCCGCCGACGGTAACGACGTCGGTGTAAACGTCACCGCTCGAAGAGCTGCCGTCACCGTATGAGATGTCCCAGCTGGCACCGCTGAGTTTCTTAGCCGTGCTACTATCTTGGGGGTTGTACGGTGTCTGGCCGTTGATACTGTTGCTAGGTTGCTCGGTACTGAAGACCCAGAGATCCGACGAGCCAGAATCGAAATCAAGGTTAAGTTGTTGAGGAGGAGTTCCGATCGAGACGGGAGTTAGGTACTGGATATCGTACTGCTCCGGGGTAGCCTTAGCGCTTCCGCTATCGCGGCGGAAAACCTTCAAGTCGGCAATAATCCTAGACAAGCCGTCCGGGAGCTTGACACCATATTTCAGGTATGCCTTAGCCAGCTGCGCCGGGCCATGAGGCTTGAAGCCAGGGTTCTTGACCTGAGGGACAGAGAAAGTCCCAACCTTGGGCGGACGTGCCGGCGAAGCGGTCGCAATGCTGGCGACTGCTGCAGCGAGGGCGATAGTACTAGCTGAGCCAACCATATTGAATGGATTTCTTGAGGGGTGTTCTAACCGAGACGGAATATACAGTTGATAAAGAATGACCCAAAGAAAGAAATGAGCGGAAACAGCGAAAGAATGAGTGCCCAAGGCGTGATATACGTTTGAAAGGGAGAAGCTGTTGCTATAGCTGGAAACCTCCTTGTAGCTCGTGGATGGTGAGGAAACAGATTATTACAAACGGGCTGAGCAAGAGGGTATTTATAAAATATCAGAGCCAAGTAGGTTGCGATCGTGAACTAACGGAAAGGGTAGGTAGATTAGATGGGCCAGGAACTAGTCAAGGGGACCGCAGATCTCCCTCTCCTAATCTACGACCGAAGAAACCAACTCAGTTAGACGGAGGTATTGGCCGAGAGCCAGAGCTATCCAATGCAAGTGGATTTTTTTCTGGGACTCCAGCTGCCGTTATGGGTAAGGAGCTGGACGGAGTAATATAGAAAGAAATCAATCACGTCTTTCAGGTCGACATTTAGCTATCGTGATCGACGAAGGTTGTGCGAGGGGCACTGGGGGAAGCAGGCAACGCTTCTGGCTTGTGGGACAGGACTGCTTGGCAGGTAGATCTGAAGCGGCGGACTTGGGATAGACAAGTTCTGAGTTTCGATTTGATTGGCCGGCTGTTTTAATATGTTCGATTCCTTGCCCAACGGTGGCCGGGCTTATTGCTCCTTTCTGGTGCATTCTCCAGTTTCTCCAGTTTCTACACCGTTTACATAGAGGTAGTTTAATGCAATTCCCGTTGGGTGTCCCTTTTCCAGTAGCCCAAGCAAAGCCCCGGCCTTCACGTGGCGCGAATCGTTAACTTGTGGCTTTCCTTCCTAGCTGCGGTCATCCCCGGCCATGGTGTGTTCGGAATCCACATCTCGGAAGCATGTGAGAGACGCATTCGGAAGCCGGGCTGGGGGAGGATGTGATTCAACAGATACCAACTAATAAAGAGATGAAAGGGGATAGAGCGCATGGATCACGTTGTCCTCAGTGTCTTACAAAACAGGGTGGACTTTAAGCATCTTTGGGTCTCAAATCAAACACAATAGTGTGCAGATTAGAGTGCGAGCCAAGCTGCCACACAGACGGACGGGCTTGGCTGATTTGCGCATGTTCTAGCGCGGCTGGACATGCCGTGCAGCATTAAAGATCGGCGTAACAACGCATCATTCCCTGTCCTATACGTGCCGGCTTGTAAGGGTGTTTCAGACAGGGGCAAAGCTTTCTTGTCTTCTTAGTTGGCCTCCCGTGCCGCTTGGAGGGTGGGGTGTTCTCTTGGCTTGGGCGACTACCATTGGCTTCGAAGTTAACTACGAACTTGGCGCTTTTTGGCAGGTCGCTGCCGTCATTTTGTTTCTTATCCGGTGAATCACCAACGGCATTTGACCAAGACGCCGCCGACCTTCCTGCTCACCAGAGTGAGACCTCAAGCCAAGATTGAAGAAAACAAGCCTTTCCCCGGATCTTGGCCATCTTGGCCACCTTGGCTAGATGCTATCGCCAGGAACGCATGACGTATGGGTGTTATTTTGGTCGGCACTCTACTAGTAATTACTATGTTGAATAAGCACGTCACGGCAAATGACCCGTCCGCTTTTACTTGGTGATAATTTTCTGTATTGAAATTTTCGAAGGACTTTAAGTCCGTCTAGCTTGTGCAGATCTCTTGCTAGGTGGGCCTGTTAGCTTATCTACTGGACTATGTAATTATAATTACTAACAATATTAGCGTAAAATACCCTGGTAATGAGAATTCTAAAAGGTGACGAGGTTAGAGGGTGAGAGGTTCATTCTCGCGACCGAAAGGCTAAAGGGGATGATAGGAGAGAGTGGCATTTCGGGCTGGTGATAGGGTAGAGAACATGCTTAACCAAACCCCTATAATCATCGGATAGAAACTATACAGCTCAAGTTCGTCCAACCACCTTGTCTCTTCTCCGCATTACTATGTTATTCCCCTGTTTTATAACTGGTGGACAATCGCCGAATTGTGCGTTGATTGGATCTGGCTGAATTTGTGCAATTAACTTAGGTATTTCGTATGTAGAAGCCCCTTGTCCACCCCATCCACCTGGCCACTTCAGCATGAACTCAGATTTGCTACAATCGGACTTCACCTCCATAGATCTGCAATACTTCTCAATAAGGTGGGCAGGTCAACAAGGCCTTCAATATATCGTTTCGGTAACTTGGAGAGGTAGGTAAATAAGCAAGCCGGTGAAGAAAGCACGAAATCAATCGCGCCGTAGGATTTAGCGATGCTATTCGGCTGAAGGACACATTGCACGCTTTCACATCCAATTGACGCAATATCATCCACATTATTGACCTACCCCATTAAGGAAGCTCGCCGAGTAAAAGCGTATGACTGCCTCGTGTAAAACCTCATAGTTAGATCTTGTTCCATCAGTCAGCATCGTCCTACACAACGTCCTTAGTGATTTAGTTTCATGAGTGCGGGATCTTGTTGACGAACCACAGGTCGGCACATGCGAACTAAGTCAGTCAAGTCTCCCTTAAAGCAAAGACCCTGATTCCAGAATGGCGTAACCGCCCAGCAGGTACCTACCTAGGTACATTAGGTAGGTACTCTTAACAACCAGGTACAGATCACAGATGTCTCAATATACTTGCTGGGTCGGTAGATACCTACCTTGATTCCAAGTACCTAACGTAACGTACCTGGTATTGCAATTGGCGGCGGAGCCGCTACTTGCTCATTAGAGTTGCCCAATTCGGATACATCTTTACGGATCGAGACATTCAAGCGAGTCCCAAACGATGCGAAACAAGCCACGATTTAAACCTTATTTCCGGGTTCATAGCTTACTTTTCTGTCGTAGCGCGCCCGATATGCGTAACGTCTGCATATTGGAGCCTCGTGTTCCTTCGCCGAGATGCGGCTTCGTGCATTACCTTAGATACTTCTATGCGGCCACACTGCGGTAAACTCAGAGTCACCAGGTTATTATGGGAGCCTCTAGTTGACAAGATCTGGTAAGGACGTATATGTCATTAAGGATCAACCCAAACGACTGGACATTGATATGAATTGCCTACTTTCCCTTTGCTCCCTAATAAACACCCAGAATGCCTAAAAGGAACCTTCTATATGCGTAAAATTTTCGAACCGCAGCCAATCCCATGAAACAACCCACGTCTCGCACGGGTTGGTCCGCAGTTTATGTACCTTCCTTACTGAGATAGCCTAGTAGTCACTGTAAAATATTAAAAAGGTAAGTTAATAGCAGCGACTCCTAGCCTCAAAAGCAGAAAATTGGAATATATCAGCAGATAGACACGAATGTGTATAGCGCCCATGAACGAAGAGCAACCCATGTCACAGCTTTTAATCTTAGATGAGTACTTATCACTTATGGAAGCAAGCTGCTACCTTACCCAGTCCTGATAATTATCGCAGCGAATTAATGATGAAGAGACGAATGAAGAGGCAAGTGCACCCAGCAATAGAAAAGTCCTATAAAGCATAAACAGGGAGGCCAACTGTCGTAACCCGGCTTAAAATATAAGTACCTAACCTAGAAGAAAATGAATAAAATTGCTTAGGAGTACCTAATATAGGAGGTAGTTAGCAATTATCACAGCCTGCTTGACAAATCATCACTGGTTTCCTTAAAATAGTTCTAATATACCATAGGGAATTGCCTGAATCGCTGTACGATAAAGTAGTATAGAAGCCCTCACAGTCATTCACCATGTTGTACACTTCGTAATAAGCCTAGCTTATAAAATTGTATGGCTTTAAAGGCATTTTAAGATGTCTAGTAGGACAGTTGGATAAAGACAATCGATACATCTCAAGGTCTAAAGGACAGTTCAAATACTAGTTATTTAATATCAACTTAATAGATTTAGGTTGTGGACTAGATTACCGAACTATACTACGCAGAAATATAACCCAACACCAGAGAAGTTCTGGTCAATATCTACCGTAAGTCATGGCCCGGGCTGAAAGTGAATTTACATGCTAGGACAGTCACTTCACTAGCATCAATGAGAGAATATTTATCTCAAAGCAAGCAAGTGAGTAAAAAGAACACCCATAGGATGTCTCTACTATCACGTCTCAGCATAATCTAAGTGCCTACGAATAAATTTACTTCAATTCCGCCATGACACATCCCTCGTACCTAGCGTGAAATATTGGAATTAGTCACTTGGAGGTGACACACAAAACAGAAGCCAAGGTTATCATACCAACTCAACTTCATTCTCTGCCGAAGTACTGATACCAGTTGTATCAAAAATAAACCATATCAAATAGTTAATGCTGAGTCAAGGGCAATGGTCGGCATTGACAATGATATTGTAGCTGCTTCCATCAAATGCTTGGCCTTGAATAAAGTTATCATTCCCCGAAGTCGCACAGTCCGATTTGGCCAGGATACTATCAATGTGGTCTGCGATAGTAATGCTATTCTGCTGGATCCACTGTAAGTTGTCATTACAGAACCAGACTGCCGCGTTCTCTATGCAGGAGAACTTTGTGCAGCGCTGAGCATCAACAGACAACTCTGTAGCGAGAGAGCTTAGCCAATCGCGATTTTTCTCTACGGCAGCCCTCGAAGCTGGCGGCAGATTTTGCACGTGGCACAATACCTTCTCCTATGATTTCAATATTAGACAAAGTTCTACTGGACAGATAGGACGGAATATCACGTAGGCAGTTAAACTTACCGTTCTCCTTTTCTTGTGCTGGCGTCTTGTCGCTAGCTGGGAGTGTCCCCAAGAAAAGTCAGGGTTAAGACGACGAATTTGTATATCGATTTCCTAGATTTCTTGGTAAGAGACATGTCGTAGGCAAAAGCCGGTACCTTGCCGACTTGGTTAATTTCTACTTACTTGAATTGTACCGTTGAAGGTCTTCTCCGCGGCATCTGAATCTACTACCCTTCGTATACGTAACGGCGCCACTGCTAGGCCGTTAAACTTCCCTGCTTTATGAACAGTTTCATCATGCCGGCTTCTGTCCTGAGAGATATTAGGAACATAATTTTTTTTTCGGATCTGGAATGGTAAGGAGTCTGGTTTCTTACTGTCGGACCAGCACAGAGACCCGTAGCCACGAGGCTGAAATAGATCAAGAAGGATTGTTTCATAGCGAAGCTCTTCTTATCGTATAATGGCAGTAGAGGTGTTGAAAGAGCAGGACAGGGAACATGATGAAGCGTAGTGCAAGAGAGGGGAAGAGATTGGATATATATAATAACTTTGGGGGCCCATTATAGGTAGTTCTACAATCAGATGTAACATTCAACGTATCTTCTATTTGTGAATAACAGGTACCTAATTTATCCGTGTTCAGGTTGGTGTTGGTAACACTATATACAACCTTCCTGCATTGCCTTCTGCGCCGTAACCAAGTGCACCTAATCTTTTCGACTTACCTCGGCGGCACAATTGAGTGTTAGAAAGTGACCTCCTTACATGATAGTGTCCATACTTGGATGTGGAATCGGTATCACTATTGGCCAAAGGTCAGTGCTCTGTTTGTTCTACGTTGTGTTGTTCGTCGCTATTTGTACCTGCACAATTCCCCTCCCCTCTTTTTTCTCGATAACTCACCAGCCATACAATCGCCGATGCCTCCTGTGAATATATTATATATGTTAGGTGGGATGAATCTGAACGGCTGCATTCACCTTTGCTCACTTTAGCCACCTACTTAGAGAGCTGTACTACAGCCAAGCTGACCAGAATAGCCCACAGTCCCTGTCCAGGAGTTGTAATGCCACCACAGAGCTATCTTAATGTAACATGCGTCGCCCTCTTTTCCACGGCCTCCCTGGATGTTGTAGGTTTACTGCTATCAACCTCCTTCGTCTCTTTTAGTTCTGCATGATGTGTCTGTTGCCTTTCTCGCATAAATATCTTGATTAAGGTGGGGGTGGGCAGAGACTTGCTTTGCTGCCTTGACCACCCCTCAGCAGGCTCAGTCCATCATTATGGTCTGTTGGATCGTACTGCGACGCGTAACCTGAGATATCTGTGACAACCGTGAAGCACTACCTTTACGCCCAAGACCCGTTTCTAGACTTGTGGTTCAAATCTTCATGTTGGTTTAGATTATTGAGGTAAATTGTTAGAACGATATATTACCTAGAGCCATCGACGGATGATATTTGCTTCTCCTATGCCGTCAACGGCAATATGGCCAGGACCGCGCCAACCATCTTCCATTCTATACTTACCCCTTGACCAACAACCACACAACACCCCAACGATGTCCCCAAAGTGAGGGATATTCTAGGGTCAAAGCAGATACACTTGGCGTTTTCGCTGTCGGCGATGAAGCTTCATATAATACTGCAACCCCATTTTGCTCCCGTCAGTAACAGCAAGCTAACTTTGATTTGAAACTCTCTGGTTTGCTGTGCCAAAATCTAAGATCCCTTCCGCTAAAATGAAAATTGAGGATATCATGTCAGGCGTCTATGCCTCAACTCTGGGACTGTCATGCTATTTCCAAGTGACCTAACGCTACCGCCGCGTCGCAACATGGATGCCCTACCCCATCGTATGGAATATAGGCCTCACCCTCGAGGATGCAGCTCGCGATGTCTCAAATTCACAGTGGTTTTAGGAGCAGTGTGAAGATATCAAAGGTCACGAATTTAGACCAGCTTCCTGAACCGAAGCAAAAACCAAGTAGAATCCACGAAGTGATGGTAGCCGAGGTGCGAGCCGCTTATGTGGGCAACGGCTCCAAACCAGTGCGTCGGACATGCTACTAGCCTTCAGCCGCTGGGAAATAATAAGTAAGGGGTAGCTCGCCATACTTGCCACAGCAGTGTAGGTATTGCCTCTTACAATTCTTCGTTTATCGCATAGGACGCGTTCGGTCAGATAGATGATAAAATTCTTTGCTTCGCCCAGTGGTATGATTCCTTACTTATACCTAGGTACCTACCTAGGTATCTATTATATGAAAAGAATGGGTTGACGCAATGTACTAAGGGGAAAAGAGGACCCCACGACGTTGACAAAGCTTACCTAGAACTGGGTAATCCCAACGATGTATGTCTCCTATACAATGCATATGGCTCTAATGCACGAACCTGCTGATTAACTCACCTAACCCATCAGATCCACTATACTCCGATTTTTAACCTTTAATTAACCTTTAAAGAAGAATATTACATTGCTTCTGACAGCCGTTATAGTTTGATGGACATGACATAAACGCCTTAAAAAATACCTCTATTATAGGGCCGCAGAGAACTGGTGGAAACTTTCAATAAATCCCTTCGTATCCTTCTTCCTATCGTTACTAGGTAGAACATAGTTTAACGACATCTGCATTTACACAAGTCGGATAGATATACTCACATACTAGCTCCGCAACTTAGCTAGTTATGCAGAGAGCGAACCCCATACGAGGTATATATACGTCTAATCAATGATCTAGCTCCAACAATAATTTCTCGTAAGTGAGAATTATATTTCAGATTTACAGATTTCAATAGGGAGACAGTTGTCGCTATCAACGGCGTGTTGTAGCAGCGTAATTGAGGCCACGCCGGGCCTTCCACTTACTATGTACACGTCTATCATTTAAACCCCTACAGGACGACAGCCGGGTATGCTCGAGAGAAATAACTTGTCGTGTTCCCATTTATACATATTTCAATTTTGCTCTATATACCTCCTATCTATCTACTTTATGTAATTTATGACTCGCTTAGACACAAGAACATCACCATAACAGGTACCCGACTTATGACACGGACTGTTCTAGCATGATAGTGGCAGAGTCTTCAGTCCTATTCGATAATTTTGAAACCCTGAGCTAAATGCTTTCAGCTGCAGGCAGTTTCTTGAATAGGAACTAAGTTAACAAATGGAACCCTTGTAAAGTCGGCCCTAGGAGCCGAAAGTCATTTACTACTAGCTCGGCTTTTGACAACTAGAACTAGCCTAGGAGCTGTATCCATGATGCATAACAATTGTCGGCTTTTGAGAACCGCAGAACCTTGACCCTTGCAAACCGACGTTGAAAGGTTCTGGATTTTCGGGTTTAACGACAGAGCGAAATGCAATACCAGGATATGGTTAGCCAAGCCCTATTACCTATACGCGAAATGTAAGGTCGTTCTTCAGCTCCGCGTATCGCAATATATTGGTACCTAGGTACCTACACATCTCATCTAAGGGGACATGTCATAACGACGATGGCTCAATCCCTCATCGGCAGGGCGTCAATTTAGACAACAATACCACGTCCTCTGCGTAAAAGCGGGCCAAGCCTTAGATATTCCCTACATTTCTGCCTACAGAGCTTTGAGCTTATTCTCAGTCTGTCGAATTACATAGTAGAAGACAGGCACCCATGGCTGTAGCCAATCGGACTAACCTGGCATTAGTCACTCTACCATCCTTTTGTGTTAGATTAATCCCAATTTCACCGACTTATTCCATTTCATCATGCGTTCCCTTCAGCTTCGAACCATTCTTTGGTCTAGGCTCGTGCTTTCCGGCCGAAAAGGGATGTAGTTAAGGCTAATTGTCTGGCCGTCGGTGTGCCTACGCCTAGTATTGTAAGGGGCAATGGAAAGTTATATATATATACTGTCGTCCTTCGCGTCGTCGGGTTCCTATTATTTTGCTATGTGCCCGCCCATTCACTCACAGGTTCACTCGTTCCTACCAAGCTTTTAGCTCTATAACTTCAAGATGTTCGCTCAACTTGCCGTCGCTTCCATTCTTGCCGCCGCCCCGTTGGCTCGGGCAGCTCAAAATGTAACAGTTAAGGCCTTGCCGTCTGACGACTGCTCATCTTACCCCGGCTATAATGCTGCAACCAACACCGCCGGACCCTGGATTCTCCAAGTAGTCGATAGTGATAACGTTGCTATCGAAGGATTTGGTGATACATCTGTGTACTCGATCTCCTACAACCCTCGGGTTGATAGTAAACCAACTTTACGATGGGGTTACGTGAGTAGCTTCATTTTAGAATTTGCTGTACAATTACATAGTATGCTAACGTGGCGGCACAGATTACTTTTCCGACGAACAACCAGCTTGCCAAGACGGCCCTGAAGTGCGACGGGGGTGTGCTCAAGGCCCTGGTAAACACCGATCTGACAGCCGCGGGGGCTCCGACCAATGCTCAATGGTCGGAATTATTATTCCCTAGTAATGCGCCATATGACGCCCCTCTGCTCTATAAAATCACCGACGGTATTGCGCCCCAAATCTTCGAGCACTATGTCGACGGCGTGAAGCAAGACGGTGTATTTCTAGGTGCTTACGACAACAGCACTAGGTGGGGATTCAAGTACAATCCGGCCAACGTTGGTTCCTATGGCCTGGACTTCTACTATGCACGGATCTTGGGTCCCAATAGTGCAGATCCCGTGACCGGCAGCCCCTTGAAGGCGAACGAGACTACGGCGTTTATCAAGATTCGGGCATAGATGATTGTCTATTGGGGCTTGAACATGGGATAGAATGAATATGATTTACCAAAAGTTGGTTGGGAGCAGAAGCTGATATGAGAGTATCGTTAATGTTATCTGTATTTACCTAAGGTTAGGTAGGTACTGAAGTGTGGGTAATTTTGATGTTATATCGGTAAAAGTTTGTAGTAGTAAAAGAGTAGTAAGCCTTGAAGATGTGGGAAATTTGATGTTGTATTGGTAACGTTTTCTAATAAGTGGGCTCCTCCCAGTGAAACTCAGTTAGGAACTGCCCACTGCTTACCTCATGTAACCACCACCATCGTATCTAACTTGGGTTAGGTACCTAAGGTACAACAAAAGTACAGGAGGTACGTAGGAGGTAGTACATTTATATAAGGTATTGTAGGTATAAAGTTTAAACTGGCATATTGACAAGGCCGTATACTGGCAAGGCGGGGTGGGGGTATTACGTAATTAAGCTCTTATCTCATTGAAATATTTCCATTCTTTCATTTACGAAGGGTTTCAACCCATTCAGGTCAGCTACGTTACAAACGCGACTGTTACTACGGCCGCAACCTCAACCTTCCAGATGGACCAGCGTAAGATTTCAGTGCTTTTTGTCTGCTTAGGCAACATATGCAGGTCGACGATGGCCGAAGGAGTCTTCCGATCTATCGTCAAGGATCAATCATCGCCCTACTATAATCTAATAGATAGAGTAGACTCTTGCGGGACTGGTACGGATAGCATCTATGTCTTATAGGCTCAGCTGCTTGGAAGAGTCTGTGCTAATAACGTTATGATAGGCGGATATCATACTGGCGACGAACCGGATTCTAGAACCATGTCAACTCTCGAAAGCCACGGCATTACGAATTATACCCACGCGGCACGTAAGGTTAGTGATGAATTTACAACGCAATGCAGCTCGGCTGGTGAACTGGTGAACTGGTGAAACGATGAAGAGGCTGATCCGATAAATATCATTTACAGCTCCGCGACCGGGATTTTGAAGAATTTGATTATATATTCGCAATGGACAACGCGAACCTGTCGGATATCACACGATGGAGGCACCGAAGTAAAAATCTCTCCGACTCCAAGGCAAAACTCATGCTCTTTGGCGAGTTTTCCGGCACGGGCCGTAAGGAAGTAGTGCAGGATCCCTACTACGTCGGTCGCGACGCTTTCGACAAGGCGTATGAACAGTGCAAGAGATTCTCGACCAACTTCCTAGAGCAAACATTCCCCGATGCCAGCAAGACGACAGCATAGACTTCAATGATACCCAAGAATTGATTCCCAGTCCATGTTACCATGGAAGAAGTGATATAAATCATAGACATAGAACGAAGTTTATGAATACATGGTAGTAACGCTATTTGCAAAGCTGCAACCTTTGATAGGGTTACTTGATACTTGAACCTCGGTATTTATGAAACAGGACCAAAATGGGGGTTTAGCGAATCGTTTGACATCAAAGTCGCCAATCCTGATCCGAAGTTGCATTGGCGTAATATCTTTTTGGGGGCTAAAATGGAATCTCCCCTCAGCCTCAGCTCAGCCCTCCGGGAATGTAAGTTTAGGGTTAATGCTCCGGTTAGGACAAAAACGATTAATGCTTTTACTGATTATTACTACCTAACCTATATCTCAATTCTTAAAATTGAAAATGTACTCACATAGGTACCGAGTAGTAAAAAAGGTTGAAGAGGTTAGGTACCTAGATGGTAGCTTAGAAGGTAGGTACCTAAGGTATAGGTATAACACTCACCTAGGTAAACATTCTCATAATGGGGTGGTTAAAAAGTACAAGTGGGATCCCTAGTTCCCCGCAACACGGGCAGCGGTTAGGGATAATACCGCCTGCAGTTGGTTGCTATTCGAACCCCGACCCGCTATTTTCGGTCGGCGCCAACAAGTCCCCCTGCCCGCCTTATAAGCGCCCTAGGTAGCAGCCTGGCCTCCGTGCTGGTGATTGGGGTACATGTGCCTACCTCCCACCATAGGTACCTTGGTAGGTACCTATGTACCGTGAGCAACTTCCCCTCCCCCTCGACACCTAACTCGACCGACTCCCCTCAATGGCGACTTGCCCATTTGAGTTACACAGCGCATATTTTCTTTCTTTGACCCATCACCGTCGCTATTCCGCCTTGGGGGTTGTCATTTTGATCTCTCTCTCTCTCTCTTGTTTTTTTTTTCTATTGTTACCCCTTTAGAGCTACATCGTTGCAGCAGTTTGATTAAGAACTTTGGTTGACGTAGTATTAGTGTAGTTCGTCTTCCCTATTTTTAAAAATAGCATCCCCGTCGCATCGTCTATAGGCTTCGTTGCTTACCCCTTTGCCATTTCGCTGCTCACCACTCAGCCTTCTACCGTCATCAGCTTTGTTCTGATTGTTAGGTATCTTTTAACGATCGGTTCCCTTCTTTGATTCTTGGATATCATCCATCTTTAAAGAAGTCGCCCCGTTCCCGATTGGATTGCTGTTCTTTGCCTTAACTAGATACCACGTTCGACCCGATTCTTGTCGCAAACTCGGTTCGAATAGCCGGGCCCAGCTCAAGCGCAGATACGCAAATAACCACCTGACTTTCACCATGTCCGACCTACAAGGACGTAAGATCTTTAAGGTTTTCAACCAAGATTTCATCGTCGATGAACGGTATACCGTTACCAAAGAGCTGGGGCAAGGAGCATACGGCATCGTTTGGTGCGTGCGCGGTTTTGATTCCGGTCTTTGCGTACCGAAAGATTGAAGCGTATAATAGCTAATCCTTGGTTTGCGATAAAATAGCGCTGCCGTAAACAACCAGACAAACGAGGGTGTAGCTATCAAGAAGGTCACCAATGTCTTCAGCAAAAAGATCCTGGCGAAGCGCGCCTTGCGCGAGATCAAGCTGCTACAACACTTCCGAGGTCATCGCAATGTAAGGCACCACCATACTCTATCATGCAATACTCGTATTATTAGAATGGGTTGCTAATTTTGCTTAAATCTTTAGATCACATGTCTTTATGATATGGATATTCCCCGACCGGAAAACTTCAACGAGACATATCTATACGAAGGTCTGTACTTAACTTGATCTATTCAGCTAGCTACGCTCGTGCTTACTGGTTCCTTGCACAGAGTTAATGGAATGCGACTTGGCTGCTATCATTCGTTCAGGACAGCCTCTTACCGACGCCCACTTCCAATCCTTCATCTATCAGATTCTCTGTGGTTTGAAATATATTCACTCGGCCAACGTTCTGCACCGTGATTTGAAGCCAGGTAATCTGCTCGTCAACGCCGACTGCGAGTTGAAAATTTGCGATTTCGGTCTAGCCCGCGGCTTCTCAGTCGACCCCGAGGAAAACGCAGGTTACATGACTGAATACGTTGCTACGCGATGGTACCGTGCGCCTGAGATTATGTTGAGCTTCCAAAGCTATACTAAAGCTAGTATGTGGCCACCCTGTACTCGCTCCGATTTTAGTTATTAACATCTTCTAGTTGATGTTTGGTCTGTTGGATGTATTCTCGCTGAACTTCTCGGTGGACGGCCCTTCTTCAAGGGACGCGATTACGTCGACCAGCTCAATCAGATCCTCCACATTCTCGGAACCCCTAACGAAGACACTTTGCTGCGCATCGGTTCTTCCCGCGCCCAGGAATACGTCCGAAACCTGCCTTACATGGCTAAGAAGCCTTTCCCAACACTATTTCCCAACGCCAACCCCGACGCGCTAGACCTTCTCGACCGCATGCTAGCATTCGACCCCTCTTCGCGTATTAGCGTCGAACAAGCCTTAGAGCACCCCTATCTTCACATCTGGCACGACGCTTCTGACGAGCCCGATTGTCCTAACACTTTCAACTTCGACTTCGAGGTCGTTGACGACGTTGGTCAAATGCGCGAAATGATCAAGGACGAGGTATTTCGATTTAGACAACTAGTACGCACGGCCCCGGGAAGCGTCGGGCAGACCGGTGGACCGCAGGCGGCGGTTGGTCAAGTACCGATGCCCACTGGTGGAAACTCGCAGTGGAGTGCCGAAGATCCTCGACCCCAAGAATACACAAACCAGATGGGTCTAGAAGGGGAATTAGCAGGCGGGTTGGATGCTGGTGTTCGAAGATAGGATCTCTTCTTCCACGGCACTTGGGTTGCAGGGGATATTGATAACTGCAGAAGGAAGAACACCAAAATTTCTCCACATGATTTGACTGCTACGATCAAGAAATCAGAAGAAAAGACTATCCATGGCGGTAATAGGGCGAGGTATCCTTGAAGCACATTTTATTATGTGTTACGAGGATTGTCTGGTTTATGAAAAGGATGAAAAGGATGTGAAGGTAGATGAGGCTACATGCCCAGCACGCAACAGCGAATAACAATTTCACGATGAAAGAGAAAAGAGGGGCTTCATTCTTCTTCTTGCTAGTCAAAGAAGAACTTTAAGTTGATAATTTCGAGTCATGGGTTATGATAAATATTAAAAAGACCTCACTATACCGTTCAATTAGACAGGAGTGTACCTATTAATTGCTGAGCATGCTAGTCATAAGCTGAAGCATCAAGATGACAGGTACTGCATATAGATAGGTACCTAACCTTAGGTACGCTCCTGTGTTCGAACATGCGTAGTGGGAATCAAGGGCCTTATCCTAGCACGCTTATTTACCCCCTCCTACAAGCAGAAAGAAGTTGAAATCCTTTCGCAGCAGAAACTAAAGGGTTCTAATATATGTCACTCACGATGTCGCCGGCTAAAGCTATCTAAGGTACGTAGCCTAGACCTAGGTTTTCTGTGATCACTAGGTAGTCGCCACCCCCTAGGAAAGCGTTATGAAATTATTTCCCAGTTTACGACTATCTCTAACTACCTATTTACTGATCAGGTGCTTCTTAGAAAATACTGCTATGGAACAATGAATTAGGTACACTTGAGTCTATCACTCGGAGTTGGGTTTGACTTCGAGTTTGGATAGATCTCTTATGAAGTTCCGAATAATTAGGTAAGTATAATTACTGTTGAGATGCCTTTATTTTTCTTTTCTTTTCTCTCTGCGAGTAGTATGTCCCCTATATACAGAAGCTCGTGCGCAAAGAAATAAGATTTGACGAAATCAAAAAGGGGGTATATCCTTTCCTTGCTTTTTGAGAATAGTACGACGTAATGGCACATACCACACATCGAAGCCACGGAGAACAAAAGTATTTAAAGTGATAAAAGGAAGCCGGTACGGATCAATAATGTCCTGTCGTCCCTTATCCCAATCCATCTTGTTTTCGCAAGTCAACCCGAAACGCCATGAACCTAGCCCTGGTCCACCAGGGAACCCGCCATTTCTCCCGGTGTACGTCAATTATCTACCTTAAGTAGCGAAATATCCTCAATTTGCGTAGATCCAGTATTGCGCAGCATACGGTACGCTCTGCGTCTGGCCAGCTTCGGTACACGCCTCGGGGTTTCCACCAGCTGTGAGAACACGGTATACAAGACTTATACCGGTACTAGCGCCCTTGTCGCTTAAACGTAGCCAGTCTACAGCCCCTGTAGCTGGGTCAACGCCCTTATCAGCATCGCTTGGTGCCGGTACGCCCGCGTCTTTCTTCCCTTTGAAGAGTTCGCCGTCATCCGCACCCGATAGATCGAACGTCGGGGTATTTGCGGCGTCGAAGAAGTGATGCCCCAAGAATCTTAGCGGAGCGGATACACCCTTTACTGTGAGATCCGCAGGTGCAGGGAATGGGCTGTCTTCTGCTCCGTCGGTAGCTAGATTGACGGGCATATCTGTTGTGCGTAGTACCGTGGAAGCGAAGGCATCGAAGGCATCGACAGGGAGAGAAGACTCGGAGGTTCCGGGGTATAAGTCTGTGATCTCCCATACCACCGCCAAAGCACCAAGAGATGCGGCTGTAGCACCTGCTGCACTGCATGTGTAGTTCTGAATCCCGTGACCAACGAGGATGTGCTTCAATGCGGCGGAGTCGGGGCCGGCGAGCTGAGTACCAGCTACAGATATGTCAATTCTGCTGTCCAGTTGTGTACGTATGGCATTATATATAAAAGTTAAGACGGGGATTAGAGTAAAGCTGACCAACTTACAGCCGGTAGTAGGTAGATTAGGAATCACCGTCGCTGGGGGCGTAGTGGCCGGCTCAGTAGGGGTCGGGAGAGTGCCGTTAGTAACCTTACTACCGCACCTACGTCGTAAAGGGGAGGCGGAGGCAAGAGCTGAAGTAGATAACACGACGAACAAGCTTTGAGGATGCATATTGACGATCCTAATCCAAGTAGAAAGACGTATGGTAAGACCGAGAAGAAAGGTCTTAAAGAGAGTAATAATATAAGATGGCCAGGCGAGACCTTAACTAAACGAGAATATCAGTACAAATGTACTTGAACAGCAACCAGGGTAGCGCAAGCGGTAGCTGAGAACGGTGCAATATTTCTTGGCTGGCCGCGGCCCTGTGTCGTGTGGATGGCGAGCGAATGGCCCGCCAGCGCTTAGGAATAGAAATAGCAGTATGCGAGTATGGTTGTATTTCAAGGGTGTGTAAGTAATGCAAGATGCGAGAGGATGGCTTCCCGAGCCAAGATTCAACGTGACCGGCGGACGATTTTGAAAGTAAAATATGAGCTTGAGCGAGGAGAGACCCTAGAAAGAAAGATATACTTGCAAATAAGAACAAAGAAGATGGACATAAGAAACCAATAAGAACGATGATATTGGCGACAGCAAATTTGGGTGAAGGGACCGATTAGAGTATATAATACCTTCCCACGGCTCTCACCTGTTTAATATGGACTTTTTGTCTAGTGTATTTTTCTATGTTACAATGTAGGATAAAGCGTGCGCTCTGTCTTCTACTAGCAGGGCAGTAATACGCCAGCTGGAAAAGATATGTATTGTATGTCGACGCCATGGTCAAGGATACCCAGGTAATACCTAACCGACCATTTTGACGCAGGGTTGCTCACGCTAGAAACGGCGTGGTGGCTGAACGCAGAGGATATCCTTACGAAGCGGGTAGATGCTTAGACGGGAACGCAGGTGGCTTTTTGGTGCAGAATACAGAATGTTACCCATCCTTGGCAGCAAGCTCTTTATGTGGTCATCTAGACCTTCAAGGATCGACTAGGGTCTAACTTCCCATGTATATCATGGGCACTAGATCATGGGAGGAGGACTTTGAAAGAGCTAGACCTTCGCGCCTTGCATAATCGGGATAAGAGAGATTTTTGCTGAATTTTGCTTTTCGGCCTACATCCTGCAGTAGTAAAAGCTGGCCATCCGCTTTTGTAAGGTGGTACAGATCGTTGCATATAAGGTATGCCTGTATGCAGGCAGGCAGGTAGGCAGGCTATAATTCTCTGATTTCAAGAATGTCCGTCCGTCGAGACTTGTACAGTGGGCGGTTTCTATACTGTTTACCTACCAAGGTACCCAACCTACCTAACCTATCTCAGGCAAGGCGGCCGTGTATTATTATTAGAAGTTCTCCGAGCAGACGCAACAGCTAGAGGAACAGACAGTTTACCTATCTTCTTCAATCGTAATAGAGGAGGAGGGGTCGACGACAAACGGTCCTCATCGCTTGCTCCTTGGAAAATACGACGAACTTGCTTCTGCCGCCAGATTGATGGCTTTCAACCCCGTCCTTTTTATTTAGGTATTTTCATGAGCAACGGCCTCTCATGAATTATGCAAGGTTCAGTGTTACTCATCATTTTGCAATGTTATAAAATCTCAGCCACCTTGTCATGCTGCCATGCCAACTTTTGGTGATTTGGGGCCTATTAACGGCCATTGTCGCGTCGGACGGCCTGTAATAACCACCAGAGCCAATAGAAAGGGAGGGAGGGGCAAAGCGTGTCCAGCTCATGTTGGATGCCGCCAAATTAATTGAGCACCAGCGCGTTTCCGACCAGGGGGCGCGGCTATGCAGTGGCCTTTCCTTGTAACACTATGGCTACTGTGATTTGTTCAGCCGCCGATAATGATAGTACCATTAGAAGTACACGTATTGGATTTAGAATAGCAAGCCGCAGGGGTGGTTATAATTTTATTTCGATCAGATCTTTCACTGGCTGGATAGGCGACTTCCCGCTGCTCTACCACCCACCTCTAACCCAAGCCCCGGCTGCTGATACTGCTATGTATTAGGGAGAAGTTGATTAATCAACCGGTCCGCTCAACTTCTAGGGGTTTTCACCATTCCCAGATCTACTAGGTTGCGAATCTGCGCTATACGCTGTAATAGATACAATACAAGCCTGAATGATAAAAGGCAGCCATGCCCGCAACGTAAATAAAAGCTTACGAACTTGTAAGAAAGCATGCCTATCGGCAAGTATTCCGAACCTTTCCTAGCATCTGCTATGTTCTCATGAAAGGCTTATGCCACGCAAGCTCGGGCTTTCGGCTCGTCGAACTGCTATGGAGCTTGCATCAGGTATTGCCGACTGCATACATTAGCGTCTTGAATTTTCCCTGCAATAAAATGTATGCACTCAATCGGCAGGGGACAAAAAATCGTGCTACTTTATAATAACACCATAATCGATTCTGGCCCTCCTTGTCTTTTTGTGCTGTTTAATTTGGTCTTAAGAGTACAGTGACGGTTACACTTAAGGCCTCGATGAATCCTCCAGAATAGAGCTCTTTTATCCCTACAACTCTCTACCCTTCTTTATCCTACTTTATATGCAGTAAACTTAGGTCAAACTAATGTACCTGTCAAATATCTATCGCATGAGATTTTCTTTCAAGTTTCTACGCACATATTTGACGTATCGTTCTAGCGTGACATGGGATAAACGATCCTGGCGTACCAACCGCGTCTCATAATTACCAACGCTTCGGGATCTAGGACTTTAGATTGGGTTTCTATGGTCGATTTTCCTTGATATTGACAGGGAATGCAATAAGATAAGTAACGAGATGGGGCCCGAACGTAGGTCAACTTCAGCCTCGAGCCCTACGAGGTTCGATTTTACTTATCGAGACCAATATGACAAACCGCTATAGCTCTACTCCGTTCGAGATTGGGCTAAGCTGACAACTGATAACTAAATAACTGCTCGTTGCTAGGTAGTCGGATCAACATTTATAACTTTGATCGCGGCACTCACCGGACCTAGTCTCGTCGTATGATAGCTCTTTGTCTCGGTAAAGTACTTTGATATATCATCAATTACTCCAAGCAAGTAACTCTGAGGGTATCCGTAGTCCTGTAAGAGCATGGCACCTGGCAGAAGTTGAGCTGGGAGGACATTGTGTGGAAAGACCTCTATCGGAAATCCGCGTCTAGTGTCCGTCTTTTTATTTCGATAGCCATCGGATAGGTCATCGGGTGGTCTTTTCCGTATTCGGAGAGGCACATATTAGTTCGTAACCGTAACACGAGTTGAGGCATCCTATTTACTATACATATGCGCATCGGCCAGGCTTAACAGGCAACCTTCTGCCCGCTATAACCGAGATCTTGCAGTTCTACTTTAAAAGAAGAGCGGATGCAGTCCTGCTCACATGCAGCTATAGCAGGTGGTCTTTACCTACCAAGTTAGCTTAGAATACATGGCAGCGTTTGTCCCCACCCCGCGGATGCAACAGGGTCGCTTGAGCGGCCTCTGAAGCAGAACATATCGTGTAGGAGGTAGTTTAACATCTATCCTAAAGGTTACTAGCTACAACGTCGAAGGCCTATTGCGCGGCCTATCTAAATGTATGGAAACACTTTGTTGTTTCACAAGAAGCTTTGCCTGACGACTACCTAGAATCTGTAACCTTTATCATGGGTTAATCTTCTTATATCTATCTTGATAGGATTTCCCAGTATCTACGTTTGACCTAGGTAGTTTCCATTCAACAAATTGTACCTATCTCCTAAGTTGATGGGACGGACAGACTAGCTTGTTTTAGAACCAACTCTGAAGATTTCCGAAATTCATATTCCTCAGAAGTGAATTCAACTAGATACCTCTCAAGTAAACATTACGTGACTCTTTATATTTCCTCCTTGCAGACGTTCAAAATAATATCAATCTATCTCTAGAATTTCCTACTCCTTACCGTACACCCACACCTAACAAACACAAAAGGCCGTAAATTTCATCAAAGCTCTTCTCTCGCCGGTAAAAATACATCTACCGAGCGGAACCGCCATAGGAAATGCTAAAAATCATGCTTAGACTTTTATAAATTCCCAACGTGCACCGTCCTTTTTGGTTTCGACTAGTCCAAAGTCCTCACCGACGGACATCTTCCAAAGCTCCTCATCCTGTCTCGAAAGTAAGACATAACCTCCGTCTGGGTGCTTTCTGGCGCAGAAGGACTCGTGGCTTAAGTGATGTTTGTATTGTGCCCAATAATTATGTTTCGTGTCGTGGCCAATATGTGTGGATGATACTGGGTTCCTGAATCCAAGCCAGCCGTTGGTTTCGATGCATACCCAGTGCCACCCACCCTGATCGCCAACATTTTGTAGCGCACGAAGTTCTCCTTCGACAAGAGTAATGTATCGGCCAGTATTGCACTCTCTAATCGCATATGTCGAGCCGGGGAATGGTGGCGTATCTGCTGCTCCAGCTCTCTGCGCTGAGCATGAGCAGGGACTCTCTATATTGCCGCTGGACATTTTAAATATTGGTGTTATCATGCCGGTTACGGATGACGAGTAGCAGGGCTCGGATTCAGGAGGGGTGTCAATATTGGAGGACGTAGAACACATTGTCACTAGATTTTCCGTTTCAAATGAAAAAAAAAAAAGGAGAGCTCTTAGCATGAGTAAATATGGGTTAACGAGGTAGAAAAGGTACCTTATAGAAAAGTGACCGTCAAGTGATAATACCTTGCCTAAGTGGATGTATCTGGGAAGTTAATAAAGTTAATAATATCTTAGGTACCTAACTGATTAGGTGCCTGTAACGACCCTACAAACGGTCAAACCTCCCTGGCTGCCTAAACCTAACGTTTTAATACGTATGAATCAGTCGAAAACTCAAAAACAAACACAGACACCGGCAAGAAACGATAAGTAAGTACCTAAGGTACCTAAGGTTATTTCGATAAACTTAAATGGATCTTAAATCGTACGTTATCGTAAAAAGTAAGGTAGTCAAGTCATTGAGAAAAAAAGCATCGAATTTCATCGTAAAAAAACCTAGAATCCGTCGTAATAAGTTATTTCTACTCGCAATACCTAAGCTCAAACTCAAGCACTAGGGGGTCCCGAAAGATGCAGCTCTCGCCATAAAGTGTTGGGTAATTTGATGTCTATCAAAGATCGCACGTACTCTCTCTTTGAAGCACTTAGCTGTTAAATCAACCAACAAACAATTAAAACTTGGAATTTTTATTTGTGTCAGTCTTTGAATTTTGGAATTGATCTTTCCATCGGTAATAAGTTCACATTTCATATCCAGATTTTGAAAGTCAACACTCAATGCATTTAGGTCCATATCAAGAACGTGGGATCGAAAGTCGTGAGGAGATATAGGTACAGTCCTTGAGGTAAGCAAAATAGAAATGTGTATCAAATCAAATGCTAGAACCATGCTCAGCTAGGAATATAGACCATTGTCCTTGTAATTTTAGCGACCGTCAGTACATAGTAGGTATCCTTGTTTCGTCTGGTGAGTATGCTTTCCTTTTTTTCGTTGTAGCTGAAGTTGGCGACAAGTAAAAGTAAAGTGTTACATCATATTACGATATTATCAAACTCCGCGCAGCCTCAGTGCCTGCGATCCTACCAAACACGGCACACTCAAGCAAGGATGAACCACCAAGCCTATTAGCTCCGTGTATGCCCCCAGTGATCTCACCAGCAGCCCAGATCCCGGGTATTGGCGTTAACTTGCCTCCATCTGTCGACCGCAGAACTCGGGCCTTCGTATCAAACGCCACTCCACCCATCGTGAAGTGAACTACCGGTGTCACCGTCCCAACGCACACCTCTTCCTCGCGATTAGCCTCACCAGGTGGCAATTTCCAATGTCCGAAAGATTTCCTTCCGAATGGATCCTCTCCGTGTTCCGAGACCGTGGTTGCGTACTTATCTATTGAAGCGATAATTTCCGGAGCTAAATCCTTGACCTTGACTTTCTGTACCAGGCCCTTCCAGAGGTAGAACTTAATATGCGACGCAGTGGCTTCGCATGCACCCGGATCCAGAAGAAGAATTACTTCCCAATACCTCATCGACTTATCAGTGGACTGAGGAAGAGCCATAATTGCATTGCTAACGACGTCACGAGTATCTAGTTCGTTAACGAATCGCTCGCCGTTACCAGAGAGCAGAATTCCACCTTCACCTCGCAGGGCTTCAGCGGCTAGGAACAGTTGAGAAGTACCCGCCGGTTTGGCGTCAGCTGGCTCGTGAGAAGAATTCTCCCTTTTAAAGGGGACGACCTTGTAAGAATTGCCAGCGCCCTTTGGAAAAACGAAACCTGTCGGGTGAATCTGCACGCTATCCATGTCAACAAGCGCGGCGCCGATTGTAGAGAGCAAACCGTGAGAGGCTGGGCGTTCCTCGTTTGTGGATGGCATTCCTGCCAAGTCGGGTCGATACTTGGCTAACAGGCCTTGGGCATCGCCGGCAAACCCACCGGCCGCAAAGATCACTGGGCCTTCAAGCTCATGTGTCTTGCCGTCGGATGTACGGTAGCCCACTCCCTTGACGGCACCGCTATCATCGACGAGTAATTTATCAACTTCTGCTGAGTTCTCTAAAGTGAAGGCCGGGTTGGCCTTTATCTTACTCAATAGCGCGGATATAATGGCCGCACCCGGCGGTAATTCTCCCCCACCGCGATGCGTCCGCGGGACCGAATGACCTCCTAGCTGAGCTACAACGCTCAAATCGACATTCAGCTCATCCGCAAGCCAGCTGACGGCATTCTCGGATTGGCCTGTCAATATCTTGACTAAAGCCTCGCGATCTATACCTGGAGGATTGTTCTCGGTGAATTTACTGCCCGCGGAACGCACTGTATCTGAGTAGAAACTCTCGTCTGTTGGGATGTTCAGGGCCTGCTGAAACCTGGTCCCAGCACCATTGATTCCGGAAGAAGCCTTGATACTATTTCCACCTGGCTTAGGCGCGCGGTCAAGCAAGCGGACCGAGGCGCCCTCTCGCAGCGCTTCGTGAGCAGCGGACAAGCCGGCAAGTCCGGAACCAATTACGATCACGGGCTTTTTTGCAGTGGCTGACATTGTGGTGAATAGTAAGTTAGATAATCGGTTGAGAGCGACACCGGGACTAGGTCGAAAGAAAACCATGCATAGAACTGCAGTAAAGGCACCGATAAGAAAATAGATAAAAAGTATACGGAAGCGATGTGGTCTAATTCTCATGGGCATGTTTAGGTGAAATTGATTCTGGGAAATACCTAGGTAGGTAGGCTACTGATTATTCTTATTGGATACGTGGATATGACGATTAAGCCAGAGTTAGTGCGGATGGCTGACGCTGTCGTATGATAGCTGACGACAACTTATCGTACGATGCGTGGGATGAGAAGGAAGCGCCACATCTTGCCCGTCGTTAGGCAGTTTCCGGGTGTTTGGGGTGAGAGAATAAAGACTAGGTAGCACAACGTAGTACGGAATATTACGGCCTCGGATGATGGCACCGATAATCATCGGGTCTCCATAAATGTCGAATGCCGTGGTCTTCCGGGTTCTCATCCCCGTATCCCCGTATCCCCGCTATAGGATCCGATCGGCATGTTAACTTACCTGCGGAGATAATGTGCTACCTATTGGCTTTCCCGAAGCAAGCAAAAAAAATTGATAGCAACAAATCATTTCTATTCTAACTTTACCATGTAATTTCGCTCTCTTTTCATTCACTTTTCGTAGGATCGTTACCGATGTAGCTCCACAGCCCCAGATTGAGTATTCACAATAGCATCATGACGCGGATATTACATCGCGATCCGGGATTCTCGCCTAAAATGGCAATACCCTCGTGTCAAGCAACGAAGTTCATCACCCGAGCTGGTTCACCGGCAAGGCTACTCGGGCACGCTTTTCATGAAGTATAATCCACATCAAAAGCAATCTATATAATACGGGCTGGTGATTGCTCTAACTTGACCGGATCTATCGTCGATGTAACCTCAAAATACGAGATCACTATAACTTGGCGGAATGCAGGTAGTTCACATACCTATAGTTACCTGGTTGTGCTTGGTTGATTAAGATGGACGTAAAGTCGCGAATTTCACTCTCGCAATGTCGCATCTCGAGCTAAAGGCACACGTTTTTTCGTGCGTAAACTTGCCGACCTTAGAATGTGCGTAGGAAACTTCTTATTACCGCTGCTGCTCGCCGCCTCTGGCAACGTGCGGGGCGCTGGATTCACCTCAGGTCGCGACTTTAACGGCTCAACGGAGGTCGGCAAAGGTGCCACACTAAGACGGTTTATAGTCGAGTTGAAGTCCCGTGTGCACTGAGCTCACATATCAGCTAAAGTTTCGGGGCTCTCTCCGGACTTCGCGTTGTAAAGGGGTTCGATTCAGATCTCTCCCCGGGCGTGAGCATCGAGTGCAAGAGCCACTGCAGCACCGAGTTGCTCATAGACACTCTTGATGTTGTTGAAGGTGACTCTGTTGTAGCATCGGTATACAAGTCGACCTGGTACGCCTCTCTCCACCCGCGATCGAAGGCGAGTCATTTAGCGATGACGCGGCTGCTGACAATTACTCAGTCCATGGTTCTACAGGAGCTGAGAAGTTAATCAAAGCCGATATCATCGGCGAAGGCGCCGTTATCGCAGTCGTTGATAGCGGAGTCTAATTTGCTCACCTAGCGGTAACCTACTTTACCTACCTAGATAGGTATTCAATGATGATTTTCTTTTTAAAGCAGTCGAATGTCAGGTACATTAAGAATAACACTAACGGCTTTAGAGCTCGGTGGAGGCATTGGTCCAAATTATACGGTTATTGACGGTTATGATTTTGTTGGCAGTAGTTCGTCTCCCTTCTCAGCTTTTAGCTAGGTGTTTTCGTTTTGGTATGCGTAGTAAACTGATTTGCATCTGTTTAGTACAGAATGGCCTGATGTCCCAGGTGGGCCTGATAACGATCTGATAGACGAGTATGGCCGTGGCACTCAGGTTGCTGGAATTCATCGCCGGGAAAAGCGAACAGTAGGCCTTTCTCGCAACACTACTACACCCCCAACCCCCCTTCATAGAGGCTAACAGAGGATAGACTTGTTGGCATTGCTCCCGGTACCAAATTGCTGTCTTTCAAGGTATTCGGGGACAGCGGCTATTCAAACGAAGAAACAGTTATCGAGAGATCCCTCAAGGCCTTCGAGTCAGGCGTAGGTGCACTGGGTTTGCTTTTCCATCCCCTATTCAGAAGTTACGGCCGCGCTTAGGTCCTAATCTTGGCTGACCTATAGCCTAGGTCGATATTATCAGCGCGAGTCTCGGAGGAAATAGCGGGTTCACTCCCAATGCCTGGGCCGTGCTTGCTTCGAGGATGGCTGAAAAAGGCGTAGTTATTTCCATTGCCGCAGGGAACGAAGGCGATAGCGACCCATTCGATGCTAGCAATGGAGCTTCCGGGAAGAATGAGAATGTTATCACCGTCGGAGCTACCGAACCAGGGACATTTCCAGCCCAGGCTTTTTCGGAAGACTTCAAACTAGATGGTCAGTCAAACAAAACCCATATCGTTTATATCCCATCGGCCGAATCTTTCCTTAACATCATCCTCGGCTGGCCTATCAAACCGGTGTCACTTGACTCGTCCGTAAATAATGACGCCTGCAACCCTTTACCAGGTAATACCGCCAGCTTTAACGGGACTATCCTCCTCGCTAGGATCGGAGGATGCGAGATTTCCGTTAAGCGTGCAAATATTCCAGCCTTTGGTGCACAATACATCTTGTTCTACAACGACGATAAGCCGTACCAAGGTTGTGGACCAACAACACCAGCGGCCTCATGGCAGCTACAGGACATGCTTGAACCGACAATCCGCCAATCCAGATCCTCGAAGAAAACTATACCGAATCCGATTGGACGTATCCCCCGAAGGTTGGCAAAAATAAATATTTACCTAAGGATCGGGTACAAGTTAGAGTGGTACTTCGAACTCTTTAAAGAAACAAGAGTCAGGCGCGGTCACCAACCGCTATAAACATATCTACTTTAGTTCAGTATTGCGTAACAGGTAGGTAGCTACAGGTAAAATAGCATATAAGTTTGCATATTTTTTTTTTTTTAAAAAAAAAAAAGAACAGAGAGTTTACTAACGAAAAAATAAAAACGAATCTCTCGATCGGGGAATTGAACCCCGGCCACCTGCGATCATTACAGAATGAATGGAATGACAAGCAGGTATCCTAACCACTAGACGAATCGAGAATTGTTATTGGATGTGATGGAATTTGGCTTGTGATAAGAGGGTATATATCTAGGAGGTACCTAAACCGTAAGGTTAGCAGTTATAGGGTTTGATATCGTTGTATTGTGGGTCTTATCCACGGCAAGCTAGGTAGGTACCTACCTAATTACAGGTATTGTACCTCTTAAGTAGAAGGAATATTGCCCTATTCATCTCAAACAGCTCGTATTCCTTTTCCCATTTCTTACAAGATACGCCTTTCCCTATAATACATTTCGATAAGCTCATTTCGCACCATTACCTCCCGAGTTTTAAAAGGTAGTCTGGAGTTTAGGATAATCCTGCGCACGGACGTGCAAGTCCTTGAAGATGGCATCCGAGTCGTCGCCCTGAAGACTCTGCATACGGTGAGTGTCTTCGTCTTCTAGCTTCTCTAACTCCTCTATAGGATCCTCTTGACCCTCCTTCTGGCCCTTTTGAGGCTCCGTGGCCTTTTGGATACCGCTCGATTCGCCAATTAGCAAAAACTGAGTGTTTACATAGTCGAGATGCTCGGGCCGTGTAGCGACCCAACGCAAGCCGCGGAAGCCGTCTTGTATCCTACATGATGAATGATCAGTTAGCGGATATTATAGCTTGGTGCTATTACGCGAGGACTTACTCCTTTGGATACTTCGGCACTTGAGGAGGAGCAATTCCTTTGGGAGGCTCGTATTGCGGGTTTCTGGTGCTTATAATGAAGCTTCCCTTCTCTTTTAATCCAATCTCTTTTTGCACCTCGCCGAGATTCTTCGGTAAAGTTACCATATAAGCAAGGTGGGACTCACGGCCAGTACTCGTGATAGCATAGACGCCCTCCGCTACGGGTTTGGCCGCCGGTTTGTGTCGAACGCCGGCCGTTTTGGTGGTATAGTCCGACGCAGAGATGAACTCGTCTTTCAACGTCTTAAACGAGGCGTGCGACTTTTCAACGAACGCAATCCACCTATCCTTGCCACTCCGCGGCAATACCTTCTTCGGGATAGCAATTAAGCGGCTATTTTCAGCATCGTCGATCGTGCCGTTGCCAAGTCTCGCGTCCTTGGCCAAGGGACGCAGGATAATATAGCTGCGACGAATATCGCTGAGACTACTAGGCTCGTCGATACCTACCCGGCCGCGGATGAAAAAGTATATGATACCCTTCTCCAAGATATTGGGCGGGACGACTCCCTTTCTTGCACCCTCTTGTTCGGCCGCATTCTTTTGATCTGTTTGCCCCTGAACCACCCCATTCTTATCATCCTTCTCTTCCCTTTTGATCGGCCGATCGCTGCTACCGTCGCCGTACGCTTCAGTAGGGCTAATTGTACATGTCAGCCGGTTATTGATACCAGACAAAAGTGTGCGATGGGCGTACCTTGGGATAGTGTCCTCTATGGTTTGCTGTTTCTTATCGCTTTCGTTTTTGGTCCGCTTAGATTCCGGTGACGCTTTCGTATCGAGCTGGTGTTTAGAACCCACGCCCTTTCTATTTTCACTTTTTGAAATCGAACCAACTTTGGCGCCGGATCTAGTTGTAGTCATATTGGCAGTGGCGCTTGGAACAAAAATTGGTACGGATATCTGGAGAGGATGTAACCAGGTTTATTCTTGCTCTCGACAACAATTCAATTGACAGGTAGATTAGGTAGATTAGTTAGCTCTGGAGCTGAGAAGCAGACGTGGAAGCTTAGATGTCTACTTTGTGAAGCGAGTCTTGCCCATATCTTATATCACCGTGATGTCATTGATCTCATCCCAGGATGTTTTATCCAAGTATAGCCGAGGAGCTTGGGCCACTCATCCTGATAGCTGATTTTTCCTTCAGGGAAGTGAGGTCATATCAATCTGCATGGGCCACCAATGATACATGTAGTTCATTACAATTTTGGGACATAAGATTAATACACCTACCTAGGTACCTGCCTAAGCTATCTTGAATATTCGAGCCATTATGTGGATGATCTTCATGCTCCTTGATTAATGATATATCCGGATATCCTGTGGTTTAAATGTAGTGCTTCGTATTCAATCTGGGGAATTATTACTATATCACCTCCTACTGGATAGTGGTATGCACGTCATGGCTCGAGCCATCATATGATCTGCGTATTTCTGCATGTTGGATCTACTAGACTAACCATTTTTAGGGGTCGGCCTCTTTGATAATCGCTTACTCTTTATTTTCCTTTCTATTTCGCACCAGCGCTAGGATAATTATTTCGAAATCTCCACCACCCTTCCACAATTGGAAGACTTAAGTTAACAATGTCAATGCACTGGAAACTAACAAGATAAAGTTTTTATGTAAGTAGTCATCTTTTATGGGTATATTTGGTTAAATTGTATCTCCACGTAACAGAAAGGCAAAAATTCACTGACCTGTTTAGTTAGCACTTGAGGACATACATTCGAGTGGTCACGCTGTTTGAACTATCCCCAAGATCGTACGTTTTACCTCTCATCTTGAAGCTTTTATTTGCTGACCTATGTAAGTGGGGTATATATGCGCCCTTCTGGCGCCTGAGCACATATCTTGCTAGGTAGGTACCAAATAACCATGATGCCGGCTGCGTTGCTTCCGTATTTCTTAACACCAAGAGACGCTAGCTACGGGATGATATGTAGAAGACAAAACGCTTAGGGGCGTGGGATGGGTGATAATACGATGCTTGCTTGCGATGGGCAATAGCAGCCGTGTTTTAAGTCGCATTTGCTGCAAGGCGCCCATCCTCCTGAAACGCTTTGACTCAAAGGAGGTAGCATCGGTACCATCAACACGCCAACATGAAGAACATCGACCTGAGGATCAATGACTTGTCATTCGTTCAAGAACCATGTAAAAGAGATGAACAACTAAGTCAAGAACATTTTTGGTGAGGCTGCATGGCACCTATCTCCCTCAACGATATGGAATGTCTTTCTATCTGTTAGCATCCGGTAGTTCTGCTTGTGACTTACCCCTGAACCTGTGCCGCCGATTGCTCCACCGACCGGACATGCGTGTCAAGGGAGATCTCACTACCATCCCCGTCTCGGGTATTCCCCAATATCTCGTATGTCACCAAAACGATCAGTAGTTCTCGACAATTAAAGGCTAGAACCACGCCGAATGGAACATCATTAAACTAAAGATTTCCCTTTTAGGGAATTTGTCACCGCTGATTAGCTACATACGATTTAGATCGCGCACAGGTCGGTAACTTGTTCCGGATTTGCATAGTCTAAGCCTCCCAGAAGACTACTCCTCTGGGTAGGGGTTAAGAAGTTCATATATATATATGCCGTTTCCTTACTTATAGAGAACGAAATTCACGATGTCCAGTTGCTACTGTAAATTTTCTTCGTCTCTTACCTTAAGAACTGCTTGCTAAACGGCAAAGAGATCCTATATTGTAGGCTCAGCCGCTCACTCTCATTAATTATCGCTTACTATTAAGCAATACCCTCGTTTCGATTTATGTTTACCAGACTGGCTTCGGTTTTTATCTGTTGAACTCTCACTCCTTAAAATGAAGCCAGCAACACTCGCTCTTCTTCTCAGCCCTGTGGGCATTGTAGCCAGGCCCTGTGGTGGCCATCGTTCTCAAACGGCATCAAGTACTGTTTCTTCCGCAGCATATATTGCCACTACAGCATCATCTACAGATACTCAGCCTACTTTGGCATCATCTATCGCTTCTATTACCCCTACTTCCGTCCCACAAGTCACTCCTTCTGCCACGCCATCCACCAGCGAGCAGGTTAGCTCCTCTACGACGACCTCCGCTGCCCCGACGTCTACTCAAGGCGGTGGTCCATCATCAGACAGCATCGACGAGCTTTTCAAGGCGAAGGGAAAGCTTTATTTTGGCACAGCTGCCGACTCCGGCACCTTATCCAAGTCCCAAAATGCCGCTCTCATTAAGAAAGACTTTGGGCAAGTAACTCCTGAGAATAGCATGAAATGGGATGCTATCGAACCGACTCGTGGCGGATTCAGCTTCGGCGGCGCCGACGCGCTCGTAAACTTCGCCGTGAAGAACGGCAAGAGTATTCGCGGTCACACGCTGCTCTGGTACCAGCAGCTGCCGGACTTCGTCAAGGCCATCACGGACAAACAGGAGCTTACCAGCGTTATCGAAAATCACATTAGCACCATCGTCGGAAGATACAAGGGCAAGATTCGGGCTTGGGTACGTTAAATCCCACCCCGAATATGAAAGAAATAGCATGGCTAATAGCAAATTCGATTTAGGATGTCGTGAACGAAATCTTCAACGAGGACGGTACCCTTCGCGACTGCGTCTTCACTAAGGTTTTAGGCGAGGACTTTGTCCGTATCGCCTTCGAAGCGGCGCACAAGGCGGACCCCGACGCTAAGCTTTACATAAACGAGTTCCATCTCGAGAGCGGTACCTCTGCCAAGACTACCGCCATGTTCGAGAACGTCAAGAAGTGGCTTGCCGCTGGCATTCCGATCGACGGTATCGGCCTCCAAGGCCACCTGGGTGGTGGCAACCCCAGCGCCAGCGGAATGCAAGCCGGGTTGGAGAAGCTTGCCACCACCGGCGTAAAGGAACTTGCCATTACCGAACTAGACATCGTCAACGCGCCGGTCGACGAGTATGTCACGGTCACCAAAGCTTGCCTTGCCGTCGAGAAGTGTGTTGGAATCACCCTATGGGGTGTGAGCGACGCCGTGAGTTTCGGTACCCGAAAACTTCTGATATTAGAAACTAACTTTTCGTAGGATTCGTGGCTATCAAAGAGCTCACCGCTCCTTTTCAATACCAGCTATCAACCTAAGCCAGCCTATGATGCTATTGTTAAAGCTCTCTCATAGGTTAGCTCCAAAAACCAAGTAAGAAGAGCTCATCACGCTCTTCGCATAATGGCAAAACATCTTATACGCTCTAATAACCCCTGACTATAATAATGGAAGCTGGAAGGACACGTTACCGATGAATCTTTGAGTGTATTATAATAATTGCTCATATATAATAATAATGCTACCTCCCGTAAAGCAATGACACACGGTGCTCAACACTTGGCGTCTCCCAATCACCCAATGATTCAATTTCGTAGATATATGCCGACCTTGCAAGGCACACCCAGGTCCCCCATTAAAAATAGGAGGCCCGAAACTCCTGCGTCTCGTTGAAATTATGAAATATAACTCTATACATTTCACCACCCTGCCCGAGCTTTCAAAACTTTCACAGAAAATGCGATAGGAATCGTTAACAACAAGACAGCACACGCAGCAATGCATATTCCCGTGTGTTCACCGTAGGCGTCCATAACAACCAAGAGATCGAATATGCGAGTTGCTGATTAATTTGTTGCTTACCGTGGATATAGGAACAGACGGGGTCATGAAAGCGTTCGAGGAGAATACGTCGTGTTGGTTATGTCCCTATGCGCCCCAACACCTACATGCTAAACATGGCGCCGATCATGGCACACGTACCCATAACCGCACTACCACACAACGGATGGAATGAATCCAGTGCCATATTGGAAAAATACTCATCTCAAATTCAGAACGCTCTGTGGGATTCTGGGATTCTGGGAAACTCTGGCAATGACGATCGTGGTGATAACCGTAGCTGACCTATACTGATCAGTTTGATTCGTAGCGAGGCCTAGAAGTGGTGCAACGAGGAAGAATATAGCTATTACAAGAGTCACACCAACAACCTGAGAATTAACGAAGATATATAGAATATAACCACCCAAACGTACGGTCGAAATCGATCGCACAGTACATTATGCGTTGTGATCACATCCGACCGGGCTCACGCACAACAGCGTGGAACGGGTTCCAAGCTACTTTGCGTGTATACAGCAAGATCCAGAGAATTTGAATGGTGAAAAATGGCATAATATCTGATAGAGTTCAACTAGGCCACCTGCCACGTCGCAGAGCATGAGGTAGGAAAACAACTTCGTTGTTCCGCAAGGAACTTTAGATACAATAGCTTTGAAGTCAAGGTTATATACAAAACATCTCCTTTGTCCCCAAGGAGTCTCAAGTGAGAGTCTTGACACCACCGCTAACCGGTACTAAATAGAAAGTCTTCAGCAGCGGCGGGTCGAAGAATGGAGTAGAGGAGAGACGCCATCAAATATAGATGCTATCAATTTGCGCTGTCGCGAAGGGCGAGGGCTGATACAGATAGCTTGTAACGTAATCAATGAGCAAATCAGAGGAGCTGATATGAAAGGCTATATGAAATTGAAGATTAGCAGCCAAAAAGGAAAAAGGGGCGAATTCGTAGATGGCGTCTTCGATATTAGCGGTTAGCTACGACGCGCAGGTAATTATTATCAGTCTTTTGGAGTAATTTAGGCGATAGCTTCAATATCTTAAGTGTTATCATGTACGAGACACGCTTCCCATCGATTTCAGATTTAACTCGGCTATTTACTATCTAAGCTGCGTTCAGTGCTATGTCGTCTTCAACAGCTGAGCGTGATAGTTCCTGTGCCGGCACATTAACAGACGTATCACGACTGACATCGGAAACATTCAGCGAAAAAATAAAAGAAATCTTAGAATAGATAACAGTCCAAGGTAATGCAATGTAAGCACGAGCGGAGACGTACCTCCCACGCTACAGTTGCTGTCGCTCCTCATCAACGGGATGGTTACTTATGACCAGGGAACCAAGGAAGTGCTGCAACGTTGATCCGCCTAAGATGGAATATCGTTAAAGACATACTACATACTACATGGATGATTTAATTAAATATGATAACGCAGGGCCGCTAGTAGTTTGGAGAGTACCTAATTTTATTTGATCATCTTGTGATGGAGGACTCTCGGAATCATTACTGTATGGATGCTAATAAAATTTGGATGATGTGAACTTCCGTTTGGTGGACCTAACCTACCTACGGTAGGTAGGGCACTTTAGTTTAAACTTTAAGGAGGCCGGGGGCGGTCCGCGTACCGCCCGCGTCGGGAGGTACTAGAGGTAGTACCTACCTAGGTACCTAGCGTCCGATAACGAATTTGACCACCCCGCGTTGTGATTACATAATTTAATATCCGCTTAGCACATGTACCTAATGCGCCTAAGAAGCTTAAAGGTAGGAGGTACCTTAACCCATTGCAGCTTTCAGCTTCGTTCGCAAGCTCCAGCTTCAGCTCTCTCAAATTAACAACCGCATCAAACATTACTCGCGCTCCTCCGTTCAAGATGTCTAGAAGACCGGTAAAGGGCGAGTACATCGAGACCGTAAGCTACCCCGCTTCCCATCGTAAATCAAATTTACTGGCGCTCAATTAACACTTCACCTCGTGATAGGACACGGGCAATAAGGTCTCCCGAAAAGCCATCCTGATCGGAACCCAGCACATCATGTTAGGCGGAAAGACCGTCATCCAAGCCGAAGCCATGATCCGCGGCGACCTAGCGAGAACAGGGCAGGCCGTATCAGGTTCGAGCGCCGCTCCCGGTAGCAATACGGCCGTGGCAATCGGTCGTTATTGTTATCTGAGCAAGGGATGCTGTTTGCGTCCTCCTGGTCGCATATATAAAGGGTCAGTTAAGGATCGCTCGAGTTCCTAATACAAGACTAATACAAGATCGAATCTTCCCGCTAACCGTTTTCAAATTTGTAACTCACAGAACATTTACTTTTCTCCCGCTCAGACTAGGCGACCACGTTTTTATCGGCGAGAGTACCGTCGTCCAAGCAGCAACGATCGGCAGCCACGTTTACATAGGCCAGAACGTCGTCGTCGGCGAATTTTCCATAATCAAAGACTACGTCCGAGTACTCGAAGGCACCGTAATACCTCCCAACATGGTTATACCGAGCTTCAGCATCGTCGCCGGCCAACCGGCTCGAGTTATTGGCGAGGTACCGGAGGGTGGACACGAAGCGTTCGAGCTCCGAGAGCTTTACAAGACGGTCGGAAATAATCCACAGCCGCTACCAGTGTGATTCCAACGCCCTTTGGGTTACGCATATACAATTTTCCCTTGCCCACGGACAGGTCTGGTATAGTAAGAGTCAGCTATTCCTGAATTCGACATTAGGGTCTATCCAACGCTAGGCTACGATAAAGGCATGAAACGGCCAGGCAAAAATATATTCGCGCCGCATCGAGCTCGACGTGGTGGCGATTGCGCCTTGGATTTTTCTCTCCAAGGATAGAGTTCGCCGCTAACCTAACCCAACTAATCTGCGTCTTTCTCAAACAACGAGAACGGTGGGATTATAATTATCACGAGTTGTGCCGGCGTCTTAATTTAATAGTGTGGGCAGCTGGTACCTAAGTAGATGGCAGCCAGGTGACCTACCATATCTGTAAACTATTAGAGCACCTTTACGGCCCCAGGTTCTTGTACAATACAACGCACTTTTGATGCGCGTCCGATTCTACATGGTAACAATTCAATCGTTATAGACCCCGATCCAGGCCTATAACAGGCTGGATTGGCGATTCCTGCTTGTGGGACAGGATAATCATGGTCGGCACATCACTCTAAATGCAAAGTGGTTGCGCGTGGTGAGACAACGCGTAAGAAAGCGTTCAAGTTGTGTGTATAAATCGCAGCAGCGTTGAGATACGGAGCGAATGAGACTCGTAGGCCAACGGACTCTCTTCAGCCGAAAGGATCGCGCCAAAGCCAAGTCGATTCAGCAACCGCCTAAGACAAGCATTGGTCAGCCCTCGGAAGCATAGAGGCTTTTTGCTCGGTACCCGAAACGAGGCTTCTTTCAGGGCTTCCTGGCCACTGAGGTGTAAGGGCTTGGCAGCCGCATTACTACCTACGTAGGCTATGGCAAGGTACATAACATCCCTAGATGCGCTACAGCTAGATGCCGCGCTCTAATCCTTCCGCACTGTGTTGCCATTGATGTGCATCTGCGGCGGTGCTTATGTTCAATAATTTAACTTCCGCATTAATCCCGATGATCCCTCACGATTCTTATACCTGTTAGGGTTAGGGTTAGGGTTAGGGTTAGGGTTAGGGTTAGGGTTAGGGTTAGGGTTAGGGTTAGGGTTAGGGTTAGGGTTAGGGTTAGGGTTA